TGGGTGGCTCATCTTAAGGTGGGGGGAAAGGCTTTTGGGGGACCTTACAGTGTAGTGTGTTTTAAATTGGGGTTGCGGGGGGCCAGTGTATTAATTTGAGGGAGGAGGGCGGCAGTGTATTTGGTTGGAGTGGAGGGAGGAGATGCAGTGTCTTAGAATGTGGGACGGGGGCAGTGTTTTATATTGGGTCTGCATGGAGGTGCTGATTGGCTGCTTAGCTTTTGGCCACATATACACAATTAGCCCCCCAATGCTTTCCTATGGGAAAACATTGGATTGACTGAGATCATGAAGTTTGATGATCTCGGCTAAAGTGTAGAACACACTCATAGGACTTCAAAACCAGCAAGCAAACGTAATTTGTTTTTTACAGCTGTGCAACAGCATACATTCACGATTTCAGTCCCATTATCAACCTTTTCTCAATATGTCAAGGTAGTTGGATTGAAACATTGGTTATATAAATTTGCTATTTTATTTACTTTGAAGCCCTATGAGTGTGAGGACTTTTAGTGTAAAGCAACAAAAAAAAAGTATACCGTACTTACCGAAATAAATCTGTTTCTATGAAAACTGACGGAGTTTTTTTTTTTACTGTTTTTTTGCGGCCCACATAAACTTACCTCGTTTATTTGGCCCGTGTTAACCTTAGAGTTGGACATGCTTTCTCTACACAGAGATCTGTGCACTTATTCTCCCTGTGTCATTATTACTGGTTATGTCAATATATATTGCAATAGGCTAATTTGCTCTGTTTATTCAGCCAATTTTAACAATTTATAGTGTTAAAAATAGTGGAGGAGGTACGGGGCAGGGGTTGGGGTGGGGGGGGGAGCAGGGCAATCAGGTTGTTGGCAAATGTTGTGTGGAGAAATATCATCATTGCAGGTTGCAGCGGTATAGCTTCTTCCACTATGTGTTTAGTGTATTGATTCCCAGTAGAGCACTAGGGTGGAACATTGCCACTATATAAGACTGTAAGCTCGTTTGAGCAGGGTCTTCTTCAATTTATTGTTCTTGTAAGTTTTCTTGTAATTGTCCTATTTATAGTTAAATACCCCTCTCATATTAATGTTAAGTGCTCCGGAATCTGTTGGGGCTATATAAATGGTGATTTAAAAAAAAAAAGTAACTGAGGTGTGCGCTACCAACGGGTCAACAATTTGCGGATAATTCAGGAGGCACAGGGGCGATAAGTCTGTGACGTAACGGGTAGATGATAGAGAGTTTGTCTTTCATGGTTATGGAAATAGGATTTGAAAGTTAAAGGGACACTCCAGGCACTCAGACCACTTCTGCCCATTGGAGTGGTCTGGGTGCCAACTCCCACTACCCTTAACCCTGCAAGTGTAATTATTGCAGTTTTCATAAACAGCAATATTTACCTTGCAGGGTTAAGTCCTCCTCTAGTGACTGTCTACTAGACAGCCACTAGAGGACACTTCCGTGTTCATAGAATATGAAAAGTGTGCTATAACTTCGCTCGGGGTCCTCACGCTATGTCTGGACCTCCAGCGTCGCTGAAATCCCCAGAGGAAAGCATTATTCAATTATCCCCCCCCCCACCCCAGGCACTCCTCTCGCAGGAGGGAAGGGGGTGTGGCTGGCCTGTGGGAGCACGCGACAGGCCATGGGAGGGAAGACAAGAATCAGACAGCAGATATATGTCCTGTCTTGCGGATTGTCGCAGCCACAGGTTTGACATGCTTGGTTTAGGGAGATCAGGTCATTGCAGGTCTAATAATATTGTAAGGTGAGGCCATCTAGCCTGGGTTCCCTGCCTCTCTCTGTCCGTTTGAGGGCAGTCTCTATCACAGTCCAGCCCCAGTCCACGCATATGCCTCCCAACCTAATGCTCATAAACCCAAATAATCCCTGTCACTATCTGAGTCCCTTTCAGAGCAAATAGGGCCCAGTGTGGATGGACCTGGTGGGTCCAAGAGTAACTGGTGGAGTTGCCATTGGCCATATTTTTGGGGCACAGTGGGCCGCTTGTTATTGATCTCTGGCTTCACCAGACTGGTGAAAATGAGGTTTCACCAGGCCAGTTTCCAGGTAGTGAAGGTCACTTCTTTGGTTGGAACGCCACTGCTGGGTTCTCCAGTGATAGACTGCCTCTCAGGCCTGCTTGGGGAGCTTTTGGAGACTGGATCCAGTTCTGAATCTCCATTGGTGGTATGTAAAGGTGGGCCAAAAATTCCAGAACCTCTTCTGGCTTGCAGAGGGAAGCCAGGTGAAGCCCCCAGCATTAGGGTATATGCCTCTTTTGAAGGGTGAGAGTGATAGGCCTCAGATACTGGAAGATGGAAGCTTTAGCATTGTGGTAATGCAAGGTGCTCTGTGTCCTGGTCGCTGTCATAATGCGTTCTTTTATCGAGAAGGAGTGCAACCGGCAGATGACATCCCTCGAACGGCACGCTGGTGTTCTGGGTTGCAGGACCCTGTGGGTAAGCTCAATTTCAATCTGTATAGACTTTGTTATCCAGTAGTTGGTTTATGAGGGCCTGCAGGGTGTCAAAGCTGGGGGTCTCAGGTAGCCCTTGGATTCTGCTGTTCATTTAATGTTGATAAGGTAGTCTACATGGTGTCATATGTCCAGAAGGAGTTAACCCACCTGGCTATGAGTTCTGTGGATTGATGTCACTGGGTAGAGGCCTCAAGGGCCTCTACCCAGAGAGACAGCCATTAAAAGGTTTGACTTTGCATGCCCTAGAGGGCTGCCGGTTTCGACTGGATTGTAGTTTTTAAGTCTGCGACAAAGGAGGCCATGTTCGCCTCTGTGAGAAGGCTGTATACTGGGGGTGGTGGAGACTCCTCGGTAGCAGTTCCGCCAATAGTTCACACAGAAGTGCCTATAGGTCTATGGGATCGGTGGGGTGGTCCATTGATGAGGCAGGTTGTTGGAGCTTTTCAGGCAACCCATCACTGGCGAAACAGCTTCTGGGTTGGGTCCGGCAACTAGGAGTTCATACAGCCATTACACTCGGCAGCCGAACCATGCCCCTCGTGTCTGTTGTATATAAACCTCAAAACAAAGGGCTATTCACTGGTTATACAAAGGGATTTTCTATTTGTATATACATTAGATTGTGCTATTGCAACACGATTAAAAATAAATAAGTGCTTTGTGTAGATTAGCACGTAACATCTAAATTTTCTCAACTGTCAAAATCACACCCAACATCATACTGCTGAACACTGTAAATGCTTCTCTTTGGATTTGATGCTTTCCTGTGGGTCTTTAATACCTCTCTATGATTGGACCTAGGTCCTCTCAAGTGTTGTTGGAAGTGGATGAGCAGCTGCATGCGATAGATCACCAGTGAATGAAAACTTTTTTTGTTTTGTTTTTTTTCTCTCAAGCAGTGGGGCTCATAATCTGAACTGAAAAGAATGCAGAGATACAGTTGTTATTTTAATCTATTCTCTGCAATTTAGTGTTAGCAAAGTTAAATATATTTCTTAGGTGGGGGGGGAGGGTGAGGCTTAGAAGGCAGATTTATATTGCAGCATTCTGCAAAAGTATAAAGATTTGACTAAAACAATACAGCCTTATAAGGCTAAAATTTATCAAATGTATGTTATATTGGTGTCCAGAGTGTTCCTTTTATTGTTTGACTTACGTGCAGCATTAGTGTGATCTAATATCTCTGGCTTTTCCATTACATATTAACATGTATCATGGAAGAGGTTTCTGCTGAAGATTTACATCTATCTTCTGTCCGTACTCCAACCTCTGATGCTCGCCTTCAAGACTTCTCGAGCGCTGCACCATTCCTGTGGAACTCACATCCCTCCTCCGTTAGATGCTCACCCAGTCTCCACTCCTTCAAAAAAATCATTAAAAACCCACTTCTTCATAAAAGCGTATCAATTAAACTGTTAATAGCTCCAGACTGATTCCTCTCTTGCAACTGTCTTTAGTCTAATACTATCCTTACTTTTTGTGCCACTTTACCCCCACTCCCTCTAGCATGTAAGCGCATTGAGCAGGGCCCTCAACCCCTCTGTTCCTGTGTGTCCAACTTGTCTGGTTAAAACTACAGGTCTGTTCGTCCACACACTGTAAAGTACTGCGGAATTTGTTGGTGCTATATAAATAACATAATGTATGAAATATCTTGAAGACTGCCCAGTATGAAGAGGATAGATTCACTGGTATGGGAAGAGAGCTGGAGTTGGAGTGGGGAGAAGGGCCATCGAATTACCGCCCTATAATATAGGAGAGTGGGCCACTCTCCTGTGAAATCTAATCTGTTTTTCTGGCAGGTAAATTTAAAGTGGCGCTATAGACAACAAAACACCACACCCATCCCGGCTGTGACTTACATAGTCTGCATGGAAAAAAAAAGTTTAATTTTCAATGAGATCTTAACTTACTTTATAAGTTTGTATCTTCTGTTCTGTACATTGAACTATATACTGATGGCTCCTGCAAGGTCTAGCAAGCTATTATCAGTGCAGGAGATAAGAAATTCTATTAAACTATGCAATAGTTTAAAAATGAGTTCTCACTTTACAGAAAGTGTTTAGGAAGGCTGTGCATGTTATATGCAGGGAGGTGTGGCTAGGGCTACATAAACAAAGTGGTTTAACTGCTATATGGCAGATAATGGAGTAGTGAGACTGCAGTGACCTGATCTGTATACCAAAACTGCTTAATAAAGCTAAATTTGTTTTTGTGACTATAGTGTCCCTTTAAGACAAGATCACTTGCATACATGTTTTTGCCAAGATTAACAATAAACTATAACCTAGTGTAAGTGGCTGGAGTAACCAGTTTTGGACTGTCAGTGCTGCAAAGTATAGTTTAATTAGGTTCCTTTGCAAAACTCTTTAAAACATGGTGACACAAATTTAGATGGTTTCATTGGTGCTCCATAATAATTGTGAATTAAAGGGCGATGTGACCAAATGTTGGATTCAGGTACACAAGTCCATTGTCCAAATAATAATTGAGGAACAAGACAAAATGCTCCTGGATGCTTTGTGGTGACTGAATGAAGACTATATCCCCTCTATCGGCGTTCAAGTCAGAATTACCAGTATCTATAATTAATGAGGACCTCCCTATTACTGCCTTAGGTTACGGTGCAAGCTGAGACTCCAAACCATCTTATATACTAAGCTGTTCAGCAAGGATCATCCTGTTGGCTCTGATAGTGGGATCCTTGAAGAAACACATACAGCTCCAAATGGAACTAAGATTCAGTAGTTTAAACTTGCAACTAGCCCCTATGCACATTACATTAAACTTATGGTGACAACTTCAGTAAAAATAAAAATATTCAAATCATATGGGAAACACATAGGAACTCACAATAACATATTTATAAAAGGGGAAGGGAATATAATAACTAACCCAAAATATTTCCCCTGCCTGCTGAAATCATAATATACAAATCTACCTGAATATGCAAATTATGAACCTTGGTATTCAGGTAGTGCATACAGCTGTTACAAGATCCTCACAACCAACAGATGGCACTGTACAGGCTCCAGGCTCCACAGCCAAATCCATTTAGTTGATTGCATGCATCAGCAGGACAAGTGAGCACACAAACATAAACAAACACATTATACACATGCTGTACCTATAATGGGCACAGGGTGACTAAGACATAAGAAAAATCTGGGGACCTACATAAAATGTCTGTCTTCTGTCCCCAGTGATGGTGAATACCGTCACACAATCCTTTGGCTTTTCCTCATACGGTTTGACAGAACAAATTAGATTTCCTCAATCCCAAAGCTAATCTCACCTTTTTGGGAAGACCTAATTAGAACATTTTACTTCTTCATCAGTCAAAGATATTTTTATGGGACATAGAAAGATTCAGTTGCACCAAATCTCTGCAGATCTTCTGCGACAGACAAATCACTATTAAGCTCTCCCGATTTGTTTCTCCCACTCATTTGTGCCTCTTTCCCCATCTCCACATACTTTTCTTTCTTATCCTAACATACCCTATTGTAAACCCCATCATATGTATTTCTCCCCACTTTTGCCAGCTCGCGCATCTTGATCCTTATTGCCACAATGTTTACTCCCACCTCCACTGCATCACCTTCCTTTCCCTTTCTAGCCTTGTCTTATCACAGCATAGCTCCAGGGTTTTGTGAGAGGACAACATGGTGGGATTTAACATTGCAGCAAAGGGATGTAAAAAAAAAAAACTTCCCTCCGCTTTACTGCCATGTTGAGGCAACTTCACCACCCTATGATGCCGCTGCCGGCTCGTTTGGCCTGTTATCCCTAAGAGCTGTTCACGCACATTCGCCATGTGTTCAGTACTGGAGGATTAATTAATTTACATACTTAATTTGAAGAGGCCGTGCAGAGATTGGAAGTTAAATAGTCTACAAAGCATTTAAAGGGACGCTATAGGCACCCAGACCGTTCAGCTCATTGAAATGGTCTAAGTCATGCATAGGTAACCTTGGGCACTCCAGATGTTTTGGACTACACCTCCAATGATGCTTTACCAGCATTATGGGGGATGTAGTCCACAACATCTGTAGTGCCAAAGCTTGCCTACTCCTGGTCTAGGTGCTGTATCCCAGATCCCTTAACCCTGCAAAGGTAATTATTGCAGTTTTCAATAAACTGCAATAATTACCTTTGAAGGTTAACTCCACTTCTAGACTAGAGAGACTTACGGGTCGTTAGGCAACTTTTGGTCGCCTGACGCTGGACGTCCTCATGCAAAACCCCAAAGGAAAGCATTATGCTTTACTATGGGTAAATACTAATGGGAGCGCATTATGTCACCTTACACCAAGCTTGCTGACATCCGAGCTAATGCTGAGGTACATTGGCACTGGACTCAAGTAAGTGACAGAAGGGGGCTTGCGTGGGAGGGGGAAGTTAGTGCCAGGAAAACAATTGTTCTGAGTAATTTTAGCTGACATACTGAAAGTAATTTATGCAGCTATATGTAATTTAGAATAAAAACAATGTATCTTATTTACACAGACTAATCTCTAAACACGTTTATTGTTGTTTAAAGACACATTACTGTGAGTATTTTTTTCTGTTGCGCTCTGTTTTACACTCAATCAATATGGGGCAACTAAAAAAAGAGGGGCAGAGAGATTTGGTCCTAAAATAGGGACTGTCCCTAATAAATTGGAACACTTGGGTAGTAAGCTATATTAGAAAGATGTGCAAAAACCCATATTGATATTTAGGTGCAATTGTGATTTTGCATATGTTTATTGTATTTTGTATAATGGTGTATTTAAATTTAATTGAAAGGAAGGAAAGGTAGTTTCTGCTTTGGTTTGCACACGCGCCTTTTATGTCCAATTCTTGGGTACATTTCAGTTAACAGCTGCATTAAAACGTGCATTCGATTAATAAAACGCTCAGCAGAGACTTTTATTTTCCTTGGCCCTCCAAGCCTAACCCTGCAGTTAGGGCTCCGCTCATCAACGAACAGAGAACGTTCCATCTGCGATACACTGTATCACGGGGTCACGTGACAGGAAGGCAGCACTAGCCGAGCTGCAGTGCTCCAGACATAACCAATCGATCCCGTTAGTTCCATGCCTCAGGTACTGTATCCTAAAGCTCTCTATATTTTCTGTAAATTGAATTAACCCCATATTCCCTGCAGCTTTCTGTCTATCCTGTCTGAATTCCCTCTGACTTCACATATTGAGATATTATTCAGTATCCCCTCAGTCACAGCTGTTCCCTATTGCTGCCACTTTGACAAAGCAAAACTATGCCTAATTTTCAGCTTCCATCCCTAATCAGGGATGGCTTACAGTCTGTATTTATTAATACTAATCACCTATTTATAATGACATTAATGTGCATTCCAGTTAGATCATTTATTGCCACAGCCATGTTATACTCATTCAAAATGATCAGAGCAAGCCCACTGTTTGAATGTCTCAAAGCAATATCTGTTCAGTAAATGCTTCTAAAATGTTACCTGTGCGATTGTTGCTCTGCTCTAAAAATCTTTAAAGGGCAATGGACGTTCTTTTGTAGTACTACAACTCTCATCACAATCTGTCAGCCAAATGTAACACAAACACAATTTGAAATCCTATGCATCCCTCTCCCCTTTCTAATCAAAATCTGATATGACTAGCAGGAAGTATTCACTATACGCAGATTTTTTAATTTTTTTTTTACTAATTTGAATTGGAGAATTTTTCTGGATTTAGTTATTTTTACCTTAGTTTTTTTTTTTCATTCATGAGGTAAAAGTGTAGCCTAAAATGAAATGAGTTAAGGTAAGAGTGTCTTTTAATAATGACTGTTAAAAATAAAATACGCTATTTGCTTTGAGTAAAATTGAAAAATAATAAAATACACTAAAGTACACTTTACACTAGTGAATAGCACGGTTTCATAAATAAAATAAAAATGAATATCAGAAATAAAATGGATGACACATTTCATAGCACCCAGTATGTCTTGATATGCCTAATGTTAGCATCAACATTAGTAGATTTATTATCTAGCATTTCTGGCACATACAGGACACTTTAGACCCCCGACTTCTAAAGCACTTTTGCTTGCTGATGTGCTTTATGTGTGAACAGTAAAATTCTTTTTTTTTTCATTTTACAAAAAGTGCAGAATTCGATAGAAATTAACACTTTTACTAATTAACCTGGTTGCATCCCCTGACTGTTAATCAGACAATTGGTCCTGTTACTGCCTGGTTTGTTTTGCTCAGTGGAGCTAAACTCAAGAGGCAGCAATTGCCCAGAGCACCTGCCTTGCAAAGACGTCTCATTGAGCTACATTGGGAAGTCTGTGATTGTACAGTCACAGAAAGTCCGGGCGGGTTAGAAGGGTAGGGCTCGCAAATACAGCAGACAAGAGATCAGCAGTTTTTGCAAGCTTTTTTTTTTATACCACTAAAGAAATATACCACTAAAGAAAAAAATCATAATTGAAGGGACACTCCAGGCACCGAGACTGCTTCTGCCCATTGGAGTGGTCTATTGCACTACCCTTAACCCTGCAAGTGTAACTATTGCAGTTTTCATAAACTGCAATAGTTACAGTGCAGGGTTAAGTCCTCCTCTAGTGGCTGTCTACTAGACAGCCACTAGAGGACACTACCGTGTTCATAGAATACGAAAAGTGTTTTAAAACGACGCTGGACGTCCTTACGCTATGTGAGGACCTCCAGCGTCCAGGAAAGCATTGAAAGCATTATTCAATGCTTTCCCAACGGGATGTCTAATGCGCATGCGCATTAGATCTTCCACATCGGCGGGGGAGGAGAGAAGGCGGAGCCTGACCCAGCAACTTGGGATGGGTGTGGGAGGGAAAGGGGCACTTGAGGGTCCTGCAGTGCTAGGAAAACGAATATATATAATATTTTTTTTCCTCTTTTATTAGGGCAGTGGCGTGTCCAATTCAAGTCACGGTGTCTCATTTAAAAAATGGGCCACTCCTTTTGCTGTTTGAAATGTTGGGGGAGCAGGGGTGGGGAGCTAATTCTAACACACAATCATAAACAGGGTTATTTACTAAACTGGGAATTATTATTTATAAAATATTTCACCAGGAAAGATACATTGAGATTTCTCTCGTTTTCAAGTATGTCCTTGGTCCACAAATTGACCGGGGACATCCATGAAATTTCTTATTTTAAGCCAAAACAATAAATGATTAAATTCCTTAGTACGTTTTTGAACTCGGGATATTTTTTTCCCTCCTCCAGGATGCCAGTTTCTTTGAAGCCTCCATTTGTGGTGACGTTGGATATTAACCTGCTCCTGGTGGCTCTGACAATACTGGGTCTCCTGACAAGGCTATGGTCGCTCAATCACCCACAAGCTGTTGTGTAAGCTGCTCATTCACCTTTTTTCCTGCTAGGATTGCTATCGTTTTATATAATATATATATTGTTATTGTGAAGTGCCTGTTATGTTATGTATGTGTGTGGGCTGTTTGTGATGTTAAATGTTTGTATGTGGTTGCACATTAGTACTTGTAAGTGTGATGTGAGCTGTCCATGGTATTGGGTGTGTCCATGTGCATGGGGTGGTTATTGCAAGGATGTGTTAAGATTGTATGTGAGAGAGATGTATTGGCAGGTGATTTGTGGGTCTTTATGCAATAAATATATAATTTAATTTAAAAAGTTATAAAGTTATTTTATGCCCCTTTTGCCCTTTGCAGGTGGGTGTGATGGGGCATGAATCTTCATTAAAAATCGAGTTTTCCAGGGTGTGGTTCTTGTGATCTGCACCTTTCATGTGTGCGGACCACTTGTGTGCCTGTCTCCATTAGGATGCAATTCCAGCGAGACAGAATATGGAGAAGTTCCAGATTGCAAAGAAGAGTTCCCTGTGGTGTCTGCACCTGCTGGAGGTGCAGACCATAGGCTCCTTTGAGCGGGAGCGCTCTGGAATGACCATGCATGACACACATGCCACAGGTTGCCGACCCCTGATTTAGAATCTGTGGCAATGTAGGCAAAAATGTGACTGGTGAATAATATACTGCAGTAATTTGATATAGAAGATAATGAATAAGTGGGCAAAAAGAAACAATTTAAAGGGACACTATAGTCACCCAGACCACTTCAGCTCAGTGAAGTGGTCTGGGTGCCAGGTCCCTCAGGATTTAACCCTTCAGATGCAAACATAATAGTTTCAGAGAAACTGCTATGTTTACATTTGGGGTTAAGCCAGCCTCTAGTTATTATGCCTCCATCGCGCAGAGCATCCATAGGAAAGCATTGACGTCGGCAGGGGAGGAGAAATCACTAGCGCCAAGGGAGCCCGGCACTTGATTAAGGTAAACTGCTGAAGGGGTTTTAACCCCTTCAGGGTAACGGGAGGGGGACCCTGAGGGTGGGGGCACCCTCAGGGCACTATAGTGTCAGGAAAACCGCTTTGTTTTCCTGACACTGTAGTGATCCTTTAAAATTACCAAGCTTGTGGGGGTTGGGTTGATGGGTGCACTTTTTAAATTTAAGTATCTGGGATTGATCCTATACCAGGGGTAGGCAACTTTCGGCACTCCAGGTGTTGTGGACTACACCTGCCATAATGCTCTTACAGCCATAATGCTGGCAAAGCATCATGGGAGGTGTAGTGCACAAAATCTGGAGTGCTGAAGGTTGCTTAGCCTGAAACATTTGATCTGAAATGTCACCTGTTCTTGTCATCTCCCTGGTAGCAGACATTTATTAAATCAGCTACAATGTTACATTTTAGTTACTGGACATTCTCATTCATTTCTTTAGACTAATGGTTTTTTTTTGTGTTTGTTTTTTGTCCTGCAGGTTTGATGAAGTGTATTATGGGCAGTTTATATCTCTGTATATGAAGCGCATATTTTTCTTAGATGACAGTGGACCACCTCTAGGACACATGCTTCTGGCATTGGGAGGTAAGCATGTGCTGATCACTTCATACACACATAAAAGTAAAATAACATTTCTCTATGCCCCCAAAGAAGAATTATGCGATCGTATCCCACTAAAATATTGGATTGAATTCCAGTGTTGGGGGTCATTCCGCATCAAATATTGGAAATATATTGGAGGGAATAGTCTTTTTCTTTTTTCAGAGATTAAAACATCATCTAAACTTCATTACTAAGTACTTACATTTTCCAGGTTACCTTGGTGGGTTTGATGGTAATTTCGTGTGGAACAGAATTGGAGCCGGTAAGTAAAAATATATGAATATATTGGCGTGTGCTTTCTGTCACGCTCTGTATAACCCTCTGTGTGCCAGAGTAGATGGGGTATAGGCCAAATATTTCTCACCCAACTGCACCAAAATGGTAAATTGTGAGTTTTAAGAAAGGAGGCTGTGTATTTGATTACATTGTCCTATTATATTTTTCTTTTTTTCCTGCACAGAGTACAGCAGTAATGTCCCTGTCTGGTCTCTCCGACTGCTGCCTGCAATATCTGGAGCACTGTGTGTTCCCCTAACTTATCAGATTGTAGTGGAGTTGGGGTTCTCTGCACGTGCAGGTCTGGTAGCCTCCATTCTACTTTTATTTGGTGAGTTGGTATAAAAATCAAAAAAAAAACAACGTTTCGGCTGAAAAGCCTTTGTCAAGGCAGCTCCCTTGACAAAGGCTTTTCAGCCGAAACGTTGTTTTTTTTTTGATTGACTCTGTCCCTACTTCTCACTGAATTTGGTATGGTTTGCTGCATTTTTTTTATATGTCTGGGTTTTCATTATACTAGTATTATAGTGGACTGTTTGCATGATATTTCTTTCATTCATTTATTACGCATTGAGCGTTTATATTTGCCTATATCATTGCTTTTCTGGTAAATGCTTTTGAATAGCATGACTTTGTACCTCTGTGGATAATATTTAAAGAGACAGTCCTATAGTATATACCCATTTAATAAAGATTTTTTCATATATATAAAGATTTATGGTTGTGCTCCTTACTCTATTCACACTGTTATGTAGTTTGGGTTCTTTAGGTGATAGAGCCTTATGTGGGTGAGCACCCAGTATTTATTATATTAGCCTTTTCCTGGGGCTATTTTGTTGTTTAGTCGAGTGTGCCCGCCTTGTTTCATTTACACAGATACACATACCTTGACACACAATGTGTATCTGTGTGTGTGTATGTATGTGTGTATCTATGTTTCAAGGTGTGTGTATCTATGTTTGTATGTGCCATTGTGTATGAATCTGACACACAGATACACACATTGGCCGATAGTAGCACACAGATACCCACACCTTGACTCACAATGTGTATCTGTGTGTGTATCTGTGTTTGTATGTGCCGGTGTGTGTCAAGGTGTGTATATCTGTGTTTGGATGCACCAGTGTGTGTATATGTATCTGACACACAGATATACACACACATCTTGACTCACAAATACACACACACACATACTCAGATACACACAGTGATATACACATACAAACACACTGATACGCACTGATACATACTGGCACACACAAACACAGTAACACATACAGAAACACACTCTTTGACAGACACACATACACTCTCACTGACAAACACACACATACACTCTTTGACAAACACACACACTCTTTTACAGACACACATACAAACACATATACATTCTCATTGACAAGAACAGATACATTCTCACTGACAAACACGTACACTCACACACAAGCACACATTCAATCTCACTGACAAACACACAAACACATACAAACTCCCTAACAGACAAAACATTTTACTCCACCCAGCCCCCCTACCTTTAGGAGTGCTGGCATGGAGTCCTTGGGGTCCAGTGGGGCTGCTGTCGGCTGGCATAAAGTCCCTGTGGTCCAGTGGGGCTGCTGGGTGGCTGGAGAGCAGTCCCTGGTGTCCAGTGGGGCTGCTGAGCGGCTGGCATGAGGACGGCAAGGGAGCAGTGATCTCCTGCTCAGTTCCCTTGCGCGCCTCTTAGTGATGCCGGAGCTGGAGTGACATCATATTCCGGTTCCAGTATCACTGCTGTGCGCGCAAGGGAGGTGAGCAGTGAGATCTCTGCTCCCTCGCCGCCCGCGGCCGTTTTATTTTCACATTTTTTGGCGGAACCCCAACACCAATTGGGAAACGCTGGTCTAGTTATATAATAGCCGGGGCTAATGAAAACCAAGTGGGATGGTTCTTTTAACAGGTTCATCCATAATCATTAACCTCAAGTTTAGATACACTACTGTATTGTTTGCCATCCGTACATCAGCATAACAAGCTACCTTTACAGACATTTGTGATCTAGGTATTATTTCATTTTCAGATATTGTCCCTTAGCGTGAAACCTCCTGTATACGTAACAGTGAACTCTCAAAGGTTGGGGGCTTTGAAATGGAGGTAACTCTTAAGTCTAAGTCTCCAAGTCTGAAGTTGGACAGTATAGTGTTAATTGAGGCACAACCTTTTTACAATCCATTAAATGTTACACAGAAACGTGTTGTGCCTGTTATATGCCACTGTTCCTCATGGTGGCATATGGCACCAACAGCTATAGCGGAAGACAGAACTCTTTTTGCTCCAACAGAGTGTCAGTGGTTTGGCATCAATTCTAATATATTCAATATTTCTGTGTTACATGGACTAAAACAGTTTAAAAATAACACCAAAAATCTGTCTCCTAAATTCTACGAAATGTCTGATCCAATCAAAAGATCTGATCCACTCACGACAAAGTGTCCCTAAATAGCAGGATATTTAGTCTCATTCTATTTCTCTCTACCTTTGTTTTTTTGTTTTCTTTAACATCCTCACAGAGAATGCACTGATTACACAGTCACGTCTGATCTTGCTGGAATCCGTGCTCATTTTCTTCATCCTTTTGGCATTACTGTCATTTATAAAGTTCTGTCACTCTCAGGAGAATAGGTAAGTCCTCTGTGACAATAAGGTCATTGATATCTGTACTCTGATACATCTAACCACATGTGCTATCTACTTTATCTGGTACAGCAACCTTAAAGGAATCTTATTTTTTTATTTAATGGGCTTTTGCGCAAAAATGTTATTGGGTAATTTTTTGTATGTTTAAACTAAAGTGTGTTGTGTAAAGTAATGTGTCAGTGTAGTTTGTACACAGTTGCAATGGACTCCTCCATGTATCTGAGTTGGCAATTTTTACTGACAAAGAAATAAAACAAAAACAAATGGATTTAAGAAAACAGAGGATGCAACTGGTTTATAATATCAGTAATTGTCCTGTTGTATACCTCTATGGAATATGTGTGTGCTTTGTAAAATATAGAGGGAAATAGAAACATTGAGGACTAAAGGACACCCTTGTCTGGTACTTCTTTCTGTAAAATAAAAAATGTATATTAAAAAAGTGGGTAATGTTTATCCCATTGATTATCAGAAATATTTTATTTATAGCCTAGATTTACACTGGTAGGCTACATTCAGTGCACCAGTTGTTGTAGACTACATCTCCCCTGATGCTTTGAAAACATTATGGCAGTAACAGCATTATGGGAGCCGAAGTCCACAACATCTGGAGTGCCAAAGTTTGCCTACCTCTAATCTTGAATACCATTTTTTTCTGTCACTCTTTGTTGATAATATTGAGAAATGTTTTCATGTATTGATCTCTAGTTGCAACAAATTAGGTCTTATGAGTTTTATTAATCAATTACAAAATTGTCACCTAGAACATAAACACATGAAAAAATATTCAGTCAAATTTAATTTGCCACTGGCTGTAATTTTTTTTTGTTTTTTTTTATCAAAACTTTTTTCTTTCTTTCATCGTTTTCCATGCATTTGGTGCTGAAGAACTCGCTTTTTAAGAATATCCTCTGATATCGCCCAAACTAATTAAAACGATTTGTCTAGCAATGCAATGCTTTGTGAATAATCCCTTAGTCCACTTTACAGAGTAAAACTGAGTGGTGGAACTTCCCCTGTGGATTAATATTATCCTTTGCTCTACAGTCCCTTCTCTATATGCTGGTGGTTCTGGCTGCTGCTTACTGGGGTTTCTTGTGCCTTAGCTGTAGGGTAAGTAATCATTTCACGACAGACAGTATTTTTTATTTAACGTCCGCCTTCCTATGTGCGTCCAGTAAATCTTCTATCTACTCTCCATAGGGTGAAATACATGGGTCTCTTCTCTTATCTACTGATTTTGGTTATTGCTGCCGTTCACACTTGGCAACTTATCGGTGATCGAACCTTGTCCAACGTATGTATATTGATCTGCTCTGGTCATGGTGACTGCTAACGGTTCTTTGACCTGTAGGCTGTTTGTTACTGTTACAGGTGTCTTTGCTGTTCCATTTGCTGGCACGTGGCTTCTCTCTGCTTCTAGTACCTGCTGCCCTATATCTGGGGATATTCTACATTCATTTGTCCTTGCTGATCCGATCGGGTCCTCATGACCATATAATGAGCAGTGCTTTCCAAGCCAGCCTCGAGGTAACTAGTTCCCATTGAGAATATATTACTTTGTGTCATCCAGTAATGTTTGAGAATTGGTTATATCCACTGACTGTGACATTGAATGGATTCTTCAAGGCTTCGTTGTTTTTGTACTTTACCTTGACAACATTCTGTAAATGGCCATTAACTGCTCCAATAGTGACAGCAGTTGTATTTTTGTATAACAGCCCTGTTCAGTATTCATTGGGGAAAACACGTAATCTCTGCTGTGACTAATTCAGTTTGTGATTCTTAGGGTGGGCTTTCACGGATCACGCAGGGGCAACCCTTAGAGGTTGCTTATGGATCCCAAATAACCCTACGGAACACTTTAGGGAAACCTGTGCCATGCTGGCTTCACTCGCACAAAAACACCTACCCTGTACGGTAAGTGTATGTCTATGTGTATGTACATGTATGTGTATCCATTTTTTCCCTTGAAACACAGAATTTGTAGCCATTAACGGACCACTATAGGCACCCAGACCACTTCAGCTCAATGCAGTGGTCTGGGTGCCAGGTCCATCTAGGGTTAACCCTGCAGCTGTAAACATAGCAGTTTCAAAGAAACTGCTATGTTTACATTAGGGTTAGTCCAGCCTCTAGTGGCTGTCTCATTGACAGCCGCTAGAGGTGCTTCCGCACTTCTCACTGTGCTTTCGGCAGATAACGTCGGAAGAGGGAGGAGAGTCCCCAGCACCAAGGGAGCCCGGCGCTGGAGAAAGGTAAGTTTTTAACCCCTTCCTCCCCCTAGATTCTAGCGGGAGGGGACCACGAGGGTGGGGGGAACCCAAAGACCCTATAGAGCCAGGAAAATCCTTTAAAGGTTTTTAAACAGGGAGGGCTAATCAACACCTGACGTAGGGCTCCTATGTTTCTTTCACTGACTGATATTTATGCAAAGGATAGTCCATAACAGGACGTCAAAGGTTAACCATCAATTTTCCTTGGGTTCTATTGCAGCATGACATTACACTGTTGGGTAGGTTAGTTAGTGAAGTGAATTTTCTGTATTGCAGTGATTGTGTTTTCTGTAAAGTATCTGTCTCACCAGCTGCCTTTGTATCTAGGTACGAAGGTGGCCGAGGAAGCTCCCACCAGCAGCAGGTCACCTGCTACCCCTACAAAGATGTCAATAACTGGTGGATCGTGAAGGATCCAGCAAGGTATCTATCTATCTACACAGTTAAATGGTGCATGTGGTAGTTTGTATTTCTGTATAGTGTTTCATAATAGCTTTGCTGACCTTGCTGTTTTATAATCTCCTCTCAGGCAAGAGATGGTGGTAGGTTCTCCACCACGTGCCATACATCACGGAGACACCATACAACTGGTACATGGTATGACCACCCGTTTCCTAAACACGTATGTATAGATTCTTAAAATACATTTAAGGTGACATATACAGACAATTTTACTATAAACATTTATTTCAATATCAAAGTAAATAATTTACTCTATTGCCACTTTAGACAACCATTTCCTTGAGCCTGTATATGAAGGTTAAAGGGGAACTGTCTTGAAAAAAGAGAATTTGTTTTCAGTACTTACCATAATTTCTTTTTTGGCTACTACCCATGTCAACATCACCTATGGGTTAAGCTCCTTCCACTCAGCTGATAGGACAGGAATATTTAAATTAAATTTAAGGACATTATAAGAGGAGTCTTCCCCCCCTCAACAGCAGTCTTGTAACTAAGTTAACCAATGGAGGGGAGGGAAATGTTGATATGGATATTAGCCAGTAAAAGAAAATTACGGTAAGTATTGAAAGCATATTCTGTTTTCCCGGCTAATCCATGTCAGCATCACCTATGGGATTTCCAAAGTTTACACAGTTGAGAATTAAAAGAGAACAAATGATAACTGCCCAAATATTTACATTTATTGATGAGACACAGCTGAGTGCAGGTCACTTCTGCCAATGGAGGAGGTCAAAGAGGAGTCAAATCTTACATGGTGACCACGGTGCAGCCTTACAAATCTCCTAGGTAGAGGTGTCCACCAAAGATGCCCAGGATACCAAGACAGCCCTTGTAGAGTGAGCCTTGATGCCTTCTGCAATAGGTTTGCCATCTACCTTGTAGGCCTTATGAATTGCAGACGTAATTCACCTACGGTTAAAAGAGACTGAAGCTGCCAAGCCCTTGTGATGTCCAAAGGGAATGACAAACAAACTATTTGTTTTACGAAGTTCTTTAGTTCCATCCAGATAAATGTGCCGAGCTCTTACCACATCCAGGTTATGCCACAAAAGATAAAATAGTGAATGAATGAAATAAATAAATAGACATTTAAGTACCTTGCAGCAGAGCTCCAAACGATTCCAACACTTCAAATCAGAGAAAACGGTTTTACAAATTGCATCACCTTAAACTTGGGCCTCCTTAAAATATAGCCTTTAACTATACCTACCGGCACTTTAAGAACTCTCATGCATGTGTGCAGCGTTCTGGAAGATACCAGTCGGGCATGATGGCTAAGGAGGAAGTTGCATCATAGCGCACACCTGCTGGAACACATGAGAGAGTTTGCGCCCGACCTCCTTTTGCAACAGAGAGCCTAAAAGAGGAATAAATTAGCTTTAAATTCCGATGTCCAAAACGAGTGCTCACAAATGTGCAAGCGCGGGATCTTAGAACAACCAAGCTGTTAGGAGGACAAAGCAACAACTGTGGAAAACAGTAAACACTAACAAATGAGGCATTTATACAACCGAAAACTCTTGAAACAAGTAGAAACTTTTGTCCCCAATTCTTCAGTTACCATAGATTAATATAGCAACCAATATACAAAAAAGTGAAGGAAAAACAGCCCCGTAACAGATCAGGCTGTTCTCCTTCAAACCACCCAAAACAAATCAACGTCTAAGGAAAATAAATAAATTTTACTAAGAATAAAATCAAAAAAACCTAAGGACTCGTATATAGGACAGTGGACTACAAAGTTATAATGGAAACAGCATGTATCAATCACTGTTATATGTAGCAGATTGAACTCAAACAGAGTTAAAGCTACACATGATACTTGGATACATATTGAACCTAACAAAAGGGATAAACTTGTATAAAAAGAGTAAACTAATGGGGAGGACCATATAGGTAAAGAGAAAGTTCAAATAAACCCCAGAGCTGAAAAAATCAGTCTCATAGTAACTCCATACTATATTATATGGTCGCCCCAACGTATTTAAACACTCAATACACTGTTAATAGGAGTCCACTAAAGGTAAAGGTATATTCAAACAGAAACAAATTGAGAAAAATAAATAAAAAATAAATCAAATTACCTAAAGACTCATAAAGATAACACAATACTGTCTATAAACTGCAAGGTTCCAGTATAGGTGAAAATAATCGGAACACTATTCCATATAGTAGTCTAAACTCAGAAAGAGTTAGTGCTAAGTAGGTTATATATAATATAGATTAAACCCTGCAGAAAGTCAGAAAGTGCAAGTTAGTTGACTTGCATTGGAAATCGAAAGGATAGGGAAGATAATATAAACGAAGAGAGAAATGAAAAGTAGAGATGGATATAAATATAAATATAAAGTAAGTCTAAGTAAGACAGACAAAACTAGATAGATCCACCTCACAATATCTCCCTATTAAATAATCATCCCAGCGTATAGAACCGATCAACCCCAGAGTCACTAAAACATTAATCTAAAAGAGTAACACTAAAGGTATAACAATGTACATCGGAGAAAACAAGCCCTAATATAGCAACCATAATAGAGTTTCAAACCGCTTGTGCTGTATCTGGGTTCCTCCCTAGAAAGAGAGGCTGAACTCTCTAGAGGAGCCATACTGAGAATAATGGCGGGTGAAAGAAAAATTATTTTAAAATTATTTTCGGCCCCCCCCCCCCATGCTGTTAAGGTTTGGAGACTCCTTTTAGAATGTCCTTGATTATATATTTGAAGATAGCTGTCCTATCAGCTGAGAGGGATGAGCTTAGATGATACTGACATGGATTAGCCAGGATTTTTAAAAAATTTTGTTTTTTTGCTTTCTATTCGATAGTCTGTGTTAATCATTTATTTTTTGCAAAATACCCTGTTGAGAGATTTGATCTTCAACTTGCACTGTAAGCAGCATAAACATTACAACTTAGTGTAATGATTATGCTGCCAATAGTCTATCAGAGTTTCTCTCGGTTTGACAAAATCTAAGACTCTTTCTAGCACTCAGACACCACCCACTCTTCAGCCAATCAGATACTGTGGAATTTACACTTCTGCAATTCTGTCCAAACTAGATGATGATCATAGGCTAAGAGTGCTGGGGGCTGATTAACTTTGTGATGTTGCTGGCAATAGTAGGTGAATAATAGGCAAATTCCATTTTTACTGTTGCTGATGGTAAATCTTCCGAAATGAATTTGAGGAGATCCAGATAAATCAATAGGTCATTCACATAAGTATTCTCTTACTGGGCTGTTAGTGGATTAATGCACTAATATGTTTTAACATTGTACCCGATCTCATCCAAGGATCTTTCCTCCTTATCTAGACATGATGTTGCTGCTGCTTTGTCCCCATACTCCCAGGAAATCTCCTGCTACATAGACTATAATATCTCTATGCCGGCACAGACACTGTGGAGAGTGGTGAGTTAGTGTCACTGACAAGAAAATAGGCTAATAGTCACTAGAAGCTTACACTTCTCTCTCTTGCTACTGTTACTGTGTCCTGTTTGCAAGCCATGCTTTTATCACACTCAAAGCTTCAACTACAAGTAATGCTAATACTTGTCTGTTAAACCCCTTCTACGAGTTCTGTTCTACAGGACAGAACCAACTGCTACTGTGTTCTGAGCAAAATGGAATGCAGTCCTGTACCTTTAATAAGCAGGTAACCTAAAGCTTAATTAGAGGGACACTCCAGACTGGAAATAAGGAAAATTTGATGCATTATATAGATGATAAATTGAAGAAATAAATTAACAAAAACGAATTACTTGTAAAGTTCCAGTCGTTGCTATATTTGCCGTGGCAAGCTTCCTCTGCAGATAAGCCGCTTCCAAGACCAGGAAGAGGCTTCACCTATTATGAGCCTCTCATTCTGATCTAATAGAATCTGATCTTCTCCCATAAACCCCTGTCTAGCATAGGTTTTGTTTTCTATTAACCATTGCTGTCAATATAATTATTATTGTAATCTGGTACAAAATGAGTTATTATAATGCACAGTATCTAGCTGCTGTACTTGTTTGTTTTTTTATTTTGTGCCATTTTTAAAAATTATATATATATATATATATATATATATATTTTTTTTTATTTTTTTATTTTTTTTTATGAATTATGGAGGTCTTTATTTTTCTACAGTTAAGATGTCCACAGTGTGACAGTAATCACCACATTACTATATTGATAGATAGTATCTTCACCACACTCGTGAAATGTTCCACTTCGTGTTCCCGATGTATGTCTCCCCTCCATCCCTCACAGGAGATTGTGAACCGAGAGTCTGACACAGACACCTGGAAGAATATCCTGTCTGAGGTGAAGTTGGTCCACGTCAACACATCGGCGGCATTGAAGGTGTGAGGATAGAGGGAGGTGGAGGTGGGATGGTGACAAACATTAGGCAAATGTGGGAGACAATAAGAGCCTCACTCCAAAATACAGTGGCAGGAAAAGGCTTGCAAACCCTTTATAAATGTCTGCATTTATGTATAAATCTGGTTACATGTTCATCTAAGTTACAGTAATCAACAAACACAATCTGTTTTAATAACACACAAATTATTGTATTGTTTGTGTACATATCGAATATATAATTCAAATATTCACAGTATTGGTTGGGAAAAGTATGTTAGTATGACTTCAACAAAAGCTAATTTGAGTTGAAAATTGGCAAACCGGGGTACAATTAACAAAACGAGATTGGAGGTGTGGGCTAAAACTACTCTGACTTATAAAACGCACTCAAACATTTTGAGTTTGCTTATAACAAAAAGCGTTTGTCAATGCCTTGCAAAAAGGAGCACTCAGAAGACCTGCGATCAAGAATAGTTGCAATATATAAAGCTAGAAGGTTACCATCTGTCCGATGTTGGACAAATTGTCTATAATTGGAGAGGATTTAGTACTGTGGTTACTCTATCTTGAAGTGGCCCTCCAGCCAAGATGACTCAAGGGGAACACTGCAGAATTCTCAATGAGGAAAAATATCATTGCAACTGGTTAATTTCTCTGTTCAGTAGTCTACTATACAGAAGATCGGAGTGGAGTCCATGGCAGGACACCATGAAGAAAGCCACTGCGTTACATAAATGTAAACATTGCTGCACGCCTGGAGTTTGCAAAAGTCAACCTTGACACTCCATAACACTAATGGGACAATGTTTTATGGACTGATAAATCTCCGGTTGAGTTGTTTGGGAAGATCATGCAGCACTGTGTATGGTGTTAAAAGGGCAACGCATACCAACATGAAAACATCATCCTAACAGTTAAGTAAAGTGGGGGGAACGTCATGATTTGCGATTGGTTTTCTGCTTTGAGGCATGGACCACTTGCCATCATTGAGGGGAAAATTAATTCCAAAGCTTATCAAGATATCCTACAGGTTGATATCAGCGTGGCTGTGGGCCAGCTGAAGCTCAGTAGAAATTGGTCGATGCAGCAGGACAATGACATTAAAAATTGAAGTAAATGCACTACAGAATGGCTTCAAAATAAAAGAAAGCCACCTTTTGGAGGGCCCAGTCAGAGCCCAAACCTTAACCCCATAGAGATGCTGTAGAATTACCTCACGTGAGCTGTTCACACCAGACTCCCTAAGAATATGGCTGAGCTGAAGCAGTTCTGTAAGGAAGAGTGGTCCAACATTCCTCTTGAATATTGTGCAGGTCTAGTCCTCAGCTGATGGAAACACTTGATTAAGGTTATTCCTCCCAAGGGAGGATCAACTTGCTATTTAATCCAAATGGTAATTTTTTCCCCCCACAGAACTTGGATGTTGAATGGGATTTAATAAAGACATGAACGATGATAATTGTTTGTGTATTGTTAACTTAGGTACATTGTGTTTGTCTATATTTGTGACTTTAGTGAAGATGAGATTACATTTTATGACCAATTCATACAGAACACCAACTAATTTCAAATGGTTCACATACTTTTTTCTTTGGGTAAAGTTAACTTGTTAAAATACTTCCTGGGATACCTCTGCTAAATTCCCTGTGGGATAAAAAATCAAACCAAAGATGGCTGCCAGGGGCCATCTTGGAAGATGCAGATGTGATTCCCAGGTGAGTATATATTTCCTGTACACATTTATCTGGTGATTTTGACTGTAGGCTATGTGGCAAAAGGGGAAGTTGTTATCAAATTATTATTATTAAATTTAGTCCTCCATTTAGCAGGAAGGACTCAACAAATGCCCCCCTCCCTTCCTCTATTCCATCTACATGGATGTGGAAGGCTAATGAGACCTGGGTAGGGACCCGTATTTCTGTATCACTCAAGGCACCCCGTGACCAGTATAGTTGAGGCGGTTGGTGTATTTTTTCCTACCAAAATGTAGTTAGAAAATGCGTTTTATATTTGATTGTGTATTCTTTTTTGGGTCTATTTTAAAATTTGTTGAAAAAAATCATATGTTTTATTTTACCATACCTCTTGACTCGACATCAGCTCAGTGGAGCGGCATTGCCAGATTGGGGTTTTCGGCAGCTGGAGGTCGTTGGAGAGAAGTTGTCAAAAAGCTACCACCAGAGCCTGGTATGGAATGTGGAGGAGCACCGATACGGCAGGAGTAAGTGCACATTTACGCTTTCATTGATACTCCTTGCTAGGGTGAGCTCATTCTTTCTAGGGTGAGCATTCCTTTCATCATTCAAAGTGTATTTTCTCATTGCCATAGCTCTGGCGAATTGTGTATGTTCACACAGACTCTGTAGATACCCAGATGAGTTGGATTGGTCTCTAAGAGAAACTGAAACAGCCAACTACAGAACTCTGGAAATACAGATATGGCTTGACAGCCATCAGACAACGAGCACCATAAATGGTCATTAAAGCATTCCATTGTTATAGTAAGATTGTAAGAATTTCAAATGGAACTAGCCAGACTAAGATACAAATATTGGCAGGAAATCCCGTTAATGATCGGATTAGGACATTTCATTCGAGATAAGATAAAGTATTGTCTGTCTCTCATTCAGGAGATGGTATTGATAAGAGTCTTTGATAATTTCCAGTAATTAGGTGGTTATCATGTCACTAAAAGGTGACTCTGCTGAAACTGAGAGTCCTATAAAATTCAGGCAAATACTGAACACTATTTGTTTAAACGATTTTCTTGATTTTGTAAAGTGTATTTATCCTTTTGAAGTTTTGTAAATCTCTATGTATGAGTCCTGCCTTTTCTCACAAATGTTGTTACATTCTGGTTACACCTGATAACCATTAGTAAGTTGTGCACCTCTCTGCAAGTTCCTGATGAAACTCTTTGTTTTGTATTAAATCAGCAATTTTTATTACTGTCTGTACAGCACTGATAAGGGTGGTGGCTGCAAGGAAAATCTCCAGCAGCTGTAAACCTACAAATCCCATGATGCTGTAGTAGCCTCAAAGCTGGCAAAGTATCATGTAGGCAACAGTACAACAAGCTCTTCCACCCCATTTCCCCTGATGGAGGTTTATGGCAGTCGGAAACGTCTCATTCCCTTGAATTTAATCAAAATCCTAAATATATTCCAGCACTTAGATCCACTTCTTACTGGGACTGTTCAAAATGAATTGACAGTAGTCACCTATTATGATAATTGGTACTTTGAATGCAGCTCTAAAAAAATCTTTTGCCAATTACTAAATAGTTTTTTGTTTGGTGAATTAGGTTTTATAGTTAAGTATGCCCTTTTTTTTTTTTTTGCAATTTAAATTTTAAGACTATCAAATACATTTTGTAGTGAATTGAAGACCTAGCTCAGTGATGACTAACCTTGACACTATACATAGCTTCTGGACTACATTTCCCTTGATGCTCAGCTAGCTTTTAGAGTCTAAAAGCTAGATGAGCATCATGGTAAATGTAGTCCAGAAACTATTTATGGTGTCAAGGTTAGCCATCACTGACCTACCTTCAGAATTACATGGACACCTAAGGCACCCAGACCACTAAAAGTAAATGAAGTGGTCTGGGTGCAGTGTCTCTATCTCCTTATTGTAGAACTTTGCCATTTTTGATAAACATAGTTACATAGCTGAAAAGAGACTTGCGTCCATCAAGTTCAGCCTTCCTCACATTTGTTTTTTTGCTGTTGATCCAAAAGAAGGACAAAAACCCCAGTTTGAAGCACAATTTTGCAACAAGCTAGGAAAAAAATTCCTTCTTGACTCCAGAATGGCAGTCAGATTTATCCTTGGATCAAGCAGTTATTACCCTACATTGAAAGATTATATCCTTGAATATTTTGCAAGTATGCATCTAGTAGCTGTTTGAACATCTGTATGGACTCTGATAAAACCACTTCGTAAGGCAGAGAATTCCACATCCTGATTGTTGTTACAGTAAAAAAACCTTTCCTTTGCCTTAGACAAAATCTTCTTTCTTCCAGTCTAAGCCCGCCTCTGCACTTTTTCTAGTGCCATAATATCCTTCTTTAGAACAGGTGCCCAAAATTGCACAGCATATTCAATATGGGGTCTTACCAGTGATTTATAAAGAGGTAAAATTATATTCTTGTCCCGAGAATGAATGCCCTTTTTCATGCATGACAATACCTTACTGGCCTTGGCCACTGCTGATTGACATTGCACATTGTTGCATGGTTTGTTGTCTATAACAATTCCCAAGTCCTTTTCGTGTGTTGTTATCCCTAATTCGCTTCCATTAAGGGTATACGTTGCTTGTGCATTCTTTACGCCGAAGTGCAGGCCCGGACTGGCCATCGGGCACACCGGGCAAATGCCCGGTGGGCCGCGGTGGCCGTGGGGCCGAGGCCAGCAGGGGAGGTCCCAGGATCTCCCCTGCCGGTCTATGCAGGGCCGGCACTCTCCTAGCGCCGGCCCCGCTGTTTGCCACGACAGGCCGGTGGGGAGATCAAAGCTCTCCCTCACCGGCCCAAATGCGGCCGCCGGCGGGGAGAGAGGGAGGGAGACAGCCGCCAAGAGAGGAGGACCCGGCGGAACTCTAACTTGCAGCTCCGCCGGGTTCCTCTCGCGAGATTCGGCACGTTGCCATGGCAACGACCGGATCTCGCGAGAGTTCACTCACCCACGAGGACCACCAGAGAACCCCGCCACCCAGTCCCAGTTCCAGCGTGCCGGTCCCCCCCCTCCCAGGCTAAAGGTAAGAAGGGAGGGGGGGGGGACATAATTCCTGTTTTTGTTTATTTACCCCCCCTACACACACACAATAACATTTATACAGCACTCTAACACCCATCACACTCTCACACACACAGCACTCTCACACCCATCACACACAGCACTCTCTCTCACACCCATCACACACAGCACTCTCTCACACACACAGCACTCTCACACCCATCACACACAGCACTCTCTCACACACACAGCATTCTCTCACACACACAGCACTCTCTCACACACACAGAACTCTCTCACACACACAGCACTCTCACACCCATCACACACAGCACTCTCACACCCATCACACACAGCACTCTCACACACACAGCACTCTCACACACCAATCACTCACACAGGGCACTCTCACACACACACACACACACGGCACTCTCACACACACACACGGCACTCTCACACACACACACGGCACTCTCTCACACACACACGGCACTCTCACACACACCCCGCACCCCTCACACACACACATACTGCACCCCTTACATACACACAGAACCCCCCCAACACACTGCACCACACACATACACAATACTTCCAAATATATATATATATATACACACACACACACTACACTCTTAAAGGACCATTCTAGGCACCCAGACCACTTCAGCTTAATGAAGTGGTCTGGGTGCCAGGTCTTTCTAGGGTTAACCCATTGTTTTATAAACATAGCAGTTTCAGAGAAACTGCTATGTTTATCAATGGGTTAAGCCTTCCTCCAAAGCCTCTAGCGGCTGTCTCATTGACAGCCGCTAGAGGCGCTTGCGTGCTTTTCACTGTGAAAATCACAGTGAGAGCACGCAAGCGTCCATAGGAAAGCATTAAAAATGCTTTCCTATGCGACCGGCTGAATGCGTGCGCATTCAGCCGAAGGGGCGGATAGGAGGAGGAGAGCTCCCCGCCCTCGCTGGAAAAAGGTAAGTTTTAACCCCTTTCCAGAGCCGGGCGGGAGGGGGTCCCTGAGGGTAGGGGCACCCTCAGGGCACTATAGTCCCAGGAAAATGAGGTATGTTTTCCTGGCACTATAGTGGTCCTTTAACATACACACTCTGGATCCCCTATACACACACTAGATTCCTTGTAAGCAAACACATACTACACCCCTAAACACACACACACACTATAGCCTGTATGCACACACTTGCTATATGCCCAATACACACATTCTCTACAGCCCATAGCCACATATGCATCACATTACACCACAAACACAACACGACTAAAACCGACCTTATTACACAATACCACACCACGACCAGCTCACTCTACACACTCGCAATACCACAAGCAGGCTCCAAACACATGCACAATACTCTTTCCTGGCCTTTTGTCTCCTGGTATCCATTTATAGAGACACCAGAGACAAGTTGCAAGGAAACACAGTGCAAGCATGTTATTAAATTTGCTTGCACTGTGCAGAACAAATATAGGACTTTTTTCTCATGCTAGAGCTCTTCAGCAGAGCTCTGCGCATGGTCTGCCCTGGAAGAGCATTGAACCAACATGCTCACTTTGAGAGGAGGCGTGTTTGTCATTGGTGATGACAAAACACACCTCCTCTGCCCCGCCCCCTTTTTAGTGGGCCGCTGTGTTAAAAAAATGCCTGGGCCGAATTTTTCTCCCAGTCCGGCCCTGCCGAAGTGCATAACTTTGCATTTTTCAACATAAAATTTCATCTGCCATTTGAGTGCCCAGTCCCCCAGTCTATCTAAATCCCTCTGCAGCAAAGTAGTATCTTGCTCACATTGTATTGTTTTACAAAGTTTTGTGTCATCTGCAAACACTGAAACATGACTTTCAATGCTGTCTTCAAGATCATTTATAAACATGTTAAATAGAACTGTAATGCTTACATTGCAGGGTTAGTTCATCCTCTAGTGGCTGCCATACTGGGAGCCACTAGAGGTGCATCCACGGTACAGATCAAGTTAAACTTGGTCATGTGATGTGGAAGCCCAATAGGAAATCATTGATTCAATGTTTTCCTAAGGTGGAATTTTGAATGTGCACGACACTTACTGCACATGCGCATTAGGTCTTCAATGTCCCTCTATTAGAAGCATTAGATTATACCCTCATGGAAGATGCAGGACCTCCTTCATGATGGGGAAGAGAGGTGAGCAACATTGAGGGCGTTGGAAAATAAATAATTGTTTTGGTTTTTTTTTGCTCCGTGGGGGACCTAATACTACTGTGTAGATAGATGCTATAGTGTTAGGAATACAGATTTGTATTCTTTAAGGCTAAGATTGCCAAGCTGGGGCTATTGTGGAAATTGAGAATTTCTCCACATCAACCATTTGCCTTAATTTTGCCTTTGTTGAGTTTTGAGAGCACCAAATTAAAAACAACACAGAATAACTCCTCCCCTTCTGTATATTTACTATGTACTATTCACTGTGTGACCTTACCTGTTGTGTCCCTTTGTTCGTGTATGCATTGAATTTTATATATTTGTAATGTTTTTGCTTTCAGAGTCTAACCCTGACATTTTTTTTTTCTTTTTTATCGACTTCATTATTTCTTCAGGTCAGGAACAGTCTGAGCTGGAGCAGGAATTGCATTCTCCTACACAGGTGGACGTGGCAAGGAACCTCAGTTTTATGGCTCGATTTTGGGAGTTGCAGGTATATGTTGGATATTTGGATATGTCAAAATCTGTGTTGGAAACATAGCTGTTCAGGAGTATAATGAGTTTAATAAAATTGCTGGATGTTTTATTTTTTTGTTCAACCCCCCCCCCAAAAAAAAAAAATCAAGTTAGTCGGCATACTAATGCAATTCAATAAAAGGCTAGTTCTGAGCACAAATGGTCATGTCTTTCAGTACACGGGTTCTTGTGCATCCAGCTACCACTGCTCTTCACTTGTAACTTTGTTTCTATCCTCAGTGGAAGATGCTCACTATGAGAAGCGAGAGCACAGAACACAAGTACAGCTCATCCCCTCTGGATTGGCTCACCCTGGATACCTCCATCGCATACTGGCTCCATCCCAAGACCACAGTAAGTGCAAGCTCTGAAGGTTAGGGCTATGGCCAGAACTTCAAATACCCCAGGAATGAATTGGTAATACAAGCGTACCTTTTTAAAGAACTTTTGGGGTTCAACCATTCTTAAACCCATCTACCTTTTTGTGATGCAGTGATAATACTCTGCAAAGTGAAGTCTGTGTGAATTTTTTCACATTTGGTTTGAAAGCTACACAAGATTAAATGTTACCATGGAACTGGTTGTGGGTGAAGTTTGCAAACTATTCAGAATATGAAAACACATCGCCTTAATGTTGTAACATTTTTAACGATACTGGCTGGTTAGCTGATGAATCTTTAATATAAATAATTCCAGCTCAGTTTAATGTTGTAACATTTTTAACGATACTGGCTGGTTAGCTGATGAATCTTTAATATAAATAATTCCAGCTCAGTTTAAAAGTGTCTCTCTAAGCAAAAGACAACTTTAGTCCTAACGAAGCCGTTTTGACATAGAGATCACACACCACCTGCAGTGTCACTGCTCAATTTCTTTTGTTACTGTTTATGAAGCATTAGCCACACCTCCTCTGGCTGTGACTCACAGTTTCCTTACACAATTCCTGAAAAACACAAAAAAAAAATAGCTTCCCTTATTGCACAGTGGCTAAATGTAGAATTTCTCCTGCTCTTTCAATTTTCCTCTAGAGAATGCAAAAGCCTCCTCCGTGTAATTAAAGTTTAGTTAACAGAGCGGGAAATGAGAACTTCTAAAGTAAACACATTGTGCTGTAAAAATTTAACTTTTTATTTTTATGGAAGCCATGTGAGTCACTGCTTAAATAAACAGAAACAATTGACTGAACTCCTAAATGGCAGAGAATTGAGCAGTGATACTGGAGGGGCATGATCTATACATCAAAACTTAATTGAGCTAAACTGGTGTTGTTGCTTAGGGTCCCTTAAAGGAAAGGTATCCGCAATGTCTTGTAGTCCTTTTGGAATGGAATTCACCACTGCTGATGCGATTTTTTTTTTTTTAAAGTCTTTGCATTTACAGTTAATTTGTGTATGGTGTGACAAAATGCATAGCCTGTAGGTGTGAAATATGATCTGCCTCTGTTTCAGGCTCAGATCCAACTCCTAGGTAATCCTGTGATCTGGTATTCTGCCAATGCTGGTGCGTTGCTCTACTCCGCATTGCTACTGTTTTACCTGCTACGCCAGCAGAGGGCGATCTATGACATTCCATCAGGTATGACTATGGTGTTAAATGAATCTGCTTCACTAATCCAAAGACAAAGAGATTTTAATGCATGCCTGGGTTACTTACTAAACTGAGAATTCTCAGGAGTTCACGAGGGAATTGTAAATTTAAGGCCAAATTAACTGGCTGGAAACATACAGGATTACTTACTGAAGTGAGAATTCAAAGTGAATTTCACATTTAAGGCCAGAGTAGCTGAGCTGGAAGCACAATTGAGTTAGAGAATTTTTCCAGTTTGGCTATTTTGACCTGAAATTTGAAATTCACGTTGAATTCTCACTTCAGTAAATAACACTGGCACAGAGTTGAAATAATTTCAGATTTTGCTGCTTTGGCCTACAATCTGCAGATTCTTGAATAGTGAGTAGTCAAACGTAGTTTAACTAAACAGTGACTTAAAATCCAGATCTTAAAACAAAATAGCAGAGCTGTGGGTATGGCTAAATTAGCAAATGTTTCCTTATCTGTTTTTCTATTCACTACAGTCAGAAATGGATTACATTAGGGATATTGGGACGGCAGCTCCAGGCCAAAACCATCAACAAATAGGATATACAGCCTTTTCATTAGGCCCATCAAAACGTTCAACTCCAGGCCCATGACGCCCTAAGTCTGAGTACAGTTCAAGGTTTCGTGAATAAACTCCATGAAAACACAAACCAGAACCAATCGACATGACCTTCTCATCAGCACCTTAGTAACTGCCCTTTGTGTATTACTGGGGTCTGTTTGTTATTTTCCACATAAAAGACCTCCCATATTGTACCTGCTTGCTCAAGCATCTTTGTTTCTTTGTTTAAGTTAGGTTTCTGAGAAATCTTAAAATACGACATACATTCCAGCTTTGAAGCGAAACTGCCACTGACTGGTCACATAGTTTGCAAAGACCCCCGACAGTGACATCGCCGTTGGGGGTCCAGTGGCCGGGGAGGCAGGGAAAGGTGAGTTTAAACTGTCCCCAGGAGCGCCGCCGTCCTCTTCGAGCCAGGAGCCAAAGTCACTGCTTTACTCTTGTGCATACGTGAGAGTAAGGCATGGAGGATCCCACAAGACACTCCTTAGCCAGAGCTAATTCCACGTGGCTGTCACTGGTGATGGCTGAGAGATTGACACTTCTAGAAAGTGCTAGCTCCGCCCAGTGTTTGTGTGTGTGACAGTGGTGCTTTAACACATCAACTCATACACTATAAGGCTGCATACAAGACTTGCGGATTCGCTTGCTCGCTAGAAAGCTCCTCCTCATTGTATTGTATTTGTTTGCAGATATGTGGCAGACCTTGCAGCTGACGGGCGCAGTGTGTTTGGGCGGCTGGGCTGTGAATTACCTGCCTTTCCTTGCAATGGAGAAGACCCTCTTTCTGTATCACTACCTCCCAGCACTGACCTACCTGATCCTCCTGTTACCGCCTCTGCTGGAACACACCTACCAGCATTTGCTCAGGTAGGTATGATTGGTATATCACGTGCTCCATGCTACTTGTGCTGGGGCATTTGGGGGTAGATAGGCTTGGCTTTCTAAGTGCCATAGAATGTGCCAGCCAATTTAGAATTAGCTAAACAGTCAGTTGATTTTGTTGTTACAGCACCAGCTGCAGCATATAGGCCATGTGTGTAATGGCAGGGTATGTTCATCTATTCATGCTTCAAAGGTCAATAAAACGAGAACCACTGAGTTGGGCAATAACACATCTATCATAACATTCCATGCACCATAACCACCAAGGCCCAGTGATTAATGGTGCCACTAGTACCCTGGTGCGGTTCCAGAGTCATTTAGTCAGTTTTAAAACTTCTGACAGGTTAGATATGTCGCACAGAGTTAGCTCCACTGAGCCAAGCAAGGTTATACAGGATCGCAAATCACTGTGTGAGTGTGGCGGCTGTGTACTCTCAGATATTGAGTGTGGTCCCCTATCAGACCAGATGTAAGTTGTCAAACTACATCTACTACTCTGGGACCTCCTGGCACGATAACCACTACCAGAGGCTGTAATGTTATGGCATTTAATGAAAGCTAAATGTATCATCCTTGTTAACTTAGCCATTATGTATGGCTTTCACATCTCTTTGCTGCATTAATAAAAAGGCAGACCATGTGCCAAAGTCGCTTTAACTGGCAATCCACTAGTTTTAGTGTACAGGTTATTAAAAGTTTAACACTTTCTGACATCACCACGCAGACTTATATGCAAACCAACTGCTATTGTTTAGGTTTGTATATTCCAATTCTAGGTAAAGATTTAGCATGCAGGAGGTTTGTCTCCTAAATCCATGTGCTTATTCTAGGTCCGAAGTTCTGAGGAATACATTCTCTGCACTTCTGGTGGTTTGGATGTCCAGTGTGTTTCTGACATATCGAAGACTTTGCCCACTAACGTATGGGGATCCTCCTCTATCCCCAGCAGAATTAAAGGGTCTGCGGTGGAAGGACAACTGGGACATATTGATCAGAAAGCGGTGACATATGCTCCATGGACTGATTGTAAGAAGAGCAGCTGAATTGTGTGGGACTTACCTGCTCAGACAAGCAGTATGACTATTTAATGTAGCCAGCCATAGGTCCAAAGCATTTCAACTGGGAATTTCAATAGGACTAGAAACTGCTTTTGGGGCAGATACGTCATTAGACAAAATCGAGAACAGGATGGGAAAAAAAACATTTAGCTGCAAGAAATGCACTGGATAGGTGCTTGTTCAGAAAACACTACAGTTTTGTACACTATTATTATTATTATTATTTTTAATGAAAAGAATTTGAACTGAATACTGGTCTGTTTTCTGTAAAAGAAATATACAACTGTATATATATAATATATTGCAATACAGAACATTAACAGTTAGACAGTCAATACTGAAATGTATACCATTAAGACACAGTACGGGATTCTCAAGGTTGTTCTAAATAACAGTCCAGAATCCATTAATTCTTTCATGCATAGATCTGTAAACCAACCTGAACCCCTGGTGACTTGAGAACAAACTAGCAAAATTCTAGACAGAGTCAAGTGTAAAAGGGGGTTAAAGGAAAGCTCTGCTCTTTTTGGCCTGTGTTTTGCCACTTCATTCCTAAGTCACTGTAACACGCTCTTAAGTGAATACAGCCCGCTGTGCTTATATCAGATGAGATCCTGTGCAATGTACTGAAGGAGCGCTATTGAGAATCTTCCCTGACAGTTGTCAGTATAATTCTTAGAACTTGGGGGTCTGTTCTGGATAAAACCACCTGAAATCTTTTTGAAGACAAATTGTCATAAGAACGTTTGTTTTTTTTCCCAATGGTGAGTTAAATTGATTTAATACAGAACATTGCCATGTGCTCTGTATTACAGCATGCAATAGCTTTCCTAGAACTTTAGAAAAGAATAAATTATATCATATTACTGTAGATGATATGCCTGTGCTCTGGCTGCCAAAGTGGCAGTAGTCTTACTGTCCTTTTACTACAGTGTTGGACAACATCTGGAAATCTATGGCTTTTGGAGACCTCCTTTTGGAGGTTCAGTTCCTTTACATTCATACTCTATCCCAGGGCAGAACTACTACCCATTTACATGCATTATATAGACTATATTTACCTAGAAATACCTTCTCGCTTTTTCAAATTTATCAGGAAGTTCCTGAACTCTATCCATTCTACAAGATATGGTATGAATTTTTAATGGACGTGCATATGACATCACATTGATAAGCAGCCTGCACCCCAATCATTGAAGAAAAATAGAAGATTCCTTTCTTTTGATGATTCACTTCCCCTTATTTTTGACATTCCGCTTAGGGCTAAGTTGAGATACATCATCAATGTTCTTAGTAAATCTATAGACTGTTTATACAAATATATATGAAAACAACTTGCTGAATGCTAAACCACTTCAGTGACTAAAGCTTCCACCCATAGGATGTCCTGTTCTGTACATCATTAGTTTATGGAAATATTCTGGGGGACCAGGTTATGTGCTGTGTGTATACACACATGCTTAAGGTGCATAAAAAGACTAATATTCTGAGTTCCCCCAAAATGAGCATGCCTTGATCTGGCACAAAATGCTCAAATAGTTACTTATTTAAAAAGAAGCCTCTAGTTAGTTGTGAGAGCCCACTCAAGGTGCAACACTGACAAGTGAATACTTGCAACAGGAGGGAAAAAAAAAATATTACACATCTTGGGTGATTCGTGGACATCTGGTCTGCTGGAGGGGAATGCAAGCTAATCCTTAGTTGCCAGCTTGTTGCCTCTGTTACCGTCCCAAAAACCTCTCCTCTTGGAAATATGAGTAATGGAGGAAGAAATGGAGCTGTGAAGACTTTGTGTCGGGTTCTCTTAATGTGGCCGACTGCTGGACTCCCGGTGCGTGCGTTTCCCAGGTACAAGAATACCTGTTGTTTCCCCCTGACCTGGGAAGGTCCTCTTCTGAGAACGGCCATTCACAGCGCCACGCTGCCACTTACAGATGTCACCATTTAGGATGTCTTGAATGTGCTGCACAATCAGGTTAATGGCCACTGGAAACAACAATGGGTCAATGTTGGCTAATCCAGCTGCTTAGAATGATTCACAATAAAACACAATTCACAAGTCTTCGACTAACCATGTTAGAAAATCCCTAGAAGTGTAAACGTAATAAACTAGACCACTGGATCAACGGTTGTATCTCAATGAGCATTCAAACTCTGCAACCTTGCAGACCATTCACAAACTAGGTTATGGGCTGAATAATATTTTCCCATGATGCTCCAGGTTGGCTAGGACTTGCGTAGGACATTGCTGCTGAAGACATATTCATGGACCAAGATGGACTCATCTTTATTTTAGTGATGCCATCAGAGAAGGAGGCAGGAGGGGTCTGCTACTGTCTATGATACAGAAACAGGGTTGGAAAAGGGGGGAAAAAAACCTAACAGGGAAATATATTTTTCTTTTCAAAACAGAGGAGGAGTTTGCTTTTATTTGGAAATGTGCCAATTGTATAGATTTAATTTACATTGCTACCCACACACCCAGAATAATAACAAGCAGTCCCCTTTCTGTCAGCTGTAGCCTGACGGACAGCAGCTGGCCGTGTTCAACCACATGTTGATTGGCATTAGTGTGCAGGTGTGAGAATTGGGCTGCAACATAAAGAGGCAAATTGTGGTTGGCAGTGTTTAAATGACATATCAAATGAGAAAACGACCGCTGCAAAGATAGTGCTTCTGCCTACAACTTTTTATATGATAAAACCTCTTTTATTTTAATTTTTATTATGAACTTTGTTCAACGGTTAATCATATGGAAATAAATAATACTTCTAACAGATGTGCTTCAATCAGCTCATTCTGTACTATCCAACTGTAAAGTAAAAATATCTTCTTATTGAAGTGATAGTTTTCCCGATTCCCCATTCTAGCACACTCCGCATGCATAATACTCACCCATGTTATCCACACCACGTGGGATTATCACATCCGCATACTTCTTAGTCTGGAAAAAGTGAGATCCACGCATTAGTTATTACAAATAAGTTAGTCTAATAAAAGTAGAGAATGCAATATTGTAACAGACTCTTGCTAGATGCTCCATCAAGCAATTTGAAAGCATTTCTCCATTTAAACATGTTCAAGGGAAGAATTCTCCCTCTCTCAAAAAAAAAAAAAAAAAAAGTGATTATTAGCTATAATCATTATTTCTACAATTAATGATGTTCACAACTACTATACAGTAGTTTATATTCAACTCCTGATTGAGTATAAGAACATATAGTATTGCAGTACTCAACCTTATTAACCTTGAAAATTAAACATTTTTACTAAAGCGAGAATTCAAAGTGAATATAAAAAATAAGGTCAAAATAGCCAGAATGGAAAAATTCTGTAAGTCAGCTATGCTACCGTGGCCTGAAATGTGAAATTTACTTTGAATTCTAACTTTCGAAAAGAACCGTGACCAAGTAATACTCTGTAGGCAGAGCATTCAACTATTGGTCCTAGATGACATTTTTGTGGATGCATCTCACAATGCTCACGAGCAGAACATTAAGGAACTCAAACAAGAGATGTGGTTTCTTGATCATTGTACCGATTTCTTTTTCAGCTGCATTTAACTTTAAATAAAGTTATATTTTGGGGCAGAGTTTTTCATGTGTTGGTGATCAAAACGTGTAAGTAATGTATGTAGGGGGAAAAAAAAAAAAATCCTTATTGGGGCAACTCTAAAGAAAGAGTCAAAACAACTTGACCTTTATGTGGCTGGAGTCTGTAATTTATTTTTTTTGACTGTTTCATATAAGTGCTAATCCAATAGCCATCTGCATTTTTATAACTGGGGCAGGAACACAACCGTGGATCTCTCGGAAGACAGCCAGGGAGGTGTACTTCCACTTTAGTTAGTTCTCCAGAGCTAATGGAAAATTAGTTTTGTTAAATTGAGAAGCATTGCAAAGCCACTCACAGCTCCAGCATATAGGCTTCTTAAAGGACCACTATAGGCACCCAGACTACTTCAGCTTAATGAGGTGGTTTGGGTGCCTGGTCCATCTAGGGTTAACCCTTATTTCTATAAACATAGCTAGAGGGCTTCCGCGTTTCTCACTGTGAAAATCACAGTGAGAAGACGCCAGCGTCCATAGGAAAGCATTGTGAATGCTTTCCTATAGACTGGCAGAATGCGCGTGCAGCTCCTGCCGTGCATGTGCATTCAGCCGAAGAGGAGGAGAGCTCCCCGCCCGGCGCTGGAGAAAGAGGTACGTTTAACCCCTTCATCTCCATCCAGCCCGGCGAGAGGGGGACCCTGAGGGTGGGGGCACCCTCAGGGCACTATAATGCCAGGAAAACAAGTGTTTTTCTGGCACTATAGTTGTCCTTTAATGAAAAGCCTCCGATTGGTGTATTCACCGGCACAGACTGAGGGGTTTTAAGGGGAGGAATTGCAAAGGCTGCAGACAATAGATACGCCATTATTGCAAGCTGGTTTTAGATACACCCACAATGAAAACTGCAGAAAATGTCAATAGTGTGTTCCTGTAAGTGGGACTGCCCTTGTTGGTTATTTGTTCCCCACCCCAGTAAATGCTATTTAAACATTTACATGAGTAAATAATACAACAGAGGTTGTAAAAAAAGAAAAACAAACCAAAACACACCTCCAGTGTATTTCTACATTCAGGGCAACTAGGTCGCCATAGGATGTCTCGACAATGCTTGTGTACATCCAAGCATCTAGAGAGAAATGCCATACACGAGCATTCCTTCAGTAGTCAAAACAAACAAACACCTTCAACTCAGTGCTCTAATCAAATAAATTACTTAGCTTCAATCAATCTGCAGCCTCCCAGGATCGTTATCCACAACAAACGATCTTTACATATGCATAGAACCACAAACAGAAATGGGATACGGCTGTACAATCTATAGAGGGAACATATAAAGGAAAAAAAAAAAAAAACACACAATAGTGTAATACAATAAATACAGTGAATAGTGCGCTTAAATGGATGCACTCACAAGATGATGAAAATAGAAGAGCATTCATGAGGTGCCTCCCCAGATAGCATAGGGGGCTAGTGGTTCCCCTTTCCGGTGTAAAACGACCAATGGAACACGGGACTCCAGGTAAGTAGTAGTAAAAAAGCAATTATTTTATTTTCTTAAAAGGTGAACAAACACCATAAGAATAAAGGTTAAAAAGTGCAGCAATAGGTCCAACGCGTTTCGTTCACAACTAGAACTTCATCAGGGACCGCAGAGTAAAAAATCACAGACAATATCATAGATTGTAAAATAACATCCTACTTTCCCCTTAACAGAATCTCTATAAATAGGGCTACTCCCAAAGTCCCATTGGTCCATGGTGTGGGAGTGTCCAGTAGCCAGCCATTCATTTGTCCAGGGGTATTCTCCTCCAGCTGATGGTGTTTAAATAGTTTAAATTGGGCGCGTTCAATGGGAAAGCCGAAACCGGAAGTGGACGTCTGCCTTCACTTCCGCGTTCTATTTGCGTTCCACATGCGTTCCAGATATGTTCCAAATGCGTTCCAAGTACATTCACTGCTCTTTCTTGACTAAAACAGCGAGGAGCCATCAATATAAGTAGTCATCAAAACGGAAAAAGCCCAAAAGTGTTAAATAAACTGAATATAATTAATCTCTAAAAGAAAAAAATTAATTAGTGTATAAAATATACAACAACCATATTAAGGTGGTTCATATGGAACTTCCCCATGTATTGTATATGTAACAGTATCATACACCATTAAATAGTGCCATATATGTCTATTTAAAGTGGCAGACATCTCCTTATTCAATATAAAATAAAACACAAATAATATATTCCTAAAAAAGTTCCCTCAATATAAATAATTATTATTTTAAACCATATAACCTACTTAGTACACATAACTGTATAATATAGAGTTTTTTTATTTTGTTTTTTTTAAATTTATTTATATAAATTATGAATTGTATTGATTATAGACACTTCTTTTTCCATATATTCATGCTGCCAGAACTACTCATATTCACAAAGATACATATGGAATAGTTTACATAGACAGGGAAAAAACCAAAAAAATCAGTCCAAGAAACACACCAGATCAATCCCAATATTTAGACCCCTAGGTTCAAGGGTCTTTAATTTATGTATCCAAAAGGTTTCCCTTTGGGATAACTTTTTGACCCTATCGCCTCCCCGCCAGTAGGGAAGGACATGCTCGATACCCATACACTTAAATTCTCTAAAAGAGAAAGAAGGACAATTACTGCAATGAGCAGAGACTGAATGGGTAACCAGTCCCTTACGTATATTATTTAAATGTTCCAAGATTCTGACCTTCAAGATACGCTTCGTGCGTCCCACATACTGTTTGCCACACGGACACTGCAGTAAATATACTACATAGTCCGTGTGGCAACCTATTAATGATTTAATCCTAAAGGTTTCCCCCGTGATATGACTAATAAATTCCTTAGTTCTCCCCATAGAGGCGGTGGTACATGCTTTGCAAACATTACATCCCCTAAAACAACCCGATTCGGGGGATACGTTAGATCTATTTATTTTAATGGCATAGCTAGGGGCTAGCATATTTTTAAAGTTCTTATTTTTCTTAAATATCACCATCGGACGTTCAGACAAAGAATTACCCAAAATGGGATCTTGTTGTAAAATGGGCCAAAAATCACTTAGGCTCCTTTTAATCTTAAAATGATCCGTATTATATTGGGTGACAAAGGCTGATTTAAAATTCATATTCCCAACAATATTGGGAGGTTTGTCCTCCAAAAGTTTGCTCCGTTCAAGAAGACCAATTGATCGAATTTCTTTTTCTAGCGTATTCTTATTATAGCCCCTTGCACATAATTTATTTTTTATATGGGAGGATTGGATCTGAAAATCTTGAGGGCGAGAACAATTACGTCTCAATCTGGTAAATTGGCTTCGTGCTATACCCCTGAGCCAAGGCTTATGGTGACAGCTTTGTTGGTGAACAAAGCCATTACCATCTGTTGGTTTAAAAAAGCATTTAGTTTGAATTTGACCCCGATCACAAAAAATATCAAGATCCAAAAAATGGATCTCGTGTTTGTTCCACTCCGGGGTGAAAACAAGATTATATAAATTAGAATTTAAATATAGGACATAATCAAAAAAACTATTAAGGGGTCCTCCAATTGATTTTTTGGTTTTTTCCCTGTCTATGTAAACTATTCCATATGTATCTTTGTGAATATGAGTAGTTCTGGCAGCATGAATATATGGAAAAAGAAGTGTCTATAATCAATACAATTCATAATTTATATAAATAAATTTAAAAAAAACAAAATAAAAAAACTCTATATTATACAGTTATGTGTACTAAGTAGGTTATATGGTTTAAAATAATAATTATTTATATTGAGGGAACTTTTTTAGGAATATATTATTTGTGTTTTATTTTATATTGAATAAGGAGATGTCTGCCACTTTAAATAGACATATGGCACTATTTAATGGTGTATGATACGGTTACATATACAATACATGGGGAAGTTCCATATGAACCACCTTAATATGGTTGTTGTATATTTTATACACTAATTCATTTTTTTTCTTTTAGAGATTAATTATATTCAGTTTATTTAACACTTTTGGGCTTTTTCCGTTTTGATGACTACTTATATTGATGGCTCCTCGCTGTTTTAGTCAAGAAAGAGCAGTGAATGTACTTGGAACGCATTTGGAACATATCTGGAACGCATGTGGAACGCAAATGGAACGCGGAAGTGAAGGCAGACGTCCACTTCCGGTTTCGGCTTTCCCATTGAACGCGCCCAATTTAAACTATTTAAACACCATCAGCTGGAGGATAATACCCCTGGACAATTGAATGGCTGGCTACTGGACACTCCCACACCATGGACCAATGGGACTTTGGGACTAGCCCTATTTATAGAGATTCTGTTAAGGGGAAAGTAGGATGTTATTTTACAATCTATGATATTGTCTGTGATTTTTTACTGTGCGGTCCCTGATGAAGTGCTAGTTGTGAACGAAACGCGTTGGACCTATTGCTGCACTTTTTAACCTTTATTCTTATGGTGTTTGTTCACCTTTTAAGAAAATAAAATAATTGCTTTTTTACTACTACTTACCTGGAGTCCCGTGTTCCATTGGTCGTTTTACACCGGAAAGGGGAACCACTAGCCCCCTATGCTATCTGGGGAGGCACCTCATGAATGCTCTTCTATTTTCATCATCTTGTGAGTGCATCCATTTAAGCGCACTATTCACTGTATTTATTGTATTACACTATTGTGTGTTTTTTTTTCCTTTATATGTTCCCTCTATAGATTGTACAGCCGTATCCCATTTCTGTTTGTGGTTCTATTCCTTCAGTAGTGTCTGGGTGAGTTTAATTCGCATGCCATGCACAGGGTGCTTAGTAGGGCTTGTAAATTTAAAAGCATGTTTTTTTTTTGCAAAAATCTTACAAGCAGAAGATCTACTTTTAGGCCTAATAATTTTATTTACATTCCATCCCCAACGAGCTGTACATTACCGGCAAACAGAACTCCTCAAACGCAGGTTTTACGAAGGTGGTGTATTGTGTAAGGATCTGCTCCAGATCTCGGCCTCTTTTCATGTCACGAAGAACTGAAAGAGAAGACATATGACCCACAGTCCAAATCCTGCTAACCAGCACAAGCAAGAATATACCATGGTATGGAAATCAGACCATGACCACCATCCCTCATTAACTTTTCTCTAATTTATAGAATTAGGAGATTTGTTGTTTGTTTTCATGAAATATCCCATTTATGAATTATATTTGCTGAAACAATTGTTACAGCTTTGTCTGTGTTCTGTTTAGTATATTCCATATATTGCTAGACTGAAAACATCAAGGGTCTCTATTCCATCACAGTAAAGGGTAATAACTTGGTCAATGTACCAACTATTCCTAATGGACAAGATCTTAATGTGCCCAAATATCCGTCTGGAATTGCATTGCCTAAATTATATGAGGACAGAGAAAACGTTTCTCCACAAGAAAATGCTTCAGTTACGAGTAATGGATCTTTCTCTAGGCACAGAATCGTGTCCCTGGACCACTGTTAAGGGAAGCAACAGAATGCTATACTACACAACCCTTGCACTAAGTATTGAATAACGCAAGTGAATCATTTTGTTTGGCTCTCTGCAAAAAAGCTAATTTACTATTCATGGAGCAGACTGTAGTGATGTTGACAACTCTAAAAACATAAGTGCGGTTCTGCACCTTGACCTGTGCTGCTTTCAGGAGCCACTGGTGGAGTTCGTGCTTTTAAGAAGATCTGGGATATTATTACAGTCTGGGTGTCTAACTGTGGCTATTCTAATGAATCAGGCAAGAGAAATTCAAAGTACATAATTAATGCAAAAGTTAAAAAGGTATGGAAAGCTGCTATTGAATACTGTCTGTGTGTAAGCTTTTCTATATTTTATATAATCATCTTAAAGGACACTGCAGTCAAAGCGGCCTTTAGTAAATAGCCCCAAATCAATTAAAACTGACTTACCTCTACGGGACAATCTAACATCAGAATCTGTGTCCACAAACAGTTTGAGCTGGAACATGTCCCTAATTTCTTGATTGTAGAAAGCAAGGATTCCTTCAAACAGCAGTACGTCTGCAGGGTACACCGTTGTGGTCTCAGACAGCCTACAGTGTGATGACAGAGAATGGAGGTTTTTTAAAGATTTTTTTTTTTCTTGTTTAAAATGGCACGTTAATTAAGTGTTCTTGCATAGCAAGACCACTTAATGTTATGTCACATATATATTCTTATTCTTATTAAGTGTTCTTGCATAGCAAGACCACTTATTGTTATCTCACATATATATTATTAAGTGTTCTTGCATAGCAAGACCACTTATTGTTATCTCACATATATATTATTATTCTTATTATAGCCAAATTTGCCACCCTAACTCCTCCCACAGTTTTTACACTACATAGACAAAAATTTACCAAAATGTGCAGATTGTTCCCGATCGGATTGCTATTACTTTGTGGAACGTTTCGCCGAATGGTTCACGGAATATCGTCATTCTTGTGGCGCAATTTGTCCCATAGGAATGAATGGCAAAGCTAGAGTGGGAGCTGGCAAAAGTTGAAAAATCAGGACATGATTTCTAAACTGCCACCACTCCCTTATTTTCAGGCCCACCTACACAAATCTTATCTCAAAACGTTCAGCTATCCCTGCTGCCACTAAACATGTCAACGGCTAAGCCATAGTCCTGATAGTTGTCACAATATAATCATTTGTTTGCAACTAACGCCGTCCATTGACATTCATTGAAACTTCACTCTACAAAGCTCAAATTTGAAGTGCAATTTCTAAACTGCGACTGTGCCTTCAAAATGTAGGTCTGGGTCTTCTGATTCTCACAATATAAAGCTCTTCGCTGTAGGATTTATAGTTTTTAAAATACGACCGTTTGAAGATGGCAACCGCCAAAATACTCTGACCTGTGCCAGGCTGCAGCAGCAAGTGATGTCATAGACAGGGCCATTTGTACACCTGCTAATGTTTTTATAAATGTATGGTTTAACCCCTTAAGGACGGAGCCAAATGTACACAGTGTGAACGAAACAAAATGTAAACAAAACCTGGCATTTGCGCTACATGTCTGTCCAACCGTAATACACCTCTTTCATAGTAAATGCACCCACTCTTATTATATATCATTTTATTCAGGGGAAACAGGGCTTTCATTTAATATCAAATATTTAGCTATGAAACATAATTTAATATGAAAAAAATGGGAGAAAATAAGATTTTTTTGATTTTTTTAGTTCTACATGACATTTTAACTGTCAATGTCATAATACTGTTTGCTTTTACTGCAATAAAATACACATATTTGTATTCAGCAAAGTCTCACGTGTAAAACAGTACCCCCTATGTACAGGTTTTATGGCGTTTTGGGAAGTTACAGGGTCAAATATAGCACGTTACATTTGAAATTGAAATTCGCCAGATTGGTTACGTTGCCTTTGAGACTGTATAGTAGCCCGGGAATGAAATTTACACCCATAATGGCATACCATTTGCAATAGTAGACAACCCAAGGTATTGCAAATGGGGTATGTCCAGTCTTTTTTAGTAGCCATTTGGTCACAAACACTGGCCAAAGTTAGCGTTAGTATCTGTTTGTGTGAAAAATGCAAAAAAACGCCAATTTTGGCCAGTGTTTGTGACTAAGTGGCTACTAAAAAAGACTGGACATACCCTGTTTGCAATACCTTGGGTTGTCTACTATTGCAAATGGTATGCCATCATAGGGGTAATTTTCATTCTTGGGCTACCATAGGGTCTCAAAGGCAACGTAACCAATCTGGCGAATTTTAATGTGAAAAAAATGAAACACAAGCCTTATATTTGACGCTGTAACTTTTGAAAACACCATAAAACCTGTACATGAGGGGTACTGTTGTACTCGGGAGACTTCGCTGAACACAAATATTTGTGTTTCAAAACAGTAAAAAGTATTGCAGCAATAATATCATCCGTGTAAGTGCTGTTTGTGCGTGAAAAATGCAAAAAACTTCACTTTTACTGGCGATATCATTGTTGTAATACATTTTACTGTTTTGAAACACTAATATTTGTGTTCAGCGAAGTCTCCCGAGTAAAACAGTACCCCCAATTTACAGGTTTTATGGTGTCTTGGAAAGTTATAGGGTTAAATATAGTGCTAGCAAATTAAATTCCCTATACTTTCGGCATGGGTTGTCAGGCAGGTCCCGCTAATTGTAATTAATTAGGATACCTAATTATGTAAAAATATTACATAAATATATGTGTAGAATTAATATATATGTATATATATACATATGTGTATATATACATATATATAATTTTTTTAAATATTTTTATTTATATATAGGTGTATATATTTAGTGATATATATGTATATATTTATGTATATAGATATATATATTATTTCGTTCTACGTGTATTTTGATATAAATATATATATATTAATATCACAATACAGTTAGAACGAAATAACAAACATCTATATAATTTTTTATTATTTATTTTTAATTATTTTTTAAATTTTAATTTTTTTTACGTATTTACATTTTTTTATATTATATATAAATATATATATATAACAATAATTATATATATATATTTAATCAGTATTAGTCTACGTGTAATTTGATAGTAATATATATATAAATAATTATATATATTAATATTTAAATACACTTCGTGTATGTGTAAATGTGTGTGTGTGTGTGTGTATGTGTATATATATACTTAGATCATATATATATATATATAATATATATGATCTAAGTATATTTTATATTTAACTGTAATTTATTATTTTTTTACTAATATTTTATTTATTTTTACAGGACAGGGGGCAGAGACAGTGTCAGCCAGTGATTTTACATCACTGGCTGACACACAGGATCAGTGATCACAGTGACTGCCTGTCACTGTGATCACCTCCTGCAGATTGGGTAATTGGCCACAGGGGGGAGTGCCTGGGTGGTACAAGCACTCCCCCCTTCCAATCTGCAGGGGGATCTTGTGCCAGTTACATGTGTCAGCCAATAGGCTGACACATGTAACACTGATCGCAGTGACAGGCTGTCACTGCGATCAGAGCGCTCTGAGATCGCAGTGACAGCCTGTCACTGCGATCTCAGAGTTAGCAGATCGCGGTCACTGACCCCAGGGGGACTGCCTGGGGGGCCAGGTAAGTCCCCCGACCGCGATCTGCATTGCAGAAAGCCGCCGGCCACGTGTGTCAGCCGATTTGAAATCGGCTGACACACGTTAAAAACTGATCGCAGTGACAGCCTGTCACTGCGATCAGTGACTGCAGATCGCGGTCACCGGCCACAGGGGGGGTTGCCTGGGGGGCCGGGCATCCCCCCCGACCGCGATCTGCAGCGGGCGAATAGCGCCGGCCACGTGGGCGGCCATTAAAGTGAGGGCGTACTATTACGCCCGCCGGCGTTTAGAGCCGGCTCCTGCAGGGCGTAATAGTACGCCCTCCGGATTTAAGGGGTTAATGTAACTGTGCAACAATGTTGCAATTAAATGTGCTATATAAATGATAACAGTTACTCCGCCCACTCCAGTTGTAGACTACTGGTGGAGGCAAGAACACTTCACACAATTTCCCCAGAAATTGTAGCTTTTCTAGTTATTCCTATTATAGCCAAATTTACCACCCTAACTCCTCCCACAGTTTTTACACTAACCTAGACAGTAATATACCAAAACCTGTGGATTGTTCCCGATTGGTGTGCTAACCCTTTGTGGAACGTTTCACCGAATGGTTCACGAAATATCGTAGTTTTTGTGGCGAAATTGGTCCCATAGGAATGAATGGCGGGAATGAGTGTGAGCTGAAAAATCAGGACATGATTTCTAAACTGCCACCACTCCCTCATTTTCAAGCCCACCTACACAAATCTTGTATCAAAACGTTCAGCTATCCCTGCTGCCACTAAAAATGTCCACGGCTAAGCCATAGTCCTGATCGTTTTCACTATATGACCATTTGTTTGCAACTCACGCCGTCCATTGACATTCATTGAAACTCCACTCCAGCCAGCTTAAATTTGAAGGGAAATTTCTAAACTGCGACTGTGCCTTAATTTTTAATATTTCAGAGACATACAATGCAGCAGAATATAAAGCTCTTCGCTATAGGATGTATAGTTTTTAAAATACGACCATTTGAAGATGGCAACCGCCAGTGAAGTGAGCAATTTGGAGCAGTTTGTTTTTAACTGCCCTTCTCTGCCCTTGCTGTAGAGGGAGTTGCCATAGGAACCCAGGTGTGTGAGCAGCCAGCAGAGTGTTCCGGAACACAGAGGCTGCTAGATGAAACACATTCTCTAAACTGCTGTCATTCCTACAGTTTTGGTAACACAAAAGTGAGCACTATCACATTTAATAAATATATTTCCATGTTAGTCAATTCGTTATACCTGTAACAGAAAAACACTAACATACAATGTTACAGCAATACAGCTAATCAATGTTTCATTAAGTTACTCTGCCCAGTCCAACCTTTCCACAGTTACTCCAGCCACTCCAACCACACAACAGTTACTCAAGCCACTCCACCCAGTTACTCCGCCCACTCCAGTTGTAGACTACTGGTGGAGGCAAGAACACTTCACACAATTTCCCCAGAAATCGTAGCTTTTCTAGTTATAAATAGTCTGATCAGACATAAAAACAGCCTAAACTTTTATATGAAATTATTTTTTAAATCCCTCCTGCAGTTAAATGAAAATCAAATAAAAGCATTCTAAGCATTTGTGCTGTCTGAGGGCAGAGTTCACACAGAATTATTATTTTGAAGAGAACGCTTTCTCCATCCTGCACAGTGGAATGCTGGTTCAGCTGTTAAAATGGTTACTGCAAGCACCATCACCACTTCATCCATTTGCAGTGTTCATGGTGCCTGAAGTCTCTAAGTACAGCAGTTTATGCACATATAGGTATTAACCCCTTAGCTGCCATAGGTGTAACTCCATCTCCGACAGTCATTAGCCACAACAAAGTTCCTGGCTGGCAAATGTCAATTCTATGCAATATTGGGATCTGACACCTGCAAGCACAGCATGGTGATGCCAGCCAGCCAGCCAGCCAATGATAGAATTGTACCCTCATCCATGCCTCACCTGCCCTCTCTTCCCTTCCGCCAAGAAGGGTTTAGGCTGCAGGGAGAACTTGGACTCGGAGATGAAACCTAGTTGAGTTTTAGCATTTGCTTGTTTGTTGGTTCAAGAGAATACTTAAAACAGACAACAGCTCAAAGAGGTGGCCCTTAAGTGGGTCCCTGCTCAGATCTCAAGCTGGTTTTAGCTCATCATGTGCCATTACAGAGAGAACCCAAACCACTTGCATAGAACACTAATGCACCCAAAAGGGTGGCCCAGATCCAAAATGCAGGCCAGCTCTCTCTGTTCCAGGGATACAACCACCCTGGATGATAGTTTCAGCCTTGTTAGTCCTCGACAGTGGGGTTTTATTCATTTTGAATTTCATTTTTTAATTTAGGGGGCTGGCCACCTTAGAATGATTGTTATAACCAAGACCAGCGTTTTATGAAAACATTGTTTTTTTGGTTGGAGCATCCTTTTAAATTTAAGATTCCATCATGTAAGTGGTTATGGTTGCCAAATGGTTTATTCCCTAACTCTGCTTTATTAAAACAGAAGTTTATATGGCTAAATATAGGCAAAAATAACCAAGCTGTTACGATCGCTGATTTTCTTCTAGATCAGCTATTTTTTATTTAACTCACTACAACTTGAAGTTTTGTAAATAAACCCTCATTATTGGATTCATAGGCAAAATGATCAGCTAGTAAAATCACATTGAAAAAATATTGGGTTGCACGGATATTTAAAAAAAAAAAAAAAAAAAGTGAGACTTTCTTTTTAGTTATGACAATGTTAGATTGTCATAACTAGAAGCCCTGTGCTCAAACTCCCATCACTTCTGGGCGGCAGCAATGACAATAGTTCATCAGCCCCAATACATACAGTAAAAACCAAAGGGAAAAAAAAAAAAGTTACCTGCACTTTTCCTAAATCCCTATGTATATTTAAACAAATGGAGGTTATTTTGTTTCTCCAATGAGACAGAAAGGGGTAGGGTAGGTAAACCAAAGAAAAAAGTTACCTGCGCTCTCTCCCAAATACCCCTTTCTGTCTCATTAGAGATATCTTTGCCAGAAGCTCAAGGAAGCAAGGTGAAAGGTTAGTGTAGGACCCACCTGAGAGGTTTGCCTTGACGTGGTAGGTGGGCTAAAGCTTCTCATGGCCATTGAAGAAAACAAAATAACCTCCATTTGTTTAAATATGCATAGGGATTTGGGAAGAGCGCAGATAACTTTTTTATTTGGTTTTTAATGTTAGATTTCTGCTTTTTGCATAAACACATACACTTACCTAGAGTGCGTAACAAAATCATATAAAGGCACATCCACGATATGACCATCTACGATACTGGTTAATGTTCTGTACATCAAATCATTATCAAATGCGTCTAGGAGGGAAACGATAAATGACATTTTACAGCACTGACCAAACTTACAGATATTTACAGTATTTTCTGGCGTGTAAGATGACTTTTTAACCCTGGAAAATCTTCTCCAAAGTCGGGGGTCGTCTTATACGTCGGGTATAGGGTCTATATAGCTGCAAGGGGCACGCTGCACCCCCATCGCCGGCACTTCTAATGCTGCAGCCGCCTGAGTGCTCTATAGAGAGCGCTCAGACGGCTGCCGCACTGCCTCTCTTCTCACCTCCCCTTCCCTGTGCAGAGTGGGTGGCCGAGCTCCTCTTCGTCCTGTCAGTCCGGCCGGGTACCGCGCGGTACAGGAGATTCAGTTACCTGTTCCCGGCCGGACTGAAAGGAAGTGCACACTGAGGGAGTAAAAAGAATATATCGCAATTAGCCTCCTGTGTGCTAGACCAGCAGGCATGGATTATATGCCCAAACAGCCTGGCACATACCTGGGCTTTAAATGCTATTTCAGATTAGTCTTGCTGTGTAGCTCTGTCTGCTCACTGTACATCATGGTTAAATTTTATTTGGTGTGCATTGGAAGAGGGGTAGTCTTATACGGCGAGTATATCCCAAACTCTATATTTTAACTGGAAAAGTTGGGGGTCGTCTTATACGCCGGAAAATACGGTATTTTAAGACTTAAAATGAAAACTGCAATTGTATGCACAAAAATATTAGTACAGGTATCAAAGTGCAATGTAAGATTACTTGTAACAAATATATACAACCCAATTAGAAAATTGCAAATATTTTGTTTTATATTCTGCAATAGATAAAGTGCTGTAAAATTAATTAAAGGGATACTACAGGGATCAAACCATTTAGTGTAAAGAAGCGTTTTTTTGTGGATAGATCATATCCTGCAGTCTCACTGCTCAATTATCTGCCATTTAGGAGTTAAATAACTTTTGTTTTGGTTTATGCAGCCCTAGCCACAGCTCCCCTGGCTGTGACTGACAGCCAGAATGAAAAAAAAAATAAAAAAAGAAGTTTCAATTTCAATCAGACGTTTACTTGCTTTTGATCTTTTTTTAATCTCTCACTCGGTTAAATGAACCTTAATCACACTCAGGAGGTCCCGCAGGGTCTAGAAGGCTATTAACAGAGCATGAGATACATTCTAAATTATACAGAATTTGCAATAAAGGACGTTTCTCTCTATTTGCAGTGTTTAGGCTGTGCACGTCATATGCAGAGAGGTGTGACAGTATAAAAAAGAAAATGTGATATCTCCTACATGGCAGGGAATTGAGCAGCGAGATTGCAGGGGCATGATCTATCTACCAAAACTGCTACATTAAGCTAAAAAATTTTGGTGACCATAGTGCCCCTTTAAATCATTTTTCAGAAGCCATTGACATGCATACCGTTTCATGCAATATGTACAACCGCAAAGAAAAATGCTTTCACAGAAATAAAAAACCACAGGTGTACAAACTAGACTTTTTATTCACGAGTTGGAACGTAAACATTTATTGAACAAGAGGTGGTCATCAATTTAATCTACTTTCTAGTACCAATATTAATTACTTGGAAAATAAAAAGTATTTAAAGGGTAAATAGAAGTGATCAAGGAGGAAGGAATCTGGATGCAGCATTTCTGCATTTTTGTGCCGGGAGCTAGTTACACCCCAGGTACACGTGACACGGAACTCTGTTAATTATGTGCAACTATTACATCTGTCATCAGGTCATTAGAATGCACTACCCACTGGTGCCAGAAGCAATGAACTATTCTACCCTTGCAGGTACCGCTGGGAGCGTGCCTACAAGGGGAGCCCTGTATGTCCCCTCCCTATCTCCTTTTCCTTATATTTCTTAAAGGACCACTATAGTGCCAGGAAAACACTCATTTTCCTGGCACTATAGGGTCTCTAGGTCCCCCCCCCACCCTAAGAAAGGGTTAACCCTAGATGGACCTGGCACCCAGACCACTTCATTAAGCTGAAGTGGTCTGGGTGCCTATAGTGGTCCTTTAATATGCATCAGACTTGTTTTTTTGTTCCCTGACTCAGAGCCAGAGAAAATAATCCATTCAAATGCTTCTATATGAGTAGCCTTTAATTGGAAAGGAGTGATGTGGGGTGTGGAAACGCTTAAGGAATGTCTTCCCCCCCTACCCCCTGGCACAAAATACAAGGTAAATTTTTACTTAATTTACAGTCTTTTGGGATAAAAGGGGAGGTGTCGTTATATATAGATGTTATTAACAAACTTCACTTTTCGTCAACCCAGAAAAATTAGAAAGAAATGGGATCAGTGTGAAAATGGGTGTAAAAGGGAATAAACACCACCTCCACACTGATCCCATGCACCAGGAGGGCACTCCAGCAATGCCAAGGGCTTAACCATAGATACTAGCAACAGAAACAGAGGCAAAAATTCACAAACTGAATATAATGCTGACTGGACATAAAGACGTAGGCACCAAAGCATCCACTGGTATGGAACAATGTAACCAGTGGGAGACCACTAAATATGTGTAGTAACAGAAAGTATCAACACAGAAATAAACTGACAGAGTTTGTGAATTTTTGCTTCTTTGTTTCTACCTCCTACACAATGATGAAACGCTCCAATCAGGAGCATCTTATTCTGGTCTATGTAGACTGATCTTATCCCATAATTGTCAGTGCAGTATTTGCTTGTAGATTAATTTGTTTTTCCATCAAAAAGCAGTTCCAATCATCATTTAGGACGGATGATTAGAACTAGGTCTTCATTTCAAGAAATCTGCTGACAGAGATTGGCCTCCCGTCTTACAGCAACATCAGTTTTTACAAACTGCTCCAGCTATAAGGTACAATAAGCACTAAGATTTTTGTAATAATGCAAAGACTGAACCCTTTAAAATTAGATTATCTATAAGTATTTCAGAGAAGGTTAATCTGGCAATGGAATTTTTATTACTGGTAATTTTTTTTAAAGGAGCACTATAGGGTCAGGAACACAAACATGTATTTCTGACCTTATAGGGTTAAAACCACCATCTAGCCCCCCTGGCCCCCTCATGCCTAGTAAATCTAGTAAAATCTTACTTGTATTCAAGTCTGGAGCTGCTGGCTTTGTACCTGTTTCCTTTAGACCTGCCCACTGCATGCTGACATCCAATCACAATACTTCCCCATAGGATTGGCTGAGACTGACAAAGAGGCAGATCAGGGGCAGAGCCATCACAATTCAAACACAGCCCTGGCCAATCAGCATCTCCTCATAGAGATGAATTGAATCAATAAATCTCTATGAGGAAAGTTCAGTGTCTGCATGCAGAGGGAGGAGATACTGAATGTTTGGATGCATTTTAGACATCCATGACCTAGGAAGTTTCTCTAACAGCCATCGGAGGCGTGGCCAGTGAAGTTATTACTAGGCTGTAATGTAAATACAGCATTTTCTCTGAAAGGACAGTGTTTACAGCAAAAAGCCTGAAGGTAATGATTCTACTCACCAGAACAAATTCAGTAAGCTGTAGTTGTTCTGGTGACTATAGTGTCCCTTTAACACACTACAACTTAAAGTTGTAGAAGGCTTTTCAAATGTCATAAAAAATCAAACAATTTATTGTGGGGTTGGACCTTCTGTATCCACAGATTTATAAAACATCATTGATTTAGACATCACTCTACTCACCTGGGTGGTCAAAATTATACTGTCCCTTTATGGCCCTGGCTTTTTGCTCCGCAGTCAGCACTTTATAGAACCGGTCCTGGCTTAAGATGACTACTTTCCTCTGTCTATGATCAACCTCATTCTGCCCAAGTAACTCCATGATCTTCTCACATACTGTGGACTAAGTACCAAAAAACACGAGAAAACATCATCAGTATTAGAGGTAAAGTTAACCATTACATTTTATTTGCGTTGTTTCATAGCTAGAAGACTTTTGGGGACTGTTTTCTATCAAACTGTTTGCGTAGTCTGAAAACCCCCCAAAACAAAACAAAACAACAACTCTCATAACTACCAAATTCCCACTTTAACTGCTGCTGGCATAATCCAAATGTTTAGCTTCTTCATTATTTGTCCACATCCATCATGGGATCAACATACACCTCATCTGAGTGACAGGGGAGGGGCTATGGTTTGTGTGGCATGAGAGCCCAGCTTATTGTCAATCTGCTTGACTAATGTTTGGCAGAAAATAGGTTTGGAGGGTGGGAGGAAGAGGGGATGGGGCTCCCTAATACTCTTAACAGCACTTCTCCAACAGGGTACAGCAGTTTACATATTCAGTAGGTTTAAGGGAGCTTGCGGTTAAGAGGTACTTGCCCTTAATGGTGCTGCTGACAAGGACAGTGTTAGTAGGCTTAAAGAAGAGTTAGGCACAGCAACATACAAACACCTCCACTCACTGATAATGGAATTGTGTACAAACTAGCCAGAGATCTGCAAAATGCCATAACAGAAGCAATAACCTATCCATGGAAACAGACTGGATCCTGGCATATCTCCAGCTGTCACAGGGTAACACGTGGGAAGCAAGTCAATGTTTGCATAAGAGCAAAGTCTGGTTAATAAATAAAAAAAATTTAAAACGACAAAAACTACACACTAACATAGAACAGAGTGTCAGTGTCTGAATACCAAGGAAGGACACCTTACCTGTACACAGTCTGCACCAATGGCAGCCAGCAATGGGTTATTGGGTTATAATATTCTTAATTCTAGGACGGGGGGGGGGCAATTAATAAACCCCAAACTGGAAGGGGGAAGGGGTTCTACATATATTCTAGTTTGAACAGCTTTAATCTCGCTGGGACATAGGTGGGAATAATTTAATATTAGAAAATTTAATAATATATAGAGAGATAGAGAGAGATATTAGACAGGACAGACAGAGTTAACCCTCTCAGACCCAGTGTTCCCTCTCCTGACAATGAAGGGTTAATTACCTCCAAGCTGGCAGGTCACCAGCTAGTTACTGAGCCCACCTAGATCCCCAGCACCCCCCACCCCGGATACCCCCTGCCCGCACTCTGTCACCTTGCCGCTCGCTGTGCCCCCGCTGACCCCAATCAGGAACGGCCGCTGGTGGCCCCGCTCCGGTACTTCCAGGCCACTCACAGAAGCCATGGCCACAAGTACCTGCGGTCAGAGGCTGTCCGGAGGGGGGGGACTACATCTCCCAGCAGCACCGCTCTACGGAGCTCTGCCCTGGAAGCCGCGATGAGCTGCGCGCAAAGCATGCCGGCCGTTGTAGTTCGCGGCACCTCGCTGCTGCGCAGGCCCCACGGTAAAAGTCATGTGACCCACGAGGAAGTGACAGGTCTGTTGACATGTGGGAAGATGGTCAGTGAGGGCAAGTCTGGGCAGAGCCCTCATCACTCCCAGGGCTGCTATCTCCTGATTACTGAATTCACTAAGCTCCAATCATAGCAATTACATTAGGAATGGCAGCATTTATTGAGCTATCCAGTCTCCTGAAATACTAGGGCTTGCTGATGGACTTTAATGTTTATTATTATTATTATTATTATTTATATAGCGCCAACAGATTCCGTAGCGCTTTACAATATTATGAAAGCGGGGATTTATCTATAAATAGGACAATTACGAGAAAACTTACAGAAACAATAGGTTGAAGAGGACCCTGCTCAAGCAAGCTTACTGTCTGTAGAAGGTGGGGTGTAGAACACAATAGGACAGGCTTATTTAAAACATAAATTGACACTATATCATTTATTTTAGAATGCAACTTAATTTTTCCCCGCGTATAAGTCCCTATTTTGAATCCAAATCCCTCTCTCCCCCTCTTTTTTATTCTAATGTCCCTCCTTTGTAAGAGGTGAGTATTCTTGTTGTGTTCATTTATATCAGAGCTTCCAAACAAGAATATTCACAGTAATGTGTCTTCAGACTATAATAAGTGTGTTTATAAATTATTGCATAGATAAGATGCATTGTTATAAATTTAGTGTTTAAATGTTTCTCTAATGTCTGAACTTGTGAGTTAATTATGTAAAAAAAAATTCTGTTATAGAAGGCATGCAGGTGTTGCATCTAAAGTACATTAGGTTCCTCATGGCTATTTGCTCTTGTGACACTAATGAAGGGATGCATGAGCAGGCATGTCTAACATTTTTGTGCAGATGTCCGAACACTCCTAGAGCATCATTGGTAACAATGTCCCCCTCAATACAAAAGTGCCGTGAAGGGTAGTATATTTTTACTCACTTCTACAGGTGATTTTTGAATCACAACTCCCAGATAGCCTTTTTGTTGCCTCACAGCACTTCTTATAGGATAAGCTCAGCACGTCTACAGAAAGTTAAAGGAACACTATAACTTTAAGACTACGAATCTGTATTCTTAACGTTGGTGTTACTGTCACTAGTACTGACCTAATGCGCATGCAGTGATGTCAGTATGACACCAACTAGAGGAAACAAAATAAAAAATGTCAGGGATCATGCACCCAGACCACTTCATTAAGCCTAAAGGACAACGGTCATCACAATTCCACTTGTAATTTTTAAAAAAAGTTTAGTACATTTAATGAAACTTAATGGTATGTTTTAAATGATGTATATTGTTATCCGACTTGCTCAATCTAACTTACCTGACTCTGCAGTTTATCACAGAGCACTCACAGCAGCAGACAAGTTACATTGAGCAGCAGATAACAGTACAGTGTGATGCAACATGGCTGCTCACCCAGATAACACGCCTCCCAACTGTTCCCCTTTTGGTGGGACAGTACCAATTTTGGGGTCCTTTCCCACCGTCCTGTGTTTAGTTCCCTAGTATCCTGCATCTGTGGAGACCAGGGAGCTGTCCCCGGGGAAGAACAGCACAGGCGTTTTATCAGAAGTGCTCGCACTTTGAACAAGCACCAGGACCACGCGGGGAGCACTTTAGCAGCACTGTCTGCCTGGGCATGAAGGCTGGGGCCGGCGCCTTTTCCAAATGGGTTTGCCCGTTACGGGTGCCGCTAGTGACGCAGATTGTGACACTGACAAAGACCCTCAGGGCCCTGCCCACCCTGTCTCAATTTCCTGAGGCCATATGTTGGGATGTATGAAATAATTAGATTTTTTTTTTTTAATTATGCTTAAGAAAACTTAAAGTGAGATTTTCTAAAAAGAAAATATATTTTTTTTTTTAAAATCAAACTTCCTGGTTTGGAGCGAGTTCACTCTGAGGAACTGCAAAGTCCTGGGACGTACAGCAAATGAAAGAACCTCATTATCGTGTTTTTTTTTCAGGAAATCACTAACAAAAGGGATTTTGGTGAATTGACAATACAGCTGTTACATATAGGTCAAAACACATTTTGGAAATCTTAAAAAATAAAATGCAAAACAGCCAATTTGATGTTTGCCCAGTTGCTCTAACTCTTTTTAAGTATAGGGGTGTTTAGTTGGTTATTGGTCATCATTCATCCGATCCCCCCCTTTAAAACCTGCAAAAAAACTAACCAGAAATCCAGCACCAGGCAAAGCTCCTCTCCATGTCTCCGTCTGACCCCATCCCTGCCCTTTAGGAGGTCCAATCAAGTGCAAACAGAAGTATTTGATTACACTATTTCAGTGGTTCAGAGCACATGTTAGGTTTTTAAGAGTAAAAAAAAGAAAAAAGTACTAATTGGAAAAAGTGAGAAAATTATTTTAAGGAGGAAAACAAATAAAACTAACCCACAATGGAGAGAGTGGAGAACACTTGGGATGATTGTAAGGATAGTTAAGTGGGCTAAGGCATCATCAGTAGAATGTGTGGGTTGCAGGTTCAAATCCCAGCAGGGTTGACTTGTCTCTTTTTCCTTCCGAAGTAGATAAAATGAGTACCATTAAGTTGGGTGATAGTAACAATCTCTGGATGTTGGGCTAAGGTAATATCCCCAGGATGTACTTGAAAACCAGAGTAATCTAAATGTACTTTTCCTGGTTAAATACTTTGTTATTATTATTATTACACCATGCGTGATGATAGATGTACTTTTTGCATATAATTAATATTAGGCAGCTCCAAACAGAGTTCCTTAACCCCTTAAGGACCAAACTTCTGGAATAAAAGGGAATCATGACATGTCGTGTGTCCTTAAGGGGTTAAAAGACCACTTTAGTGCCAGGAAAACAAACTTGTTTTCCTGGCTCTATAGGGTCTTTGGGTCCCCCCCACCCTCAGGGTCCCCCTCCCGCCGGGCTCTAGGGGGAGGAAGGGGTTAAATGCTTACCTTTCTCCAGCGCCGGGCTCCCTCGGCGCTGGGGACTCTTCTCCCTCTTTCGACGTCATCCGCCGAATGCGCATGCAGGGCAAGAGCCGTGCGTGCATTCAATCAGTCCATAGGAAAGCATTTCTCAATGCTTTCCTATGGACGTTGGCGTCTTCTCACTGTGAAAATCACAGTGAGAAGCGCGGAAGCACCTCTAGCGGCTGTCAGTGAGACAGCCGCTAGAGGCTGGATTAACCCTAATGTAAACAGCTGCAGGGTTAACTCTAGATGGACCTGGCACCCAGACCACTTAATTGAGCTGAAGTTGTCTGGGTGCCTATAGTGGTCCTTTAATGGTCACGTGTGCTCAGTGTGCAATTAGCCCATGACATACAAGGCAAATATATCTGGATGTGCAGAGTTTCAAGCAGTTTGGAATGCTGCACATACACATTCCTTCCTCCGTGACTACTTCTAAAAGCAGAAGTGGTCATGGTGGTTGAAGAAACCTTTTAAGTAAATTTACCTTTTACCTTGAAATTAAATTCAGTGTAAATACTACTCATGGCTTTTCATTAAAGTGAGAATTGAAAGTAAATTTGAAGTGACTTAGAATTAAGGTAATAAAAGCCGATCTCGAAAAAAAAGATCTAAGTCAGCTAGGCTTTCATTTCAACACTCTGGCCTTAAATCAGAAATTCACTTTGAATCCACTCTGCAATCTCACCTTAGTAAAAAAACCCTGATATGGATTTAACTGGGCCTAAAGTGATTGGCCCATATTTTATGATAGATACGTATTGGAATTGTTCCAAAGTTTTAAACCATGCATGATTGGGCTACATTTTTTTTCGTTATGGATAGATTATATATCTATACCATACCAGTGTAGTCAGCCTGATATGAACACATTTTCTCCCTTTTATCATAATAAATAGAATAGATCTATAGTTTAAAGGGTATGTCAGTATTTGTGTATAGAGCAATCAGGGAAATGATAACTGTTCTCTTGTTTACCAATGTCCTCTGGAGGCCAGGCTGTGACCTTGCGAGGATGTTTAAAGTGTGCAGAGCTGGGTGTACTGGGGACCGATGGGAGGCTCTGCTCTGCATGTTAGCTCAGAAGGTCAATATTTAAATGAGATCAGCACGCATTGTCCTGATTACAAGTCCACAGCACCCATAGGAGCCAGCACCATGGTCATATAGACAGTGAACGTAGATAAGGCCCAGTGTTACGTTTCTGTTAAAGAGAAACTGCCACTTTCCTGGTAATTACAAAACTGAATAAAATATTGATCCTTTGATCATGTGATGCACTGTATTTGTTTAGCAATTGGCATCAAAATCCCTTTCAGGCCTGGCACACACAGGGCACCCATTGCATTAAGGCAAGAGAATCCAGTGATCATATACCAGCCAATGCAACTTTGCAAGATCTAGTGACAGCTAGCAATATCACTTTAATGGGTTTAATTAACTAGTTGTATGATGGGGAAATATGGGTAAGTAATTGAAGCAGCAGCTCAATCAGTGTCTATATGGCCACTGTCCATGGAAGCATTAAATCACAGTAATACCATCATCCTACCATAGACACATCTTTTCAATAATGTTATTGGTAAATGGTCAATACAACCAAAACAATTTCTGTGCCCACTTCTCAAAATTTCCATCTATAATTGTCCTGAGCAATCACTCACGTCTCTCGTCATGTTGTCTAATTAGCTTATTACCTTTAAATATAAAAAGTGCAGTATTTTTGACATCCAGTGAATTTTTTTTTATTGTCGATTATTATCTAAATGTCATGTTTCTATATGCTTGTATTATTATCACTGCACGTAAAAAGAAAGAATTCTAAAAAAAAAATGTTAAAAGTCCATCTGATCATTTTTGTGTTGTCAAAAAACGTGTGAAATGTTTATGTAGAAAGCTGTGGAATAGGTCAGAACTTATAACCAATAGTAAGAGATCTCTGGAACTGTGAGTTTACATGGGAATTTTAAATACTAAATGCAAATGGCAGGTTGCGGTAATTTTAAAGATTTTCTTGTGATAGTGCTTGGCCAATCACAAAAAGTGCTTAGATAGAACATTGGGAGAGATTGGATACTGCTGAATTAGTTAGATAACAAGGAGGGAGAGACAGAGAGATAAAGATAGTGAGAAAAATAGAGGTAGAGAGATATTGCCACCAGAAGTGGCTGTAACTACAACATTTCAATAATTTCAGTAGAGTCAACGATGATACTAATTGGAAAAAAAAAAATTCTTATCTTTTACAGAAAAAGTCTGACTCAACAAATACTAAAAACATGTACAGCCAGGAAACGGTTAAAACGGATGCGTTTCTTAAATCTAATTATGCATCCTTCAGCCAGGCACATGAGATAGCACTAATCTCCCTAATTGCCACAGTTATTGCATTCTGTCTGTGCAAGGGTTAATTACACTTAAGCACTGCTAAGCCAATCAATGGCTAAAGATAGACAGACCCTTATTTAGGTCTTCAGAAAAGTTTGATATTAGATAAGACTAAGCAGCCCTTTTAAAGTAACTGTGAACCTCTACTCACAAATACAATGGATTTTACTCTATTTACATTTCTTTCTTAAAGGCATACAAAACTTTTACTTGTATACACAAGCATCATGGGTAATATAGTTTGCAAATATCTGAGATGCCGAGGTCATCACTACTACGAGCATGTATTATGCACACTTTCATTGTAGGGATGTGAGTGGGGTGTGTGGCCAGGAGTGGAGCGGTTCTCAGAAGTTTTAGATGACAATAATGAAAAAAAAAGGAATCTACAATGTAATTTAGAACAATGTATCTTATTTACACAGACTGATTTGTAACACATTTATTGTAGATTAAAGACACATTACTGGGAGTATTATTGCTGTGGAGCTCTGTTATACACTCAGACACACCATCAGTATGGCGCTCCTAGAAAAGACGGAGTTTAGGATAGAAAGAGGTACAGAGGGATTTTTTGCCCAAACAGGGACTGTCCATCCTAAATAGGGATGCTTGGAAGGTATGGCATGGTTGCCCTCAATGACATGAACATACATTTTAAAGGGACACTATAGTCCCCAAAACAACTTTAGCATAATAAAGCAGTTTTGGTGTATAGATCATGCCCTAGAAGTCTCACTGCTCATCTATCTGCCATTTATGTAGTGAAGTCATTTCACTTTGTTTATGCAGCCCCGGCCACCTCCCTGTATGTAACTTGCACAGCCTTCATAAACACTTCCTGTAAAATGAAATATAATGTTCACACTTCCACATTATGTTTAATTTATAATTTATTATCTTCTGCTCTGTTAATAGCTTGCTAGACTTTGCAGGAGCCTCCTGTATGTGATAAAAGTTCAGTTTACAGAGCAGGAGATATAAACTTCTAAAGCAAATTAACACCTGATTGAAAATAAAACCATTTTGCTTTCATGCAGACATGGTTAGTCACAGCCAGGGGTACTGTGACTAGGGCTGCTTAACCTCTTAAGGACCAAACTTCTGGAATAAAAGGGAATCATGACATGTCACACATGTCATGTGTCCTTAAGGGGTTAAACAGAAACAAACTTGATTTAATTCCTAAATAACAGTGAGTTGAGCAGTGAGCCTGCAGGGGCATGATCTGTACACCCAAACTGCTTTATTAAGCTAAAGTTGTTTTGATGCCTATTGTCTCCCTTTAAAGGACCACTATAGGCACCCAGACAACTTCAGCTTCAGCTCATTGACAGCCGCTAGAGGCGCTTCCGCACTTCTCACTGCCAGCGTCCATAGGAAAGCATTGAGACATGTTGCTTCAAACCCCTTCACTCTACATACTGCAAAGGGTTAAAAGGCACAGCAACGAATCCTTCCTGAGCCATTCATTCCCAGATAACCCAGTACAGACGGGGAGTGAAAAATTGCATGTGACCTTGTGAGCTCCAGATAATGTGTCACCTCCCATTTCACTAGGGAAACTATCCAACATTTACTGCTCTATTACAATAGCCCTGCTATTTCACTCTCTATATAAACAGACCGGAGGCACAACTACTATGGTGTGTACATCAAAGATCAGACTGCTTCCTTCCAATAGGAAGTTTTAAAACAAACAATTCTCGTTTTGTGTTTGGCAGCTCTGTTCCTAAACTTTGCTGGTCCCTAAAAACTCCAATTAGTTCACTAGTGTACCTGCTTGGATACAGGTGTGCCTGTGAAAATTGAGAGAAACCTAATCTAACCCCCCCTCACCCTTTCCCCCTATTTCTTAAGTAATTCCCAATGTAGATAGAGGAATAGAGGGTATAAGGTGTTGGACTTGCCAACTCCACAGCCTCTATAGAGGTTACAGGAGGTATAAGGGGCTTAACCCCAGGGTAAATCTAAACAGACAAAATGAAAGAGATGGAGAACCACTTACATATAGTGAGTGGAGTTCATACTCATTCACAGATATATACCTCCTAATGTAAATGTAACATAAAAATGGGGGGGAGGCGGGGGTATAGGTATCTCTAGGTTATATATAGTATTCTATAGGTGTATCTATAAGAAAACTCTTTCCATAAAGCATAAAAGGTAGAAATGCCAAAGAGGTTGGCGTTTATCCAAAATATTATTATGGTAGGGATATATAGTGCCTGGTAGTGCACTATATATGGTACCATAACTACTACCAGGCACTATATATCCCTACCAGAATAATTTTTTGGATAAACGCCAACCTCTTTCTACCCTTTATGCTTTATGGAAAGGGTTTTCTTATAGATACACCTATAGAATACTATACATAACTTAGAGATACCTATCCCAGATTTTCTCTATGAGTGTTTAAATCTTACTCTACTCACACATCGGGTCTGTGTATCGGTGTATTTACTCTTGGTAATTATTTACTCTTGGTAATTTTTTACCATTTTTAAGTATTGATTTAAATTTTTCAATTTCCTAATAAAGGTTGATACCCTCCCCCCCCCATTTTTATGTTACATTTACATTAGGAGGTATATATCTGTGAATGAGTATGGACTCCACTCACTATATGTAAGTGGCTCTCCATCTCTTTCATTTTGTCTGTTTAATTCCCTATGTATTTTTCCTATAGGATGTGTTGTTAGTATTTTTTTGTACATTTTTATGGATAGCAACAGCCGGTAATAAGTAGCGATTGGAACGGAATCCAATTGTTTAGTAGAGGATAGCAGCTCCTGTATACAGAATAATGGGAGCCATTAGCCACTACTAGTGATTTGCTTTAAGTAGCGGTAGCTTCTACGCTACCTGTAAAATTTGGCAGACAGAAAGCAGACGCTACATGCTAAAAGCAGCAACAAGCATTTCATTGAGTAACAGCTGGCCAGTAAAAGTAGTGCCAAGATTGTAAACGAGCCCTCCGCGACTCCTGGCTGCAGCCCCCTAAGGCTTTCACCTGTGCTGCCTTATGATAGCGCCGACCCCAGTTCTTAATATTTCTCAGCAAAGAGAGTACCTTGCATTTTCCTAAGCCTTTGCCTAACTATTGCATACCTGCCAATATTGCATGCCTCTATATGGAATGGGTGGGAATGCCCATAAGGTGGACAGATCCACCTTAAAGAGAAGGTGGCCTAGCTGACTAACAGCACACCCTCCCAGGCATACCATGCACGGGGCATAGCTAAATTGCTCTGTGTGTCCCTAGTGCCCTGTCCCTTCCTACATCCTGAAATTTGCCTGGCAGATTTGCAGATTTGAGCATCCGGGCACGTCACAGGGATCCATTAATGCGGGACTGACCAGACAAAATCAGGACTATTGGCACTTATGCTATTGGCAATGCACCTAATTTGTTGAGCCTTCTCGCCTGTATGAGGTGGTTAGTGAAGCTGCACTAGAGAGTGCTTTATTGGTTATTTATTTATTTATGGAAAGAAAGTACTTTAGAGAAATTATGTATTATTCCTATCTCCTAGCAAACAGGAAGCTCTGCAACTCTTTTGGCTTCACTTCTCCCATGATGCCCAGTTTTAAATAAAAAAAAAAAAAATTCAAAGCACAATGGTAGTTGGAAACCAAAATACACTACTCCTGTTCTAGGGAGAGTCCATCATTTGGAAATAATTAGATATCCCGACAATATTAATTTCAATGGTCACTGTAAGGGCAGGTGACAGTCGTCACTTAGGACAGTAACCCCAACCTCCTAATCCAACACTACCCCAATTACCCCATCTCTAGTCATCCAATCTTGGATCATAGAGGGAATAAAATACCAAAAAGGATCAGTTTTAAATGTCATGATCACAAGATTATTTCTGCCATCTCCATCCCCTAATAAGGGATGATGAATACCTCAAGATGGAGGTGTTACTCTTGGAACGGATCTCAAGAACCCTCTTGAAGTTCTTCTGGTTGTGTGGGCACCAAACATTAAAGGACAACTGTCACCTCAAAAAAAAAAAAAATGTAATATAACAATCAGTTTTGAAAGGAAATATACTTTATTACTTCATCCCTACCTTTTGTAGGTTAGTCTCTATAGTCTTCCCAGCTTCACTCCCTGCACAGAAGCAGAGAAGACCATAGAGACTGACTGTCGGTTTTCAAACACCGTGTGACCCAAGGTGTATGTATATGGCTGCAGGATCCTGTTTTTTATATTTTTTACATATAATTCACAAATCTATTTCCTTTCAAAACTTGATAAAATAATTATTATATTATAATAGTTAGAGGTGACCTATGTCAGGGTCATATGTCCTCATTTGTCTATGCCTACAGACCACGTAGAGTAGGATTAAAATCCCACAGGGCCCTGGGCAGATAACCAATTTCGAGCCCTTCTTATTCAAATAGGGATGGTGAATGGGGGCAAGCAAATTCATGGTCTTCAGATCACCTAGTGGTCAATACTGTTGTGCGTACATCAAGAAGGGTATTTGAGGTCTACTCCAGCAGACACAAGATCTCCACTCCCTCATATTCTAATTTACTGAAAGTATATGTAGTGACCACTTGGCTGTTATCATCCAGGCGTTGATCTGTGTAGGTGAAGTAGGCTGTCATGAATTTGTTGGTACAAACGTCCAGTCACCCTGAGCCAGCAATTGAAAGGTTAAGGATGTGAATTGCATTCTAAGTGCTGGATAGCTAGTAACCTCCCCCTGAACTATTAGATAATTATTTTCCCAATGCAACAGTGTTTTTTTTATCATATATTGGCCATATCTGTACCATGCTCCCATCTGATCTACTCACACCCTTTGTACCACCACGACACGGAGGAAGTGGTACTGCCAGCTTCCCCATGCAGGTCTGCATTACGAGCCAGGCTCCTGTTTGCAGAGCCTTCCGCAAACAGGACTGTCAATTATTAATGAGGGAGCTCAAAGCCAGGAAACGGAGACCAAAACTGAGGGAGGGGAGGAGGGAGGACAAGAGAGATCAGTAGGAAAAGAAAGGAGTGAGTGAGTCTGGAAGAAAGCGAGAGAGAGAGCTAAAGGGTATCAAGAAGAACTTCTACTGTGCCAATGATGGTCGCTATGACTCATTTAGAGGACAGATGAATGGTGGGATACGGAAGACCAAGAGAGAAACTTATAGGGTGTTCATTAAGAATAAAAGATTGGCAGTACTAGAGCCAGGATCCTTTGTTCACTTCTTAGACGGAGAAAAACCAAAAGGCTTGGACGTGTGCCTTTGGTCAAGTGTTGAAAATCCATGGCTACAGGTAAGTGTGTATCTATTCTCTAAAGATTATTCCTCAACAAAAATGTAAAGTGTGGAGACTTGAACTGTGAAAAATGCGATAATGTTAATAGTTTCAGTGCTAGATGGGGCGTTCAGTGTACCAGCACAAAGCGGGTTAACTGTTGAGACTAGAGCAGTGAGCGTTATATTGTGTTTAGTTTATTTTACATATAGTAAATAGAGAAATATTATAACTTAATGTTGATCTAGAGATCTGGCACCCAACGTAATAGTCCAGCAGTAATCAAACTTCTCCTAGATACCCAAAAATCAATGAAGACACAGCTATAGGCAAGTCAGAAAAATATATAAGCCCCAAATCAGTAGATCTCCTAATTTCATTTCTGTAGGAAAAGGCACAAAGGAACTAACTAATCTACTCAGATAGGAGCATTACCCAACACATATCTAGATCAGGAATCTCAAACTCTGGCCCCCCAGCTGTTGCTGAACTACAGCTCCTATAATTCTCTGGCCGTCTATTGCATTTAAAGAATTCTGGGTTTTGTAGGCCATTAACATCTCGGGGGGCATAGTTTGAGATCCCTATCTGTATCATCATTTCCCAAAATCTTGAGAAACCTTGAAGGTTTCGGGAATGACATCAGGACGACCAGGTTAGAGAATAAAGTGGCTTCACTAATTATATATCCAGAGATCACCAAAATGCATTAAAGCCCATCAGTACAATATCAAAAGGGGATGACTGGTTACCTGGTATCTCGTTCTTTCTAAATATTGACCTTACATGAGCCTGCAGGGTATTATTGGCTTTAACTCCCAGTCTAGGATTACCCCCTTCTTTAAGTAATTTAATAAAATAAAGACTATAATAATGTATCAATAAAATGTCTTCACCTTATGAATTGGTCCCAGAATTGTTCTTATCACTTGGAACCAAGTGATAATTCTGAATCAATGGACAGAGGTTTTCTCCAGTTTATATGATGGGTGTTTCAAATCTTGCTTGGGATTTAAATACCGTATTTACTTGAATCTAATGCTCACCTTTATTGGCAAAATAAAGTCTCCAAAATTTAGATTCAATTGTGCATTAGTTTCAAATAAATACATTATTTCCCCATATTTCATGCTCTTTTGGGGAGGGAGGAAGGAATTCATGTTACTTAATGAAAGCTATAAAAAAATCTTTAGCAAAGTCCAAATGCTGACCATTCACTAAAACCACAGAAACCAATATAATACTTGCATTTATAAATATGGCCTTGGATAGTTCACCTGGCACTGAGCATTTATATACAAAAAAATGTGCTAATTGTAAAATTAAGGCCATGATAGTTGGAATGCAGTCGCCAATGATTCACAACTGTTTAATGAATATATCCCTATTAGACTCTTAATGCGATACTCCATGCACCATAACCACTACAGCTTATTGCAGTGATATGGTTCTAAGACATTGTGGATGTAGTAATTCCCATTTCCATCAAATAGTTTTCAAGTGGTTTAACAAATAAATTTGTTTTAAAAATGTAGAATTTCCTCCATTTACACACCTTCACATTGAGACATTATGATGTGGAAATATCACTTCCCATGTTATCTGTCCAAATATTGTTATGGGGTGACTGGCTATAAGCACGGGGGGAAAGGGTCATGTATCCACACTCAAAAGGATCAGGATAGAACATAGGCACAGCCAAACAATGTGCTTTTTGTCTCTGCTGAATCTATATAAGTTCTATGCATATCTAGCTTAACAATAGGGCTGGGATTCTGAAATAACAGGATAGAGTAGGTTCTGAAAGTCCTACCTGTGTATTGTCTCAAAGGAAATGGGACAGGAGAGACATGAGGTGTAAATAAAGGTGTAACAGCTTAGTAGGTATGTAGGTATATAGGTAAAGACAGGAGCAATGTTTTGACTAGATCAGAGTTATTAAAAGGCTGTGAGTGATGGGGTTAGTGGTATTGGCACACAAGGGCGAAATGCCTTGGGTGGAGTGTAGTCTTCAGCTATATAATTAAAAAATGAAGATAATAGTTGGTGACTCTCATCTGGTATCCTTATCTAGCATTGCCATATATGATACTAAGTTAGGGAGCTACCTACTAAACAGCTTAAAGATCAAAATTAAGAAAAGCCTTTTGTAATTTTGATCTTTCAGTTGTTTGGTAGATAACTCCCTAATCCTGTTCCTCTCCCCTGTGTCTTGTGGTTGCTGATACCGTTTAGTGAAACAGATGCCAGGGTGATGTCACGTCCCGGCTGCCAGCACACTGTAGCCACACGATGGAGATGCAGGAATAGTACAGTAGCTCCCTAGCCTCCTGAACCCCTCAGCCTGTATATTTGGGCAGAGTAGGCAACTATCGTATGGGTAGGCAGGGGCCTACTCTGTTAATTGAAAGTCTACAAAACGCAAGGAAATGGCGACTGTCGGGGCTGCCTAAGGCTCGCATCAGCTCTGCATTGGGACAGATGCCCATGATTTTATCCTGGGCATTTGCAAGGTATGAAGCCCATAGGGATGTAGGTTGCTAACCTATGGCCATCAACCTACACAAATGAGACACAGCCGTGGCATCAATTATCCACCCTCCAAGACCCAAAGAGACTTGTCCATTCACCTCCCCAAGACCCAGACCGTCTGTCCCTTCACCCTCCAAGATCCCAACAGTCTTCCCAGTCACCCTCCAAGAACCAGACAGTCTTCCCCACCACCCTGCAAGACCCCGACAAACAGTCTAATGACTCACCCCCAAGTTTAAACCAGTCTACTCATTCTGGCATTCCCCTCCAAGATCCATCCAGTCTGTCATTCAGCCCATCACACTGAGAATCAAGACTTATAGCCAGACCTTGAAAGAGCCCAGGTAGGCTAGAGTGTGGTAATTCATTACAATTCATGTTATCTTAATAGCCATTGTCAGATCATTAATTCTGAATTACATTTCTAGTATTACAATGCTATTGGAAGTTGTCAAAGAAAAGGAAAAAAACTCTATTTATTATATACAGAGTATGAATGGAAATAAAGAGCCCATGATTCGCTGCAGCATAAAACACACTATGTGATGTAGATATGATTTGTACTTTACCCTCTCTCCTGTTTATGGCTCGGAGTTCCAGATATACCCAGCTTTGGTTCTGCATCCCAACATCCAATAGATATTTACTAAAGTGGGAATTGTCGAGAAATCAAAGTGAATTTCAAATTTAAGGACAAAACAGCTGATTTAGAAACATTCTCCTAGCCAGTTATCCTTCCAGTTCGACTATTAAGGTCTAAACATTGAAACTCACATTGAATATGTGATCATTCTCACTTTCAAATCTCGAAAAATGTTTAACGCTTTGTTTTAGGGTTTAAAATGGGGGCATTCACTCCATGCAGAGAGTCAGATCTTCTCTCATTGAGCAGATGTTTGAGTTATTTGCTGGTCGTAATAAATGGTAGCCGTCATACCAAGTTTCACAACCAGCGAAGGTACTGCCGGTGCCTCCCGACCATCCTGATTTCCAGGTCCTGACCCCCCGCACTGAGTTTGTTCTCTGGAATCCTGCTTTTGGGGACAAGCATAGGGTTAGCGCATCATTAGACATGCTTGCGTTATGTTCAGGGCAATAAGATCCGGCAGAGAGCATTGAAACAGTGCTCCCTACAGGGTCTGCAGTCAGTGGGCTGGTCTGTGGGATTGATAGGCAGCCTAGCGTAAATTCACGGCAGGTTCACATGCCAGTTAATTGATCGAGCCCACTCAGTTAATGAAGATCCAGTGACATAATTTCATCACTGGCCCACCCCGTTTACCCCCCCAGTAGCCTCTTGATTCTTTGGAAGCCGGATTTTTGGAGGTATGGTACTGTGCCCACTCAGATGACACTCTGCATGGACCACCCCCTTAATTTATCCCCTTATGAAGAGTAGACTGATCCCCAGGCCAGTCCTCAATGCACACCGATAGTCTGAGAATTAGGCATCTCTCAGTTCATGTGGGGATACTGACATAACCTCGGGTGTCTTGAGCTGAGAGGAACACATTAAATGTCATACCAAGTTAAAAACTCTGAACAAACTTGAGAAGTGTAACTAAGGACTTTCCTCAGAGATCTGGGAGCATTGGCTTGTTCTTATTATGGCTATATTTAATATTGTTAAAATAAACTCTATATTTTAGCAGTTTATTTTTATGATTTACAAGATCTGTCAGGTTTGCATTTAATCATGTGAAAACGTGAAGATTTACTTAAACCGGACTATATGTAATAATACCTCCATCAAATACTGTTTTATTCTCTTGTGTTATCCTAAACACAGCTTATCGTTTATCACAACAAATGGCAGACAATAAAAGAAACACATATACGCTGGTTAATGAACCCTATTCAATATCTTTTAAAATGTTAAGATATCTAAACATCCGATTCTAGGCAAAGTTCATATTTCATATGTACATAATACATAATAACCTAACGACTTAAAGGGACAGCTACATATTACTGCAAGTGACTCATTGCAAGCAGAAAGAGTATCCTACGTTACTGGATTGCCAAATAATTTAACTTAGGGATTTTTAATACTACGATTTCTCACTATTTTTAAACAAAAATGTTTGTTTCTCCTCCAATGCAATGGGTGCCCTGACTGTGGACAAGTAGATTAGGTCGAATACCCAAGAACTTTGCGCAACGCGTCACATTGGAGTGGGAAAATTTGACCCAAATCAGGTTAATAAGGGTTTCGGATATTAGAGTAAACCCATTTTTCCCCCCATGCACCTAATGCGCATCAAATGCGGGCAATTGGGGGGAGTCTCAGAAACCCATCAACGTTTAACTTCCTACACATGCTCACAAGAGAGACAGTGTCCCTCCTGATTTTTAGGGGTTACATAGAAACATGGAATGTGACGGCAGATAAGAACCAGTCGGCCCATCTAGTCTGCCCAAGTTCTGGTAATCCCCTCATTTTTTTTATTTATCTGCCTGCTTGTGCTACAAATGGGTTTATTTATGTTTTTAGGATATTGTTCAAGAACAGTTAACTCCTGAGTTATTGGAGGCATTTTCAATGAATTTTTAAAGGCTCCAATTTGTGGTTTGTTAAATTTAGAAAATGATACATTTAATGAAGTGTTTGGATCTGAATTTCCCCAAATCAGCTGGAATATTTTTCTTTCAATTATCCCCTTAAATTTCAGAGTCCATTGAATGAATAATGCCAAAACGTGTTAAATAATTCAGAGTCTCCTGCTGCTTCCTGCCCGAGAGGAGAAAAGCCATTTACCCTCTGCATACATCTTAAATTCTTACTGTAAACACTAAATCAGCAAATGCAATATTTACATCACAAGATCAAATAATGACTGTACCAGTGATTAGACTGCACTAAACACTGACTGGGTTATTCAGTAAAGAATTGTCAGGAATTCAATGTGAATTTCAAATTTAACCCCTTAAGGACACATGACATGTGTGACATGCCATGATTCCCTTTTATTCCAGAAGCTTGGTCCTTAAGGGGTTAAAGGGATTCTTTATTATATTCCTAACAGTATAGAGCCCTCTGACCTCCCTTGTGCCCCCTAACTCCCCCCGACATGAAAAGGATTAAAAACCCCTTTATTTACTCACCCAATTCCAGTGCCGATCTTCCTCGGAGCTGAGTCAGCACCTCCTCCAACATCAACCACTGGGGGACCTGATGTGCATGCGCGGCGAACACTGGAAGGCACATTAGGTCCTCTCCATAGGAAAGCATTGCCTTAATGCGTTCCTATAGGGATCTCACTGACACTGGATGTCCTCATGCACGTCCAGCATCATTTAAGGGACTCAGATTTTGGTAAACTCACATAAAGGGTTAAAAAACATTTATTTACTCACCTGATTGCAGTGCAGATGTCCTCCGACGTGATCCGATGAGGTGACCTAATGTGCATGTGCTTCAAACGCCACAATCTCGCTAGGCCTTCCCATAGGAAAGCACTGAATAAATTCTTTCCTATAGGGATTTCACGGATGTTGGATTTCCTCATGCAGAATTCCTTTTAAGGAACTCAGATTTTGGTAAACTCCCAAAAGTGCATCTAGTGGCTGTTTAGTAGACAAAGCCGGTGGATGGCCTCCCCTCACATACACAGAAGTTATATAATAACATTAGCTTAGAAGTGGTTGGGGGACCAAATGCCGGGGACTGACAGGGTTATAGGGAAACTAAAGGACATGTATTTGATGGATAAGTTAACTGCACTAGTCCGAAGCACCTTAACAAAGTTTTATAAAGTCTCGGAGTCCTGGGATAAATACTGTGAAAATATGCAAAGTGGTGCTATGTAGGAGCAATGGAGTATTATTCTCCTCCTGGGATGTGGTGTCCCACGGGAGACTGTTACCTTGTCCTTTATTTTTTCAGTTTATTTTCTCCCTTTTCTCTTGCTTTCCTTCATCTATGGATTTATTTTTATCCATTCGATTCGTCGCTGTTGAGGCAGGATGGACGGGTAATCCGAGCAAAGCTGCCATTAACGATGTTCTCTTCGTTAAGCAAAAACATTCCTGAGAAGGACTAACTATAACAGGGATAGGCAACCTTCGGCACTCCAGATTTTGTGGACTACATCCCCCATAATGCTCTTACAACCATAATGCTGGCAAAGCATCATGGGAGGTGTAGTCCAAAACATCTGGAGTGCCGAAGGTTGCCTATGCCTAAACTATAACTACATACTGGGCAGCACAGGCAATTTGAGGTGGCACTAAGTTACACTTCTCTGTGACCTGATGGGGAGGAAACTTACATTTCCTATAAACTTGTACTTTTTTTTTTTTTCAATATCTTTTCGTTTTTCTTTCATGTTTCTTTCTCTTTTGGATACTTGTAAAAGTTGGCAGTTGGGGGTTGACGAGAGATTTAATGCCATGTATAAACAGTGAATAGTTCTTGAACGAATATAAACAAGATCTGTTTTCCTAAGGTGTCAATGAAATGTCATCAAGGATTATTACATGTTTAAATGTTCCTTTCTGTGAGATATACCATTGTAAGCTGACAATACCTAATGTACAATGTACTGCTTCTTTTTTGAACTATGGCCTAAAAGCACTTTACAATTTTCATGTGCTTTTCCAGATTGTCAATTTTGTTAAATTAAAAAAAAATATATAAAAAAAATAAATTAAAAAAATAAAGAATAACGGTTTGTGATCTATTGGAATTTGCCAACATGAATGGCATGGTTATTAGATTCTGAATATAATTTATAAAGCATTGGGTTATTCTGCATGGCTCTACAACGTGTAAACGAACAATACAAGCAATTTATGAGAAATGTAAACACAGAAGGTGATAAGAACCTTGCTCACATGAAAGAGGAGTAACTAGAAACCACCGGGCCCCGGTGCGATAATTTCCCAGGGGCCCCCCATATGTCTCACCCCCCACCACACTCCACCACCCCATTCATGTGTCTCCCCGCTTCCCAGCCCCATCCATGTGTCTCATTCCCCCCAGCTCCTACATGTATCTAATCCCTTCCCCAGCCCCTCCATGTGTCTCATTCCCTAAAGCCCTTACAGGTGTCTCATTCCCCCAGTCCCTCCATGTGTCTCATCCCCTCCATGTTTCTCATTCACCCCAGCCCCTCCATGTGTCTCATCACCCCAGCCCCTACATGTGTTTCATTACCCCCAGCTCCTTTGTGTGTCTTATTTCCCCTCCAGCTCCTCCATGTGTCTCATCCCTGTCAGCTCCTCTAAATGTCTCATTCTCCCGCAGCCTCTCCATGTGTCTCACTCTCCCCCCAGCCTCTACATGTTTCTCATTTCCCCCCAGCTCATCTATATGTCTTATTCATTCAGCCCCTCTGTTTGTCTCTTCCCCCGAGCTCCTCCATGTGTCTCATCCCTTCACCAGCCCCTCCATGTGTCTAATTCCCACCCCACCTCTTCCATGTGTCTCATCCCCTCCATGTTTCTCATTCCTCCCAGCCCCTCTATGTCTCTCATTCCCCCCCAGTCTCTACATGTATCTCATCCCACCAGCCCCTACATGTTTCATTTGCCCCTAGCTCCTCCATGTCTCATTTGCCCCAGCCCCTCAGTCTGTCTCATTACCCCCCCAGCTCCTCCATGTGTCTTATTCACCCCCAGTCATTCAATGTGTCTCATCTCTGCCAGCTCCTCTAAATGTCTCATTCTCCCCCATCCTCTACATGTGTCTCACGCCCTCAGCTCCTCTATCTGTCTCATTCACCCAGCCCCTCTCTGTGTCTCATTTAATCCCCAGCTCCTCCGTGTGTCTCATTTCATCCCCAGCCCCTCCGTGTCTCATTTCATCCCCAGCTCCTTCATGTGTCTCATTCACCCCCAGCCACTCCATGTGTCTCATGCCTGCCAGCACCTCTAAATGTCTCATTCTCCTCAGTCTCTCCATATGTCTCACTTTCCCCAGCCCCTCCATGTGTCTCACCCTCCCCAGCCTCTCCATGTGTCTCATTTCCCCCAGTTCCTCCATGTGTTCTCATCCCCTGCAGCCCATCCATGTGTCTCAATTACCCCCCAGCCCCTCCATGTGTCTCATTCTGCCCTAGCCCGTACATGTGTTTTATACCCCCAGCTTCTCAGTATGTCGCTTCCCCAGTCCCTCCCTGTGTCTCATTACCTCCATCCCTCATATATATGTATTTCATTCTCCCCACAGCCCCTCCATTTATCTAATCCCCCAGCCTCTTCATGTGTCTCATCCCCCGTGCCCCTCCATGTGTTTCTTTCCCCCTCAGCCCCTCCATGTGTCTCATTCTCCCCCCATCCCCTCCATGTGTCTAATTCCCCCCCAGCCCCTCCATGTGTCTCATTCTGCCCCCAGCCCCTCCATGTGTCTCATTCTCAGATCAAAGATCTCCCTCACTTTTGATTCTCAATAATGCCGGGAAGTAAACAAGGAGCCTGCTCCAGCTGGTGCAGATTGCATGAATTGATCCCAAAAGATCTGCACTAAGGTGCAGTCATGGTGCCTAAGTTACAGATCAACCAGTGAGTAGAAAGAAAGGAGGGAAAACACATGAATGATTATTATAATTATCTGTGTGTCTCTTTCTCCCCCAAAGCCCCTCTGTGTCTATTTCTTCATCCCGCCCCTCCGTGTGTCTCTTTCTCCCCCCATCCCCTCTGTGTGTCTCTTTCTCCCCCTATCCCCTCTGTGTGTCTCTTTCTCCCCCCTATCCCCTCTGTGTGTCTCTTTCTCCCCACAACCTATTTGAGCATCTCTCTCTCTCCTCCAGCCCCTCTGTGTCTCATTCCCCCCACCCCTCTATATGTCTCTCTCTCCCCTTCTGTGCCTGCCTACCTCCCCTGTGTAGCTTGGCTGCGAGGACTGTGGTGGAGGATCCTCTGTATCCTCTATCTGGGTTGGCAGGAAGCTGTTTGGTGCTCCTAACGAGCACATCCTGTCTGACCGGGTAGAGCATCTGCTTGGCCACGCGACATGGAGATGCAGATCTCCCGGTGATTGTGCAGTGTAGCTATGCCGGCCACCACCGGAATATTTCCCGGTAGCCCAGTAAGCCAGTCCAGCCCTGCTGTCATTGACACACACATCCTCCTTTTAGGCTGCTCTGCCCTAAAATGCCCAGGCTGAATTTTTTTCTGCAGTCTGGCCCTGATGAGTGTGAAAAGCTGTAGTAGGGTTAGAAATAGATCAATCCTATTGATAGTTTGTGCATCCTGTTCTAGATTACATTTACTTTACTGCACATTGTAGACATAAAATTTGCCAAAAAGGACCATGGGGAATATTTTTTTCCTGTTATTTTTTTCTAAAGACAATTTGTGTTTTTTTCCTAACTTTTTTGTTTTGTTTTTACTCATTAGCATGCAATAAACATGTTAATTATTTTCCATGTCTCTTTATGCCCATTTTATAATTCTTCTTTCCTAAAGTCGTTCATTCATAGAGTTTTACGAAGGTCTGGAAAACTTGAACAAGCGGGATATTCCCAGAGTTGGATTTGTGGGTTAAGGGAGCTGTATTTGAATATGTTTATGGGCCTTTTAAGATAAAGTTAATTTCCATTGTCGCAGTACCTGTTATGGGCTACATGTCTGACATAAAGCAAACTATTACTTAGTCCATGTGGCCTCTGGACTTTCCCCTCATGTCTGTCTGATGCAATGCTGCAAATCTGACTTGAAGGGTGTGCATACAACACAAATCCTGTCCACCACTCTCAGAACAGGCTGAGTATTAAACAGTAGTTTAAATTCTATTAAATAATAAAATGAAACGTTTGATGCATAATGAAGTGCTGCTGTAGTCACAGCAGTGATATCATAATGAAGAAAGAATACGAAAAACATCGGAACATTTATATTGTGGCTCATTTTGACCTATGTCAAAGCATGGACCTAGAGCTAGTGCTCCAGTAGCCCCTACGTTAAACGTATAGGAATGGGATTAAAAAAAAGTATTATTGTCTTCTCTTTCTGGTTGTACTACAAAAAGTTACATGAGATGGGCAAGCAATTAAAAGATAGATGAGTCTTGGGTGAGTCAACAGTTGATTAATTGAGAGGAAATAGGGGCAGGTGTGCAATCAACATTCCAACTGGACCTCAGATTGCCTTCAGGAACATGGACCAGAAGATAAATTAATAATTCCTTCTTTTTTGTTTTTTAGCAGCAGCAACTGTAAACATGGGACAGTTTTTGATAAGGATTATGAAAAAACAGGTTTAAGTTAGGTTGTTTTGCTAATGTGAATATTTTAATATTTGAAGAAAAAATTGGAAGCTTGTTCATTTAAATAAATGTTTGTGTAATTGTGTCTCTTGCAGCTGTGGAGTTTGGAATTCTCCAAGATGCGGAGAGAACTCCTGAGAACAGAGATGTAGTTACAGATGGAATTTTAGCAACTACACGGACGGACTCCGGAGCCAACATGTCTCAGCCTGAGTCTGTGCAGCCCAAGGAAAGCTCAGAGGGTCCCAAGGGAGTTGAGAACACTGGATTTGTTGGGGACCCTCCACCTTATTCTCCACCTGACCCTAAGATTGCCCATCTTCTGTACCCGGAGTATTCAAACAACTACTCAGGACCAATGCCAGTCTTATACCAACCAGGACCCACAATGCAGAATGTTTACTCACATCAAAACCTATCACCAGGTTCATATCCCTATATCATTGTAAGCCAACTAACTTTCATAATTTACTAACATAGTGTTTCAATGGCAATCCTAGAATGCACAACTTTTACTAGCTACAATAAAAGAGGAGAATGCACTTTAAATGAGGCTTTAGGGTGACATTTTATGCCAATATACCCATGCTCAATTATTTATATAGTGCCAACATATAAACTAGATGGGCCGAATGGTTCTTATCTGCCGTCACATTCTATGTTTCTATGTTAAATATTTCACATCGCAATACATGCGCCATACTGTCTTGTTTTATTCTGAAGGACGTAGACTGATTAGCAGTGGCTGCTCCTGGCCTCCTGCAATGGGATTTGTGTCTATATCTGAGAGAGCCACCAAATTATCAGTGTCTACATATTAAATTTAAACTTGAAGCCGTATTATAGCTGTAACAGTGAAAGTGCTAGAATTGGAGGATTTTCCCTAAAAGCCATGAATCTCTTTGCTCATCTGCTAAGACGCTAGACATCTGCCCCTGGAAGGGGGGAGACACCCTAATTTCATAGGTTCAAAATTTTTAAAAAAATAATGAAATCAATAAGATAAAGACAATAAACATAAAGATGGATATGTATGTATAACCTTATTTTATGATATTTAGAAAGAGGAGACATCTCAATGGAAACCAGTGGAAAACACATGCAGAGATATTCATAACTCCTAACATTTCAAGGAAATGTGTGAGTAGAGGGGTGTTCAAAAATTACTGAGACATTTTAGGCGACTTACTAATGACAATTTATACAACTAAAATGTAATTCAGAGCAATGACAATGTATCTTATTTACACAGACTGATTTCTAAACACATTTATTGTGGTTTAATGAAACATTACTGAGAGAATTATTGCTGTAAAGTTGTGTTATACACAGTCAGATACACCAACAATAGTAAGCTTGTAGAAAAAGGGGGACATTAGGATAGAAGAGAGGGACAGAATAATTTGGGCTCAAAATAGGGACTGTCCCTCATAAATAGGGACACTTGGGTGATACGGTTATTTACTAAGTTAGATTTGTCACGAATTCCAAGTGAATTTAAAATTTTAGACAAAATAGATGACTTTGCAGTATAGCTTACATGGAGAACCTTTCCAATTCACCTATTTTGGCCTTAAATTTGAAACTCACTATAAATTCCTCAAAATTCTTACTTAAGTAAATAACCCTGGCTGCCCTTGCAGATTTTTTATTAACGGTTAAAATAACAGTTATATTACCTTTCGTACAGAAAACATATTTTTTTACATTTATAAATGAATTATTTTACTGTTTCTTTCCTCAATTTATTTTTAAATTTTTCTGAATTTTTTCAGAGGAATTTAAAATTCGTACAGACCACAAATAAAACATACCCCTCTTTCCTTCAGTGTAACCCAATCAGCACAGTTTAAGAAACCATACAGAGTAGATCTCTCAGCTAATGATTCTCCTCTGCTGCTTGTTCATCGTGTTGCATCCCTATGACCTCGCTTGTCCTCTAGATACAAAGAGAGCTACATGTGTGCTTTCCCCTAGGAGGAAAAATAGAAAAAGAAACAAGATATTTGGAAGACAAGTGCAATGGGTTTTGTTCTAGAGGTTCTTTGAATTATTGATGCTCAGATAATCCATGGTGCTTTCTTTGTGAAAACCAAACACAGGGAACTTCAGCATCCTTCTTCTTTGTTCTATGACGGGGAAAAGGTTAAAAAATGATTTTTGGGAATTTTCCTTCTAATGATAAATGACCCACTGTACATACCATTTTAAAAAAATCAGTAGGGAGCTACTGATTGGCTTAGAGCGTCAGCTTACTGCTTTGGCCAATCAGCGGTGCCCCTGCCTGGCGGCACTCCACGCTTCCTGTGACTCAGAAGCCAGATGCCGCCTGGGGGACCTGGAAATTGGCGGAGGAGACGACCTTTGGGGTTAAACCGTTCAAGAGTGTTTTAACCCATTAAGGTATGAGTGCGCTCAGGGGGTTCCTAGCACCATAACAACTTCATTTTCAAGATGTTGTTATGGTGACTGTAGTGTCCCTTTATTGCCAATATATCACTAGCTGAACATCATGGGAACTGTATTTTACAGACTTTTGCCGTGTATTTTACAGACTATTGCAGTGTATTTTACAGACTTTTGCAGTGTATTTTACAGACTATTGCAGTGTATTTTTCTTCTACGTTTCTATTAGAACATATTTTTCAATAGATTTCATGTATAGGGCTATTTTTGAACATGCACAATTCACATTTATGGTTATTGCTTTTGTTATAAGACCTTTTACTCTTAAGCACGACTACAATGGTGATGTAGGAGCAATGGGGGAATAGGGGATGTAGTGTTGGGGGAATAGGGGATGTAGTGTTGGGGGAATATGGAATGGAGTTGTTGGGGGAATAAGGGATGTAGTGTTGGGGGAATATGGGAAGTAGTGTTGGGGGAATAAGGGATGTAGTGTTGGGGGAATAAGGGATGTAGTGTTGGGGGAATAGGGGATGTAGTGTTGGGGGAATAGGGGATGTAGTGTTGGGGGAGATAGTGGCTGTAGTAGAGAAGAGGATTTTTTTGTCAATCTGGTTTTATTGAAGGCATATAAGATGGGGTACATAAGAGAAAGCAGGGGAAATGTACGGGTGGTTTACAATATAAGGTTGATACATCATTCAGCAAGAGTATGTTTCATTTCCAGAATAACAATGCCTCAATTTTTTAAGTTTAAACTGTAGTATGAAAATACAAGCTATAGATCGTAAGATCCGGTATGTAACATGCTAAATTAACAATGCATTAACTAGTCTTAATGTACCAACAGTATAATACAGTGTAGGTTAAACTATGAGTCAGCTGGTATGCATTTGCTATTCGTATGTTGTATATAGGTAATCCATGTATCCTGCTAACTGTGCCTAAACTGCGTGTTGTAATACAAGCTGAGAGCAAGCAGTTATAATATGTGAACACATTTAATGCGCTTGTAACATAACTGTAGTGCACCATAGTGGGGGATTGCTCAAACTGCACTTAGCTTAATACATGTGTGAGGGATGCGACAGGTGAAGCGTTTAGTGATGTAGTACTGCTGGACCCACTGGTGAGTTGCAGGAGTGTCTAGTAAGCAATGTCCTGGTGTGAACTGCAAGTGGAGTCGTTTATCTAGTTGGGAAACAAGCTGGATTATCCACCAACCTCCCAGGGCCAGTCTGGTGTAACATGGCTACTCAGTGGAGGCTCAATTTAGTGTATCTGCGTGGACAGTTCATGCTGTGCCCTAAAGAGTCCATGGCTGTGGGCGGCATGTCTATCAGCCGATACCCCTGCTGGGGAGGTCGGAGCCATGAATTGGATGGGTCAACAAGAGGCCGGTGAGCTGTTAGTACAAGGAGGCAGCACTCCAGCCCCAGGCCGGAATGAAGGCCAGCACCTGCAGTCCACAGACTCGGGTTCTCGTGGTCGAGGCCGGGTCTACCCTCTGTTGGGCGCCATGGGGTGCTCGGATGTTCTGCCGTCGCCTGTGACGGTCGGGCTTCTGGCGGTGTGGTTGGTGCCGTGGAGGTTTCCTCCAGGAGGCCTTCAGCCCAGGAAGGGTTGCAGGGCGGGCTACGACATTAGCCTTGTGTGGTTTACCCGATGTAGGGCTTTTCCAGCTCCGCACCTCGTCCCTCCTTACTGTTCCCACCGGGTCAGGTGGTTCCCATCTGCAAAATAGCTTCAGGCGCTCCCAGAGCCTTTGAAAGAGCCTGTCTAGTCTCTCAGCGTACTGCTACGCTGTGTAGTAGCTTTGGCTGCTTTGATGGGCTGGCGCGGGCTTCTGCCACTGAGTCACGGCCGCCATCTTGTGTGGCCCAGTGGCCGCGTTGTTCGGGCTGCAGGGTATAGCCGGGGCTTGTGGTGTCTTTTGCTCTGGTTTTGTGGGGACCGGGATGACCCCCGCCGGTCCAAAGGGGGGGGGGAACGGGGACCCATGTCGAGGTTGTCGCTTAATATAGCCCCAGGAGAGCGGCCGTCTCCTTCGTGGTCCGTTTGTCTCGGTGCGTGGTAGGCCTCACTGCTAGGCTCCAGTTTCTGCAGTCGGAGCTGCAAGCTTCGCGTACCGCGGTAGGTCGCCGTTAGGGCTCAGATTATGCCCATTGCCACCGGAGCATTTAGCATGTGCGTCCAGCCATCTTGACGGTCAGGCCCCGCCCCCCCGAGAAGAGGATTTCTGTAGTGGGGGAGAGGGGGTGTGACGGAACGCTGGCACTCCGACTGAGTACCTCTGCCAATCGATGCATCTAGTGCTCGCTGAGGACTCCAAGCACTCCAACCGACACCATCAGCACTGCAGACCCCACTTCCAGCAATACAGCTGCGCCGGGGTCTCGCTGTCTCCACCCACCCTGGATCCACGACCAGGATCCAGCTCCCAGTGGGTGAACCTCTCCTAAATCCAGAGAGCGTAGCAGGAACAAATCAAGCTATTGCAAGAGTTTACTCTGGGGAGTAAGTGATTATAGCAATCCCCAGAGTGTAGTTTTCCAATCCCCCAAACATGAGCCAAGGCTTAATGCTGGAACAAGACTTTACTGGAAGTAACAACAACAGGTATTCCAGCTACAGTTTATTTTATGCCCTGCTCCCATGCAGGGGAGGGACACACACGTTATCTACAGTAGCCAATAAAACAGAGGTTACAGCCCACACAAAATCCTCCCCTCTGCCTGTGATTCAATTATCTTATACAATAGAAGATGCAATTATCACAGGTAGGAAAAATACAGTTTTTACAGCATATTCATAACTTCTAAAATATACATCACATTCACATAAAAAATTATATATTTACAATCAATCCATTCAGGGAAACAACATATCAAAAAATGGCATGAATCAGACCAGGGGTTCAGAAGTTAGTAAAGTATCTTTTGGGGCTTGGCTGGCAGCATGGATATTTGGCCCAAACCGGTTTTACAGAGCCCTCTATCCTGGAGACAAAGGGGAACATAATCCAATTATCCAGGGATAGAGGCAGACTCCATTGAGCACATGTTCCCAGTAAAACACAAAAGGATACAAAAATACATAACTCCTATCATACTGAATTGAACGGGCTAAATCTCCCGGGGTCCATAGTCACAGGGCAAGAGGCGGGCAAGCAGTCCTCTCCAGGCACAAGTGGTGAAGGGCACTTTGTCACAGTAATAAATCCATGAATAAAGTAGCAGGGAGGGAAAGTATCGAATGAATGGAGGGGGATTCTTCACAGGAGGTATTTGCTGTAATGGAGGCTTGGGGGTTAAGGGGCTGTAATGAGGGATACAGGCTGTAGTGGGAGGCTAGGGCTGTAATCGTGAAAGGGTAGCTGAGAGGTGTGCCAAATAATGCAATCTCACCAAGTTTATAGTAAGTTTACAAACATTTATTACATACTTTGCTAAGTTTTTCTTGGTTTTATTTTGGTTTGTTTATTTGTTTAAAAGATTTTGCTTGTTGGTTTTAAAAATTATGGTCAAGTGATTCATGTCCCTTTAAATTTGAAATTCACTTCAAGGCCACTATAAATAAATAGAGTAATCTGTATACCATGTAAGACATTGGGATCTAATCTCATAGCAGAATATTCATAGGGACTGACAGGAGTCATGTTTCACTTTTTTCCCTTCAAAAAGTACACTAAGCAGCTAAACAACTTTAGCTTAAAGGACCACTGCAGTGCCAGGAAAACAAACTCGTTTTCCTGGCTCTATAGGGTCTTTGGGTCCCCCCCACCCTCTGGGTCCCCTTCCCACCGTGCTGAAGAGGGAGGAAGGGGTTAAAGTCTTACCTTTCTCCAGTACCGTGGACTCTCCTCCCTCTTTTGACGTCATCCGCCGAATGTGCGGCAAGAGCCGCGCGCGCATTCGTCAGTCCATAGGAAAGCATTTCTCAATGCATTCCTATGGGTGCTGGCGTCACAGTGAGAAGCGCGGAAGCGCCTCTAGCGGCTGTCAATGAGACAGCCACTAGAGGCTAGATTAACCCTAAAGTAAACATAGCAGTTTCTCTCCTCTATAGTGGTCCTTTAACAAAGCATTGTAGTCTCATTGCTAAATTACCTGGTATTTAAAAGTAAAATCTCTTGTTTCTGTTTATGCAGCCCTAGCCACACCTCACCTGGCTGTGACTCACATAGCCTACAATAAAAATATGGTTTAATTTTCAATGAAAAAATTGTGTGTTTACCTTAGAACTTATCTATTGCTCTGTTATGTGATCTTTAATCATACAGGAGTCTAATCAAAGGCGGCTCTAGACTTTATGAGGCCTTAGGTGAAACTCAAACATGACAGAGACACACACACACACACACACACGTCCCCCACTCACTATTATTAGTGGGGAGCCCAAAGGTGGCCAGCTGGCCAGCTCTTGGACTCCCATAAATCGAGGCAAACCAGGTATTTGCCTGGGCATTTGGGGGCGGAGTTCTTTGCCGCCCCCTGGAAATTGCCGCCCAAGGCAAATGCCTTGTTTGCCTAGCGGCAAATACATTCCTGGGTTAATGTGACAGGGTGAATGGGCAGAGTGAGGGCAGGTGAGTTTGGAGGGGGTGAGATTAACAGGATTTGGAGTGGTTTATGTGAGTATGGATGCATGAAGAGGCTGACAGTGTGTGTGTGGGGGTGATGACAATGAGAGGGAGGGAGGGGGTGATGGTGAGAGGGAGTGATGGTGAGAGGGGGGGATGGTGAGAGGGGGTGGTGAGAGGAAGGTGATGTTAGAGAGGGGGTTATGTGAGAGGGGGTGATAGAGGGAGGGAGGGGTGATGGTGAGAGGGGTGATGTGAAAGGGAGGGTGATGGTGAGAGGGTGATGATGTGAGAGGGGGTGATGTGAGAGGGAGGGGGTGTTGGTGAGAGGGAGGGGGTTTGATGATGAAGGAGGGGTGGTGGTGATGTGAGAGATGGTGTGAGGGAGGGCAGAGGGGGGAAGACTACATACCTTTATTTATTCCCTGGTAGTCCAGTGTGGACTGCCTGGTGGTCTGATGGGCTCCCTGGTGGTCCGGTGGCCATTACATTCGGTCTGCAGTTCCGGGATACTGACCAAGCCACTGGGCCCCCTCCTGGTGTCGGGTCCTCAGTCACTGACAGTGATCTGGGAGCAGTGTTACAGTCCCCCTAACCATGCAATGTTAATTGTTGCAGTTTCTGAGAAACTGTAATAATTACCTTGCAGGGTTAAGACTGTCTTTAGTGGCAGTCAGACAGCCACTAGAGCAGGCTTCCCCAAACTCCGGCCCTCCAGATGTTGCTGAACTACAACTCCCATGATTCTCAGCCTATCTATTTCATTCATGGAATCATGGGAGTTGTAGTTCAGTAACATCTGGAGGGCCAGAGTTTGGGGAAGCCTGCACTAGAGGGAATTCTGGGTGGTTAGGCAACTTTTGGTTGCCTAACACTGGACGTCCTCACAATCTGTAGGAGAACCTTGCAGCAATGCTTTAATATGGGGAGGGTCTAATGCACTCATGGTGTTCGCCAGACAGCTTTGTATTCCTAGCATTATGGTATCCCTTTAAGCATTATTCTGATAACTTATGGCTTTAAAGCACAAGCCTTGACATTGTGCATTGCTATGGACATCACTGCCAAAGAAAAAAAACACTCTAGATGTATATGTAAACACCAGTTATTAATCCAGCTTTCAACGTCTTAGAAGAAGTCACAGTTATTAAAATTAGAATGGCTCTTACAGGGATCTTCTGCTGCTCTGTTTCTTAAAGAGGTAGCCTGAGCACCATAGCTACTACATGCTGCTGTAGTGGTTATGGTACTAGTAGGCTCCGGGAGCTGAGTAGCACTTTTTAAGTGTTTTGACCAAAGCCAGGAGTCCATAGAAGTTCCACTAATTTGCCTCATTTATTATTGTAGCCAGGCCTAGCTGAGACACCAGCATTTACCAGCCTTGCTTCTTTCTTACAGAATGACGGCTCCATAGGAATTCCTCCTTCAAGACCCGATGTCAGAACAAAGGACTACATGGTAGAGTCTGTGTTGGTCATGATCTTCTGCTGCTTCCTTACAGGAATCATAGCCGTGGTATATTCCCACGAGGTGAGCCACCGTGACCTGACCACTTGCCTATGCTGCTTCTCAACACATTAAAGGAACACTGTATTGTTAGGAGTATATAACTATATTAATAACACTATAGGGACCTCTGCACCCCCCTTCTCCCCCCACTCATCTGATTCCAGAGCTGATGTCCCTCAGCACTAGATTGGGATTTGCGATTTTCAACACGCGGGACATCCTCATGCAAAGGGTGAGGACGTAAAGCATCATTTCATGTAGTCACATTCTGTGAAACAGCAGGTAGTGCTTCTAGTGGCTGACCTTTTAGACAGTGACTAGAAAAATTATCTTAACCCTGTAATGAAACCACATCCATCCTCTTAGTCACCACTTGCACTAGTGTGACAGACAGTTACAGTAGTAATGGCCCGAGGCTACAAGTTTCAAAGATTTTGTCAGATTACTATCCAGGGCACAGTCCTCATACAAAGCAATCAATTTTGATCTTGCGATAATACTGCTCGCAAAAATATTTCTACAGTCGAAGTCTACAAAGTCTATTTATGTGCTTATCTCGCTTACATTACATTGCTTACGTATACATTTACAGAACTGGGAAAGGACTATTCGTAACCAAGTGATTAGAAGAACATTGAACTTAGACCAATATGTGTAATCACTCAAATGAAAGGGATACTATAGGCATTTTAAATCAGCTTTATAAAAAATGAAAAAAATGTATGCCCTGCTCTGTAAATTTAACTTTAATCACACACAGGAAGCTCTGGCAGACTCTAGGAGGCTACTAACAGACTGAGCAATAAAGGAGCCTAAAAAAACTAATTTTCAGGAAGTGTTTAGGAAGGTTGTGTAAGTCACATGCAGGGAGGTGTGGCTAGGGCTGTATAAACAAAGTGATTTAACTCCTAAATGACAGAGAACTGGGCAGTGAGACCACAGGGGCATGATCTATACACCAAAACTACTTCATTAAGCTAAAGTTGTTTTGGGGACTATAGTGTATATAAAGTCTTTCAGATATATATATAAAAAAAAAAGCCTGAGAGGAACAATAAGATGAAAAAACATCTATATTGATAGTCTTAGACCTAATAAATTGCTTAATATGTGGTAAATCTGAAATTTTTGTATTCTCCAGTACTAGAAGAGGGGAAAAAAAATAGAAAGTTCTGTTTTACGCCTGCCTTACGCATTGTTATGGCACTCTGTACGGTACTCCTGCAGAGAAAAATGTAGAAAACCCTCAGACAATAATAAATAATTACAAAACTGCTCCCCCCAATTATGATGAATGTAAGTATTTACATACCTAAATCATAAATGATTGACATTTGCCCCAGAACTAAAATCTCCATACCCCGATTAATCTTACAGATATTATTACTGTCTCAATGTATTTTATGTTACTGGATATTTTCCCATTCCACATTCTATCTATTACATCCTTTCTAAAATGAGTTTGCAGAGATGAGCTGGCACCTAAGACATTATTGCATATTCAATGCATAATTCAGATTGCAAATAATGAACCCTCCATTATACATCCAGTTCATTTCAGCAAGATATTTAGGACACACCGCATTAGGGAATGACCTGTACAATTTGATGGCAGGAAAGAAGGCAGTTATTTTCCAAGTTTTTAATTTACCAGCAGATTGCAGATTTTAGTCTAAAAAAAGGCATAGGGGACTAATTTGCCAAATTAGCTGAGCCTATAATTTGAAATTCACGTTTAATTCCTGAAAATTCAGTTTAGCGCAGTGGTTCCCAAACCTTTTAGGTTCAAGGCGCCCTTAATATTTAAATATATTTCCAAGGCGCCCCAAGTTGAAATAATATCCTAGGTTGTATATATGTACAGTGCAGCGACATATACTGGGCCCCTGTTTGGCAGAAATGCTTGCCGTTCAAGCGCAGATACAGAACCTAATCTAGGGAGGGGCATTGGTAGATTATTTAAAGAAACAATCCAGGCACAATAACCACTGCAGCACTTTGTAGTTGTTATTGTGCCAGAAGTGCCCTCCCTGAGTAGGTAGTCAAACTGTTTAAGAACAGTTTGCCAACTTACCTGTGATCCGCCGGGATAAGGGTGGTGGTAGGGGATAGGGGCGGTAGTGTGTGAGGGGTACTGTTGCAAAAACATAACATACAGGGATATAATTTCTAATTAGTGGGGTAATAGCTGCTTGATCCAAGGAGACATCTGAGTGCTATTTTGGGGTCAAGAAGGAATTTTTTCCTAGTTTGTTGCAAGATTGGAGGCGGTTCAGACTGCGTTTTTTTGCCTTCTTTTGGATCAACAGCAAAAACAAATGTGAGGAAGGATGAACTTGATGGACGCAAGTCTCTTTTCAGCTATGTGTGTGTGTGTGGGGGGTAATAGTGTGTATAGGGGGGAATTATTGTGGGTCTGTGGGGGTAGGAGGACAGGTAAACATACACTTATTTTTTTTAATTATAATTAATAAAAAGTTTTTGAATTTTAATTAAAAAAATTATGATTATTTTAACATCCCCCCTCCCTGCTTACCTTTGCCTGGGAAGGGGGACATTTCCTGCAGTCCCTGGTGGTCCCAGCGGTGAGCGTGATCTCTAGTAGCCTCAGGAGCTGCTAGAGTTCCTCTCGCGAGATTCAGAGCGTTGCTGTGGTAACCACGGCGACGCTCAGAGCTCACGAAAGGAGAAGCCGGCAGAGCTGCAGGTTAGAGCTCCCCTGGGTCCTCTCTCCCCTGCCGGCTGCAGCATTACAGTGCTAGCGGGCCCGAGAGGAAGATTTCTGATCTTCCCTCTGGTCCATAGCACCGGGAAAATATATTGCGGCTTCCCCACAGTTTGGGAACCGCTGGTTTAGCAAATAACCCTGATTGTGTTAAAAGCTGTGCAAGCAGTCTACAAATATACCACAGATCTTCCTTAATATGAATGTACTGCCTTATTGCTCTACAGCAGTGGTTCCCAACCTTTTTCTACTTGAGTACTCCTTCGCAGCCCATTTCCATACACTGTACCCCTCATATTAGCGAAATGTTTTTTATTAATATAGTTCCAGTTATTTCAAATTTAGGTGCTTTTCTTTGCCCCATTTCCTCTTTTTCTCTGCCCAAGTCCACCTGCTTCTCCTCAGGGCCAGATTAAGAGCCCAGTTGGCCTGGTGCTGACAATTAGGAAGTACAGAATCTTATCGATCAAAAACACTAAAACAGTCATAGCTCTCAAGCGTTATGTATCTGGTGGAGATGTTGCCGGAGGGAACGCATAGGATGCAGCTATAAGAAAACTCAGATTCTCTTAACCCCTTAAGGACCAAACTTCTGGAATAAAAGGGAATCATGACATGTCACACATGTCATGTGTCCTTAAGGGGTTAAAATAGGCTAATCTCTCTCTAATTCATGCTTTAATCTTTCAAGTAAATCAGGAAGTCAATGGGCGGTGTAAAAGGGTGGGCCACTGACGCGGATCATGTTACCAGAACTTCCAAAAGGGACTAACATGCCCAAAAAGGAGGCATGTGTGCCCAAACAATTGGCAGGCTGCCTGCCAGTCTTGCATGCTGGCCAACAGCATCCTGAGCTTGGCATCCTGAGCTTGGCATAATGATGTGCTCGCACCATGCTTTCTAAGGACTGTCTCCTAGCACTCACATGTCCACTTGTCTGCTTAACTTCTTACTAGCAGGCAGAAGCTCCTGGTATATAGTCTGGGACAGAGAAAAGGCGGATATAGTGAGTGTAGAAGAAAGGGAGCATACCACAGTGTTGGAGAGACCAAAGTCAGCATTACTTTAACTAATTTCATTTCAGCTAGTCCACACACGTTTTGTTTCTTTATATCCATTTTAAGTTTCCATACTTAAGCAAGAGTATGTGAAGAGTAGTTAGGGTTGCCACCTTTCTTGGAAAAGAAACTAATACCTAACTAATTATGTATGCGTGACATCACATGATGTAAATCACAAGGAGTGACATAAGAGAATATTCTGTGAAATCACCAGAAAACTACTTAGTTTGATTCTGCTGTATAGATGGATTGTTCCCAGTGTCCCCATGTCACCCAGTGTCCCCTAGTGTCTGTGTCGCCATGTCACTAGTGGACACTGTGAGACATGGGGACACTGAGACACTTGGGGTTACTCGGGGACACTCGACAATGTATCACAGTGCCCCATGTCTCCCAGTGTCCCCATATTGCCCAGTGTCCCCTAGTGTCTGTGTCCTCAGTTCTCCCTGTGTCCCCATGTCACTAGGGGACACAGAGACATGGGGACACTGAGAGACAGACACCATGGAACACTGGCTGGGAGACAGGGGGACACAGACACTTGGGGACATTGTGTCCCTATGTCTCAGTGTCCCCAAGTGTACCTGTGTCCCCAGAGGTCTCCGTGTATCCCCTAGTGCAGGCATAGGCAACCTTCTGCACTCCACATGTTTTTGACTCCACCTCCCATGATTCTTTGCCAGCTTTATAGGTGTAAGAGCATTATGGGGTATGTAGTCCATAACATTTGAAACGCTGAAGGCTGCTTATCCCTGCCTTAGTGTCTCAGTGTCCCCATGTCTCCCTGCAGCCTTTACCCCATCTCTCACTTCCCTGAGCTGTAGGTGGTCTCTGCAGGCTGAGAGCTGCTGTCTGGACTCTCTGTGCTGTGTAGCTGCTCCCCCGTGGATTAGTGAGTAGAGAGATGTAGGCATAGACATAGAATACCTAGACGCCGCATTGCGTGCTGAGCGGCGAGGAATGCGGGCGCTATCTTGGACCGGTCGCCGCTCTACTGAAGCTATTGAAGAACCCTTGGAAAGTCCATCTCACAAAAGGTAAGTGAAGGACTTGGGGCACTTATAGTCCTTAATACTCCTACCCCAGCGCACATAGTCCTTAATACCCCTACACACAGTGTTAATACACATAGTGTGCTGGGGTAGGGGTATTAACACTGTAGGGGTATTAAGGATTAGGGACAGGGGTATTAAGGATTAGGGGCAGGGGTATTAAGGACTATAAGTGCCCCAAGTCCTTCACTTACCTTTTGTGAGATGGACTTTCCAAGGGTTCTTCAATAGCTTCAGTAGAGGGCGACCGGTCCAAGATGGAGCCTGCATTACTCGACGCTCAGCACGCAATGCCATAGGCGTGCAGCGTCTATGTATTCTATGTCTATGGATGTAGGTATATGCTGTAACTTCCTATCCCTGCCTCTCTCAACACACAGCGACCCTTACGGCCGGTGATAGTATTGCAGAGTAATCTCTGTTTATACTGAGAAAAATACCTGCATTTGGGCCTATTCAATGGACCTGGAGCTACAGCTCCATCAGCCTCTATGTTAATCCGGCCCTGCTTCTCCTCTGCCCCAGGATCCCTGTTATTCCAGGTTCTCCATGCTTCTCACAGTGCAGATAGACACACTTACACACATGCAGATACACACACTGACCCACATACAGATACAAACACACACACAATCACAAGAAAACACTGACACACATGTAGATGGACACACAAATCCAAACACTGACACACATGCAGACACACAGATACAGACACTCAGATGGAAACACCGATACACATATAGTTGCACAGACACACATGCAGATACACAGATACAAACAATGACATGCATACTGACAAACACACAGATGTACAGACAGACACATGCGGATATACAGACACACATATGCAAACACTGACACATATACAGTTACACTGATACACGTACTGACACACATGCAGATACACAGATAAACATACTGACATGCATACAGTTGCACACACACTGTCACACATATAGATGTACAGACACACATATACAAACACTGCCACACATGGGGGGGAGGGGGACTCCACATACAGGTGAAAATTGTAGCCACTCTCCAGTTTCCTACCTTATGGGAGCAGGAGGGTGGCTTCTGCTCCTAAGAGTTAGGGGCATGCTCATCTCCTGGTTCACTCCCTCTCAGTGTTCTGTCAGATTTAGTGAACATCAGGGTTTTGGGGGGGAGGAGGAGGCAGACAGAGCCAAGGTAGCTATATGTGTAATAGAGACAAATACTGGCACATACAGATACACACACTGACACACATGCACCAGGTTGGTGCAAGGATTTTTGGGTACACAGGCAAAGATGATTTTGGCACCCCCCCCCCAAAAAACAAAAAAAAGCATCTTCACCTGTGTGCCTATTAGCCCACCTTTTGTTTCTTACCCCCTTTAGTGTGTTGTATCCCCTATTTCCCCCAGGCCCTTTTTGTCTTTTACTCTTCCCAGCTCCTTTGTGTGTTTCTCTTTAACCCCAACCCTTCTATCTCCCCCCCAGATTCTCTGTGTTTCTTTCATCTCCAGCCTCTTTGTATATCCCCCATTCCCTTCTGTGTGTCTCTTTCACCCCCAACCCCTCTGTGAATCTCTCTCACCCCCCAGGCCCATCTGTGTGTTTTTCTCTACACTCAGGAACCCCTGTGTGCCACTTTCCCCTCCATGTCCCTTAGTGGTCCTCTCCTCCTCCCCTCCATGTCCCTTAGTGTTCCCCTCCCCTGCCTGTTCATTAGTGTTCCTCTCCTCTCCCCTCCCCTCCATGTCCAATAGTGTTCCTCTAAGTGTTCAATCTGACGTGAACATTCAAGCAATGGAAAATAGAAAGGACGCATAAAACACACACCCTGTACAGTACTCTTTCAGTTAGACCTGTTCATTCTTCCAAGCTGAAATAACAACACAAGTTCTAGGAAATACACATTTCTTAGCTTCTATGTCTCTATGTCTTTCAGACTCGGACTGCGCTCAGCAGAGGGGACATTGTACAAGCCCAAGAGTCATCCCGCAAAGCTCGGTCCCTGGTACTCTTCAGTCTGCTATTTGGAGTCTTTTTGTCCGTCAGTTGGATAATATATGTGGTGGTGGCCATATTTTAACGATCAAAGTGTTTGAGGAATGGTGGAGACTCAGAAGTTGGATCAGCGCTGGATTACTTGTTTTTGGGCTAACAGCGGAAACTTAATATTAAAAAAAAAAAAAGAAAAATTCCCCCCAAAAACTACTCTTCCATTTCAATGGATTTTGCTTTGATCTGGACAAAACACCAGGTTTGCATTCTACATAATATATTTGAACAATAAAGTTTATATGGAGTCCACCTCATGTAAAAAAAAATATCATCAAAGAGCCCAAATGGGACTCTGAACCAGATTTCTACAAAAACAAAGTTCATGAAAGCCGAATATCAATCTATTAACTTCCCAACATGTGGGGAGCCTATCCTAATCCCACTGCCAATCATTGGATTCATGCTGAAAACCAGAGACTTTAAGATCACATTTAAAAGCATAATTCAGTTGATATTATGCAAAAAAAAAAAAAAAAAGGAATGCCCGTATTTATATGTACAGAGAACATTTAAAGTACAAAAGAAAAATATATACATATATACAGGTTCCCCCCAATTTTCAGATTGGGCATTTTAGTAGTTGTTGCAATTATTGTTTTATTACAATTGATCAAGTAATTCAAAAGGTGCTCCTGTGATTATGTAATTTCGCCCTATGTACTGACAGAATGGGTATCTAAGAAATCATTTTCTGGATTATTCACTTAAGTGTAAATTGTAGTGAATTCACAGCATATTTAACCCCTTAAGGACACGACATGCGTGACATGTCATGATTCCCTTTTATTCCAGAAGTTTGGTCCTTAAGGGGTTAAAAAGAATTTATCTCATGTTTCCATTTCGGCTTGTTTTGATCTAAAATTTGCAATAAATTTTGCATTTCGGGCAATTCACTCTTTATTGAATAATCTTAAAGGGATTATTCAGTGAACACGGAACTATAGTGAACTAAAAACTTGAAATTCGAATTTAAAGGCAAAAAGTGCTGACCTGTAAATGTTCTCTAACTGAGCTGTAGTAACAGGGTGACTATTTCAGACTAGATTTTGCATTTCACTGTATCAAGTTTTTGACAAATAGGGACCCCTCTGGATGCTTAGCCAATAACATTCCAAGGTAACATAAGGATCGTGTGCATTAAATATCTTGCAGAGCATAAGTTGCTAATTGTTGAGAATTGTCAGAAACTGATCATGGAATTGTACATTCTAGGCCAAAGTAGACGAGCTGGACAAATAATCACAGTAAGGTAATTTTGCAATTCAGCTATTTTAACCTTAATATGAAATTTCTTGATCAATATCTGGTTTAGTGAACAAGCTTGCTAATTCTTAAATTTTTAAACGTCCTCAGCTACTAACCAGGCCTACTATTTACTTGCCACAGCAGCCCTGGAGATCCATAGCATACTCTCCAGGGCTAAGTTTTCACTTTCAAATGGCAAGTGGAAATTTAGAGCCCGGTTCTGTGGTATTGGTGTAGAATAGATTCTACGTGCTAATAAGGAGACCCCCAGGGTATTGGGCATGCCTGCCCTCCTGTTACATGGCATGAGCAGGTTTAAACCATGTCAGGATGGAGATCTATCATATATATCTATATAACCAACAGGAAATGCTTCATGTTTTATTTTTGAATAAAATATAGGAAACCAAGAGGCTGCACTCACCTGAACATGCATACATTATAGGGTGCTGCTGGGGCCAATTTATACGACATACAAGATCCAGCACACTCGCTCATTCACTAAACAACAATTTCAAGTCTCACAGAATGCAATCGTTTTATTTAAAAACACCTCACAAAGGCAAAAATAATGGGGGTTTAATTACAGTATGTGATCATACAGTGCTAAGCCTGCCACAAAGTCAATGCCTGCTCTTCTGAGATTAATCCACTTACTTGTGAAATGCTTCCTCCTGGGACTCTCTGCCAAGGTCAAGGTTAAATAGGGCCCTGGAACGCGGCACCTGTGACAAGGATTTGGCCTGGACTCCCAATTATATAGGAAACCAAGAGGCTGCACTCATGCATACATTATAGGGTGCTGCTGCGGCCAATTTATACAACAACCAAGATCTATTTGTATAATATAAACCATTTTTTGTTATAAACAGTACTAGATAGGAAATCCGATACCGGCAAGATTCCTTTTTCAGGAAGTTGTCCTGCGGGGATAATGGTAGTAAGCTGCAGATGAAAGTGCCAACATTTTGTTTAAAAAACAAAAAACATTCTTTACAATAATTTAAACAAAACAAGATCATCAAGTAGGGGCATTGAGACAATTTGGGCACTCACAGCCTTAAATACATTAAAAAAAAAAAAATTATGGGAGAAAACGGCATCTTAACCACCAGAGTGAGAATTATTGGGAATTCAAGGAGAATTAAAAATTATTGGTCAAAATAGCCAAATTGGAAAAGTTTCCCAAGTCTGATATATTTTAAATTCTGCTATTTTCACCCAACATTTGAAATTCACTTTGACTTCCTGGAAAACAACAAAAAATGTTTTTTTGAATAACCCTGCAAGAAAATCCAATGCTACATTGAGTGACAGCATGTTCTGCAATATTCCGTGTAATAACTGTAATGATCCCAGTGTGGAGAGGGAAGAAATACATTTTATAATGTTAAAAACACAATGGGAATTTAAAGCCACAGTAGACAAATTGGGAATATTCTACAAATCTGCTGTTTTCCAGCCGAGCCATTTTAACCTAATTTCTCCAAATCCTAGCGTCAACATTTTTTTTTCATTAAAAACAATATACTATTCTGGTCGGTACCAGAAAACGAAATTCCAAGGGACACTATACTCACCAAAACAACTTTGGCTTAATGAGGCCGTTTTTGAGTATAGATTAAGCATCTGAAGTCTCACTGATCAATTCACAGCCATTTAGGAGTTAAATCACTTTTGTTTCTGTTTATGCAGCCCTAGCCACACCTCCCCTGGTATTGACTGACATAGCCCGCATGAAACAAAATGGTTTAATTTTCAATCAGATGTAACTTAAAGGAACACTATGGGGCCAGGAACACAAACATGTATTTCTGACCCTATAGTGTTAAAAATACTATCTAGTGCCCCCAATGCCAGTAAAACTAACTTTATTCCAGTCTGCTTGTGCTGGCTCTGCCCCTGATCTGCCTACTTGGCTGACTTCATGAGAAGTGATGATCTCAGCCAATCACAATGCTTTCCCAAAAGAAAGCCTTAGATTGGCTGAGATGGTCAATTCTGATGATCTCACCCAAGGAGGTGGCACAAGGGGTGGAGCCAAATGCAGCCCTACCTAATCAGTATCTCTTCATAGAGATGCATCTCTATGAGGAAAGTTCAGTGTCTCCATGCAGAGGATGGAGATGTTAAATGCCATTGTGCAGTAAGCTACTCTAGAAGCCATCTGAGGAGTGGCCACTAGAGGTGTCCCTACTCTGTAATGTAAACACTGCTTTTTCACTGAAAAGACAGTGTTTACTGCAAAAAGGCTGAAGGGAATGATTCTACTCACCAGAACTACATTAAACTGTAGTTGGATTGGAGACTATAATGTACCTTTAATTTAAAAGATTATATCTCCTGCTCTGTAAATTTAACTTTATTTACATAGAGGCGGCTCATTCAAGGTCTAGCAAGCTATTAACAGAGCAGGAGATAAGAAATGCTAAATTAAATAGAATTTGAAATAAAGGTAAATAAAGTGTAAACATTAGATGACAGGAAGTGTTTAGTAATGCTGTGAGAGTCACATGCAGATGGGTGTAACTAGGTCTGCATAAACAAAGTTATTTAACTCCTAAATTTCAGAATACTGATCAATGAGACTGCAGGGTCATTATCTATACACAAAAAAAAATCTTCATTAAGCTAAAGTTATTTTGGTGACTATAGTGTCCCTTTAAGTTAACAAGTCGGTTGTGGGGCACTGAAACTGACAGTTTGGTAGGCCTGTAAATATGAATATATAATATTTATTATATAGCCACTAGCCATTGGCAAGTAAAAATTCACTACTGGTGACCCTCCAAGCTTGCAGAAGTGCCTTACTTTTGAGCAAAGACTTTAAATTGTAAGTAGTGTAAACACACATATTTAATATTTTAGATTAGTAGTTCCTTGAAAGAATTAAGATGAATAAAATTCTTACGAGGGCACTGATCTACAATTTATGTGATCTTCAGCCAGCATGATGTGCTTGGTACTTGGTGTATCTGCATACTGTGTAGCCATTGGTTGAAGCCCATAGTAAGTTGTTGATGTTTGCGGTGGAAACGTTGAAAGACAAATTTAGAGTTTATCTCTCTGCATTAAGTGTAGTTTGTATAAACTAAGAGGGGGTAAAAGTCCTTTGATTTTAACTCTTAACAGCACGATAACAAATGACTTCTGAATTGCATTATCTAGAAAAAAAACAGAAAACACAAACGTCTCTCCTTGTATTTAAAGGGACTCTCCAGTGAGAGGAAAACATATCCATTTTGTTAAAACCCCTTCAGTGACTTACCTGAATCCAGTGCCCTTGTCCCTCGGCGCTGGGTCAGGCTCCGCCCATGGTCCTTCCCCACCGACATCAGCAAGCAGGGGTGACCTAATGCGCGGCAATGGCCATGCGCGAATTGGACCTCCCCACAGGAAAGCATTATTCAATGCTTTCCTATGAGGATTCTGGCGACGCTGGGGGTCCTCATGCATAGCGTGAGGATCTCCAGCGCCGTTTAAAACACTTTTCGTGTTCTAAGAACACGGAATTCTCTCTATTGTCTGTCTGATAGACAGCCACTAGAGGGGGACTTAACCCTTGCAAGGTAATTATTGCAGTTTATGAAAACTGCAATAATTACACTTGCTGGGTTAAGGGTGGTGGGAGTTGGCACCCAGACCACTCCAACGGGCAGAAGTGGTCTGGGTGCCTGGAGTGTCCCTTTAAGGGTAAGATCTGCATTCAATTCATAGACTGCCAACCAGTGCTATGTCATACCAGCCTCACACAGTATGGCTATGTAAATCTCATAAGTGCTGCGGAATGTGTTGGGCCTTTATAAATTATCATAATTAGAAAATCACAGTAAATAGCATTAACACTTTAAAGGGGAACTGCCAGGATTTTTTTCTAAAATGTTTAAGTATCCTCTAAAGTTAAAGGGACCTATAGTGCCAGGAAAACAAAAACAGTTTTCCTGGCACTATAGGTCCCTATAGTGGCCACCTCCCTCGCACCCACCTACTGTGGCACTGAAAGGGTTAAAACCTATGGCTGCGCGCGCATTAGATCTCCCCATAGGAAAATCTGATGCTGGAGGTCCCCATGCAGAGCGTGAGGACGTCCAGCGTCAGACACCGGACCAAAGGTCTGTTTCAATACAGGAAGCCCTCTAGTGGCTGTCTAGTAGACAGCCACTGTGGGCAGACTTGGAACATGCATGTTTTACATTGCAGCACTAAGTACAAAAGGGACACAGCACCCAGACCACTTCAATGAGTTGAAGTGGATTGGGTGCCTACAGTGTCCTTTTAAGAAATATGTGTGAGTTGTGGAAAAATACAATTAAATGTAGAAATCCACTCTGCTGTATTTAACACAATCCTGGATCAAATTTTCTCCATCGTTGATCCCTGCCAATCACTGTTATAAGCTCTTCCACGTTCACTTGTATGTCAGCACAGAGAGAGGAGAAAGAAACAATGGAGTTATTTATCACAGTGTTCTGAAAAGACTGTCTTTTAGTCTCTAATCATTTATGAGATTAAACTTAAAATTATCTCAAAAGTGTTCTCTACCTAAATGTTGCCATTTTTTGGTAGAAATATCACCAGATAAAAAAACAAAAAAAAACAACTAACAAATGTAATAAATTGCACAAGAAGACCCAACCAACCAAACAAAAACTACTGTCTTTGACACTTTGATACATCTCTCCTAATATTTACATTCCCCCTCCCCCCCTCCAAAGCAGTGTACCATCGTCAACTGGATTGTGATGTCATGGATTAAAAAACAAAAAAAAACAGCATCACATGAAAAAGAAAGTTAATCCATGTTCTAGGTGATTTTCATAGTTTTATTTAATAGTTTTAACTTCCAGTGAAATGACTGTTCACCTTTAATAGCATTCACAATTAAAGGAGCACTATGTTAGAAACACAAACCTCCAATATTAGGTCCTCCTGGCTAGTTAGAATCCTGAAATAGGAATATCAAGTTTTTACTCAGCTTTAGTCCCACACAGCGCTGATCTTGCCGCTCTGTACACTTTATTGGTAAATGGTACCACCCACCCATTGTTAGTAGTAAAACTGTTTTAGAACTGGGTGCCTCTTCCCGCCTCCAGTAAAGCCTTCAGAGAGCTGGAAGCTCCTGCCTGGAGCTTCTGTTACCTCTCCTCAACTAAACAATACAGGGCTAGCTCATTGGCTGAGAGTGCCAGCTTCATCACTGGGCTTAGCTCAGACAGAGAGCTGTAGTGGAGGAGGCCTGATAGTAAAAAAATAAAAAAAATATAGAGTTCCATTAAGCAACAAATGTACATGGAGTGCCACCTTTAAGATAAGGTCAATAAAGGTAACTGGCATTCCTAATAACCAGCTAAGCTCGAATGGACATCCTCTATATTACTCCCAAAAAGCTCTCAGCAATATCAATACTAGTTTCTTGCCATTGGGTGATGGCTAGGGTTTATATTGAATGCTGCATGAATTGGAAGCTCAAGGGCTAGAAGCACATTCTCTTGAAAAAAAAAGCAGTTAGCAATTTTGGCCATAAATGTCCTTAGTCATTTCTCCATGTGTATATGAGTTTAGTAAATAAATAACTTAGATATACCTGAAAAGTCCATTTCATTTCCTGAAAATGAGACTATATGGGAAATGTAAACCAAGAGAAGTAGATCCATTTCCCTCAAGCTCCCCACCTCGTTCTCTATTCATGCCCGAATTATCTGCACATTACAAGTCAATTAATAGAGTATGGGGAAATTAAAGGGACTGCCACGCACGGCATTTAAAGGGATTACGGTCACTCATCTGGACATTACAACATTGAATAAAATATTGAAATTCACCTATAACTTGTGCTAAGCTTTTGCTGTTATTTTCTTTTAAAATTTTAGTAAAGATTTAGCGAACGATCTCACAATCCAGCTTACCCTAGGTATAGATTGCAGATGAGAAGGAGAAACAGTGGCATTGTTTAATTTCACCTCTTCTATGTATGCTTTCTATTTGCCGCCAAGTGAAAAGGACAGTGCTTAGAATAGTGATCAATAGGAATCCAAGATGGAAAGATGCTAATTTCTATATTTAACCTAATTTTTCTTTTTTACACTACATAAATACATATTTTATTTAAATGTAGTGGATAAATAAACGTAATATTAGAATTCCTAGGAAGGCACAATTCCCCTTTAAAATCATTGCCCACTACCACCCTGCCAAACCGAAATCTCTCTGACATTTGAGTACATTAAGATGCCTTACTCGCAGACCTCTTAAATATCTCTGCAAAAGAATATTCATAGAGTAAGATTAAAGGGACACTCTAGGCACCATAACCACGACATATCATTGAAGTGATTTTGGTGCCTGCAGTCGAAAAGCTTTATCATATCGTTTAGTGTCAAACGGATAGTGATCGGTTTGACACTGAACGGGGGCCCTTGGTTGCCCTTGGTTCCAAGTTAGAGCATTAGGCATACCAATTCATATTTGTGATGGACTGAGCAGCTGCAGACTTAAATACAAGTAAGATTTTACTATATTTAGGGAGGCAAGGGGAACGAGGTGGGGCTAGATGGTGGTTTTAACACTATAGGGTCAGGAATACATGTTTGTGTTCCTGACCCTGTAGTGTTCCTTTAAACCATTAGAAAACAGAGTGGCGGCACCGGCAGACTCCTTAAAATATTTTTTGTGACAATAACAATTTTACCTGGCACTAAGATGCAGAAAATACACATATGGAAATTAAATCTTTTCCTAGTGTCCTATCTATGTCATAATATTAATATAGTAATAAAATTAATATTAAAAGGGCCAGTTATGCACAAGTTTTTATAACATTTATTTTAACCTGTTGTGTGGACAGATCACTTATATCTACCTCTTAACCTGCTTTTCACATTCACAGAATTACGATTTGAGCTTTTTCCTTTTTTTATTATTCCTGTATGTACATTTCACTCGCAATCTCCATATAACTGTCATGCAAGAGCATAAAAAAAATATATATAATACAGGTCACATTAACATGAACCTGCCTTCCCCTAAACAGAATACTGATATATACAGGAGCCACGTACTGCTCTCTGCTGGGGAGGGAAAATAATGGCAGGCTGATAAAGACACACAAGACCAAAACAAACAAAAAGAAAACACAAACAAAATATGCAAAGAAAAAAAAAAAGTTGGCAAAAGGTAACTGAAAAATATGTGATTGTTTATAAAGTTTTTTTTTCCTTCCTGTTTTACAACTTGTTCATTGATGTCTGTGACTTTCCAAGTCTTTTGGAAATGTTCCAGGATACGCACATAGGTCGGCTCTTTAGTTTCCCAATAAAGCATAAGATACTTCCAACATTTGGGTCGATGGAGAATGATTGAGATCCACGAGACACAGAGTACAGTTTTGTCCAACTTCAATATATTAATGGATTGCACAAATAACAGGTCTCATAAGACATAAAAGACAACAGTGGGCAGAGTAAGCCATATATCTTTGGGAAGGGTCAGCCAAGAGATGGAGAGAAGA